ATTGAAATATGATATTATTATTGATAAAAATCTAATGTTATAAAATTCTGTATGCAAATTGCAATCATAAAACATCTGAAACGACGCACTTCCACAACCTAACCACACACACACATGTGGACAGTACGTCGCGCACGATTCACTAGCCAATGTCAGTCCTCAATATGTCGTTGAATTGTTATAAATAAATTCATCGTGCCCCGTTGCCTTCGCTCATGCAAATAGCACCTGGGCATGTGCATGAACTTAGGCAACGAACACGGAAAAATTACTCTGAAAATCCTGACTAGAAAAACTGGTTAATAGCTAAACGGTATTTCGTATCTAATTTTTAGTTCAAATGACTCGACTTGTTATATATAATATATCAATAATAAAATACGATAATATTGAAAAATACTACTATTCGATAAAACTATTATAATTGAAATTGAATTATTTAAAATGAAAGACTCTACTCGAGATTTCATGATAAAAGAATTTACTTTAAAAATTGAAATGAATTCATTAAATTGTCAATCAAAATATTCAATTATCCTTGATCGATTTTGTCGTCAAAGTAAACTTTTTAAAAGATGAAACTAGTATAAAATGTATGTTACTTTGACTCAAAAATCGACCTGTCGCGAAATGCCTTCTTGCACGTTAAATCGCATGATAAATATAATGTTTTCACATTATATTAATTCATTTTCTATTCGATCATATAACTCGTATAAAGTTAAGAAAAATATTTCATATATTCTATAAAGATTGTATATTTGTAAAAATTTTATAATAATCATAATGTGTAATATACATTTGTAATATTAAGAAACGCGAGTGCAAGAAGACCCTAAAACCTGCTCTAAAAAATATAACAGTTGATGTTACTATTCACTTAACTCGTCAAAAATAGCAAGTATACAACTGGTCACCCGTGTTGATTCGGATCTTTCATCCTACAACATGGTTGGGGACCAGAGGAAACAAAATAGCATGCGACTTACCAGTGATGACTTGAAGCCCCCGAAGTCATCCATCAGTCAGCATGGTCCTGCTGGTTAGATTCAGGTCCAGAGACTGTAACAAAAATGCAAGAAAACAATTAGAATCTATTGTTAAAATTATAGAGATTTTTAATTAACAAATTTCAAAGTATAAATTTATACTTACGTTGTTCGCTCGTGGTCCACCGCCCGATACTCCCCGAGTACTGCTACTCGTTCCCAGGATCATGTTCAGAATCTGTAAGAAAACTGTAAGAAAACAATTAGAATCTATTGTCAAAACTGTAGAGATTTTTAATTAAAAATTTCAAAGTATAAATTTATACTTACATTGTTTGCTCGTGGAGCATCGCCAAATAATCCTCTTCCGTGATGCACTGATTCTAATTCCGGTAACGAGGAGTTTAAATGTCAAATTGAAAAAATAATTAATTTGATTGGAAAGTATTAAATTAGATTACCGCGACCGAGGATTGAAATCGGCGAACAAATGACTCTATTATCGCGATTGAGAAAACAAGGAGAGCCACGATGCTCTGGAAATAATTTAATACCGCGTAAGAAACACTGCTTCTATTCTCGCGTTTGCCTAACATCGCGAACGATAACGTGCTCGGGGTCACTTTGCCCCGAGAAACAAACTTGTTGCTACGTACAAACACTGAATCTACCGGCCGCATTGCGCGCGGCCAACAAATTTCCTGGAAAGAAAAGAGCTGAAAAGAAAGGGACAGGAGACAAGAAACACAACAAGCACATCTGTGCTTTGCCTATCGATTTTCTTTTTTCTTCTTACAAGAGTTCGTCAACAGAAATACTGCTTTACTTAGTACTGTTGTATACATAGTTTGTCCCGTACAAGATCAATGCCACGAAGGCGAAATTCTCTCAATCAATGAGAATTTCAACGATAAAATATTATCTACGAAAATAATTACGTACAAGTAATTATTCAATTTATAAATATTATATCACTAAATTTCATAGTTAGAGTTGTAAGCATGATTATGTTTACTTTCTCGAACGTTAGAATATCCCGTAATTTTTATAAATATTCCGAAATTTGCAAAAATTAAAGTTCGTTAATTATTCATGCTTTAATAGCATATTCCAACTACGTGGTTTCTATGTTTTCTTAAACTTGCATCGAAATATATATGCAAATTGCAATTACAACAATTCATAAAGAAATATAAACGATCAATTAAATAAATAACACTCGGAAATATTTAATCGCGATCAGAATACAGTTAAATATAAATTATTTCAATCTATCGTCGATATCTACCGACGCCATTTCTGTATACTTCGATATTATATCGAAGTGGATAAAAGGTTTGTCAAAGATTTTAATATTTTATCTTAACAATGACCGATTACAAAATTAAGATCATGCTTGCAACGAATGATTTCATAATGAAATAAAAATATATAAATATTAATATGGGTGTTAATTTTTGTTGTAATTGTTTAAACGTTACCAATATTCCCTCCAAAATATGTCGACTCGTCTGCCATCTGTTATGGTGTCGTTTAAGCGCCAATGAAACTTCCCATGGCGTCGAATTTCAATCCGAGACTGCAACAGAAATGAAATACAAATTAAATCATAATTAAACAATAATTGATAATAATGAAGAAATATTAAAAGGTTAGAAACACGTATGTACCTCGTTGGTCGCGAAACGCTGATACGTCTTGGCAGGTTCCAACAAGTCTTATTATTTCTTAATTTCGAGTTCCAATAAGAGACTGTAACAGAAACGAAATAACGATGCATTAAAGTACGCAAACGATTATTACAATTAAGTAATGGTTAAATCGAAACCGTATTGCAAGAGATCGTAAGTAGTAATACGCGAGTAGTAATAGTGGAAGGATAAACAGGTTAGAAATACGCACCTCGGTCGCGAAACGCCGATACGTCTCGACACGTCTTGCTATGTTTATTTTCAAAGTAGGAATGATGGCCGTCCGCTGTGCTCGGCAACGCTCGTGAATTAGGCGGCGGGGTGGGGGAAGCTCCGATGTCTCGCGAAGCTTGTTTACGAACCCGAGGGATACCACGGATAGAAACCGCGGATAGATTGATTTTAGTAAATTATTTACAACTTTAACTAGTCAAGGAATCGCGAATAATTCGTACTTTTCAATTGGCATGCATTTACATGCACTAGCTGCTGCCTATCACACTAATTCAGTGAGTTTCTCAACTGACCGCCATCCATGAGAAGAGGCCGCTAAAATCAGCTCCGAATTTTCAGGTCGGTATGGCAGTCAGATTCGGCCGCGAAACCCATAAGGTAAAAAGTCAACATTTCTGGGCACACGTTGTATTTTCGGTAACGAATTTTTTTCTCGAAAATAGTTAGGATTTCGAGGGTATGTGTATTCACCAAAAATGATTGTAATTGACACCTGCAACCGAAAATAATTTTTTCAGAACGATTTGATATTTTTTTTCCCCCCGAAAAATTTATCCACATTCCTGAATTTTTTTCTCGAAAATGCGCAGGATTTTGGGGGTACGTCTATCCACAAAAAATGACTATAATTTACCCCTGCGATCGAAAATAATTTTTCCAGAACGGTTTGGAATTTTTCTTTTTCGCCGAAAAATATGTCCTGCTATTGAATTTTTTTCTCGAAATTACGCAGGATTTCGAAGATATGTGTATTCACCAAAAACGATTGTAATCGACCCCCGCAACCAAAAATAATTTTTTCAGCATGATATGAAATTTGTTAATTTCATGCTCTAATGCTTCAAGGTATACAGTGTATTCGTCCATGTTAAATTGTTTTTCACGCGGATGTACGTGAATTATTGAACGTGCATAATTCTAAACCATTTAAAATTAATACGTTGGGGTCGGTAAAACTGTCCCAAACTCGATCTAACAAGCGTCAGCGACGTAGACAGGTTTCTCAGATTGGACTCACCTGTTTCACAACCTGCGTGACGTACGGCGTACCGTGTCACGTGACGTGCTTTACCTTTCGGCGTTAGTAGGTGGTAGTGGTAACAATACGAGTGCTCTATGGTAGCCACGGTAGTGGGTTTGCGTTAGGACGCGAGGCAAGGCGCGTCCACGGTAAAGACGGCAAGAAATACCAGTCGAAGTAGTAAAACCGCGCCCAACGTGACGCCAGGTGGCCATCGTGACGCTACGTAGCCGCGTCCAGTGATCCACGTTTATTTTTCCACCGTAGATCGCGACCATCGTCGCGTTTCGTCCAGGTACCAACGTGAACGTTCTCCGTTGTACTGTTCCCGGAACGCCAAGTGCATCACGCTGTAAATCGTCGCATAGCCGCGGCGGAGATTTCCGTCTGGCGCGTACGAACGCGTAAAAATGATCGGCGTCTCTTCGATCGTTGCTGGCAAAGGGTTTCGTGACGGGAGAATAACGGCAGCGGCGCGGCCGAGTCGCCACAGTCGAGCTGCGATCTCTCGCGCGTGAAAGAGTACGCCGGAGAGGAAAGGTTAACGCTCGAATTTAAAATACGGTGCGCCTACGCGTAAGCGTTGTGGTTCCACGGGTGTCATCGCGTGAGATGGTGATCCCGATCCCGACATATAGATCGCCAAAAACGATCGGAAGATTTCGTCGCGTCGCGCGATACGCGATCGTACCGTAACCCCGTAGATCCTTGAACGACTGGAAATAAAAAAAAAATGTATCCCGTTCGAACGTGGGCGACTTCGACGAACCGTCGCGATATACGCTCGTACGTAAACTAGGTATGTCGCGTACGCGACCGTAACGACATCGACGGTGATCGTTAACTCGTTAACGGCAACGATACGTTCAGTGAAAGTATTACGAACGCGCAACAGATCGAATCATCGTGTGACGCATCCGTGTATCGCGATAAAGGTAAACGATTTTACAGATGGGTCGCGTGTGTACGTACGTGAGCGTACCTTTTATCTGTAAATAAATATCGTTATCGTTTTAAAAAGAACCGGGTCGATCCATCTAAATGTTACAACAAGTGTCATCGAAGTGTACGAAGCCTCTGAGCCGGGACGAGCGAGTAGCGAAGGATCGCAAACCATTGTTTGTTCGACGATTAGCGATGCACGATTCGCACGGGATTCTGTTCACGAGTTTACTATGCGTTCGGTGTTAGTCCCGTTTAGGTTCAAAGAGTTTCGCAAAATGCGCGTCGCGTGTCTGTTCGTGACGATTCTGGCCGTTGTTCGTGGACAGTCGGACGATGGGTACGATCAGTCGTCCATTTATTACACCGAGCCGACTTTCGTTAATGCAACTAACGGCAATGCGAACGGTGGCTACACCGAACTACCCGGCGGTCACATCATCAGGGGCCAACGGCTGTTGGAACGATCGAAAAGCCCGTACCTGCTACGCGAAGATCTGTTCGTGGATCGCGAGTGCGAACTGGTGATAGAGCCAGGCGTGGAGATACGATTTGGTCCCATGATCGGCATCACTGTTCGTGGTATCGTAACTGCAAAGGTAAACAACATTAGAAAACGAGCGTACTAACAATTTAAATAAACAAACGGGTAGATCAGATATTAGCGATTTCTATCCATCAAATTAATTGTTATCTACGGATGGCAATATTTTATTAGAAACATCAAACGATCTGTTCGACCGTTGGTTTTACAAATCTTTTGTCTTGCACTTTTCTTGAATACTAATATGTTTCAGGACTTTATGACCAGCCCCAAGTGATACGCCAATCTAAACTCTTGATTAACATTTTTAATTCTGGCGCTCGTACTGTCTGAACACACGAGCAATTCAGCGAGAATTTAAAGCAGATGCTGTAAACATGAATCGCTGCGACGTAGACGCGTACCATGACCTGTCACGAATAATATACAGGGTGTTTTAATGGGAGATTCTAGAGGCCAAAATAACACGAAAATCAAGAATATCAATTTCTTTAAAAGAATTAAATTAAAAAATTTCAAATCGTTCTGGAAAAATTATTTTCGGTTGCGGTGGTCAATTACAATCATTTTTGGTCATTAGACATACCCCTGAAATCCTACCCACATTCGAGAAAAAAAATCGAGAAGGTGCGAAATTTTTCGACAAAATTAACAAATTTCAAATCGTTCTAGAAAAATTATTTTCGGTTGCGGGGGTCAATTACAATCATTTTTGGTCATTAGACATACCCTCGAATTCCTATTCACTTTCGAGAAAAAAAATCGAGGTGTGAAATTTTTCGATAAAATTAACAAATTTCAAATCGTTCTAGAAAAATTATTTTCGGTTGCGGGGGTCAATTACAATCATTTTTGGCCATTAGACATACCCCCGAAATCCTACCCACATTCGAAAAAAAAAATCGAGAATGTGTGAAATTTTTCGATAAAATTAACAAATTTCAAATCGTTCTAGAAAAATTATTTTCGGTTGCGGGGTTCAATTACAATCATTTTCGGTCATTAGACATACCCCCGAAATCCTACCCACATTCGAGAAAAAAAATCGAGGTGTGAAATTTTTCGATAAAATTAACAAATTTCAAATCGCTCTGGAAAAATTATTTTTAGTCGCGGGGGTCAATTAGAATCATTTTTGGTCATTAGACATACCCCCGAAATCCTACCCACATTCGAGAAAAAAAAGTCGAGAAGGTGTGAAATTTTTCGATAAAATTAACAAATTTCAAATCGTTCTAGAAAAATTATTTTTAGTCGCGGGGGTCAATTACAATAATTTTTTATGAACAGACCTATCCCCGAAATCCTATCCACGTTCGAGAAAAAAATTCAGTACCGGCGGAACTTAAAACGTAAATAACTTTTTAACGAAGCCTCCATCAACGAATTGGTATTCTTGATTTTCGTGTTATTTTGGCCCCTAGAATCTTCCATTAAAATTTTTCCCAGCATTACTTTCATTTTGAGACTGATAAACGGAAGTGGTAAAAGTTACCCCATGTTACTCTATCTGTCCTATGCAAGGCGAGCGCAAAATATCGAGTAGCAAGTTTTTAATACCGAGAGCTCCATATTGGATATCGATACCGACGTGGAAAGATCGCGCCTGTGGGGTCGTCGATTTTATCCGAAACATTCTGCCAATAATACCTAGAAAACCTCCCCGGATATGCGACTCAGCGCGGATTTCGCTTCCAAATGCATATTTCTGCACGTACGTGTACTGTTAATTACAATTGCAGTCGTGTTCGGGCAAACACGGGCTCATATGTGTGCGTGTATGCTAACGTTGAATGAACATGACTCATCTAGATGTACGATTGTGCACGTGTTACTACGAATACGCCAGAAACGACTGTAATAATTCAAGTTCGTAGAAAATTGAATGATTCGGTTACCAACGAAATTTCGCCGTCTCGTTTCTTACGAGAGCTTATTCCCCTAATTGACACGGCGCTACACAATGATTTCCTTCGCGAATATAAACGTTTTAGTATCAAGACTGGTCGACCGTATCGTTCCCTGGTATCGATATCACCATGGCACTGATAAGCAATAAAAACGTACACGTATTGGGATTTCCAATACCGTGAATCACAGGAAGGTGTGATTACGGATATTATTAGATCACAGGACTCGTACAAGTAAATGGACATCCGAGGAAAGGCAAATACTTTGTTTTTCCCGCGCACCGGCATCGCTGATTCTCGCTTTCTACACAGTGCATTGTCCTGGCACGTGAAATATCATCCGGACAGAATGCGTTCTCGCGGTAACGTTATACACATTGCCTTTAAAACTGTCTTTCCGGTGCAATCGTAATCGCCGTGACTCTCGAATACACTCGGCTTGTTTCGTCTCTCGTTACGCGCTACTTATCGTCAGCCTGCCACGCTTTTTAACGTAAGGAAAAAACGGAGGTTCGATGTCCTTTGGAAAGTAATTTCGCGACACCGCCGACAACTGGAATAGTTTTTAGCTTTGCATAACCCGAAGTTGAAACATCACGAGGTCACGAGGTTCGTAGATTTCGTTAAAAAAAAAATGTTAAACGACGACCGTAAAGGCAGGTATCGCCAGGTATAGCAGGTAAAAAGAGTTTCGGACCCTGCGTCCGTAAAGGACATCGAATCACCGGAAATTCCAGAAACACGCAAGCTGAGCTGATTGTTACTTTATTCGCATCACGTAGCCGCAACGTACGATTGTACTGCCTGCCATGATATATGTACACGCGCTGATGCACAGAACGGGTGTTATTAATATCTCGATACTGTACCACTAGCTCGTGCTTCGACCGAGGTAAAACTGACGTTTTCCATCATTTTCTAAAGTCGAACGGAGTAATTCCGATCACGGGGTCATTTACGACCACCCTTCGTTACCCCCCATACGAGAAAACAACGTTTGCTACATTATCCCGATAGCTCGTTCAATTTTTGAACGAACATCTTATTTAAAAACTATTAGGTCGTCCCATAAGTTCGTGCCGTTTCAATATCCTGAAATTGATGAGGATGTTCTATATGAAGTATATGGCAAGTTGGTTTCTCGTAAAGCTGGAGAAATAGAAATTGCTGGATTTAACCCATCTGCGGAAGAAGCTGACGAAGGCACATATGAGTCTGTCGTAACTGGTGTTGATGTAGTTTTAAATCATCGACTGCAAGAAAGTTTTGCATTTCGGGACGAGAAGAGGTTTACTATTTTTCATAAAATTCCATCATATGTTTAAAATATTACTTCAAGTTGCGGTAGAAAACTCGGCACGAACATCTGGGACCACCTAATATATTAACTCCACGTAACGCACTGGGACTTTTATTGTACAATCTGCTCATCGTGCATGGAATCCATCGAAGCGAACGTGGAAGGTTGAGGAGATTCGAGATGAAAGGAGAAGCAGTGGAATTATTCCAATCTGCCCTGCATGTTCCGCAGGATTGATAAAAATAGGAGACCCTTTATAGTCGTTACGAGCCACGGGTCTCTGTGTGAACGCTATGGAGGATTTGGCGGAGGTGGAATTGTCAAAAGCTGTTGTTATTACTCGTTAGGTACGGAATCCAGCGATACCGAACGCGGAGAAGAGGTCTTGTCGAGGTAAACTGGTGGAAGTAATCTACTTAAACAGGGGATTTCTAATCGTAGCGTTTCCGCGACAGCAAAGCCGACGAAAGCCCCGGCAAGGAGGCGACTAATAGCTCGATTAAGCAACGGGATGCGAAGAGCGTGCACAGTGTAAAAGGCACGAACGAGTGAATCAGCTCTGCGCTCACCGCCTCCGCCACACGGTGCGTCAGGTCACGGATCAAACGGCGGTTCTTGGCCTGAACTGTTAACCTTCGACCTCGCTAATCCTCTTAGGCACGGCACGAGACGAGACCTTCCCTCCACCTTGTACGCGTTCACGAATTAGGATCATCGTATCGTTCTTGCGCGATAGACGCTCTCCGAGTTTCAGAAACTCGAAATAAATACCGATATTGCGGTATGAGAAACGATCTACCCTATGATGCGTCGAATCAAGACTTTATCGCGCCAGCAACAATAAAAAAGAACTTTTTCGAATGTCTACCAAACAGGATACTGGTACTTAACCGGTTAACCCTTAAATGCATTCGTGCGGGCCCAGGGACGACGCTATTAAACGAGACGTTCGATAGTACAGGGAGATACTTTCGACCAATCTGTTTATAATAAACATAGATCGAGACTTTTTAAAATAGCGAATTCCGTGTATCAAATTGTTCGAAAGGCCTAACGACGTCGGTTCAATTACTACTGGCATTTCCTGCTTTCAGGGGGAACCACACGCGCCAATCCTATTAACAGCAGCAGAGGCTAACAATCAGGTCCACCCTGTTGAATCGCCGCTTTCGATACGACTGGTCGACGGGCCGACGCCGTACGAAGGTCGTTTGGAGCTGTTCCATCGAAACGAATGGCGAGCCGTATGCACGAATTCGCGAAAGTATGTGTTCGCCTGTAGAATCATTGGATCATTGACCCAGAGATAAATTATCAAGTTTATTACCGTGGTTCTAATTCATCGACACCGTGTACAGCTGGACTCGAGCTGATCTGGAGACAGCGTGCAGACAGCTTGGTTTTCAAGGAGGGAGATGGTGGTCGTGGATGGATAGACAATGGCCCGCGAAACCGCGACTTTTGTACGAGCAACCAGGCTGCAGGGGCACCGAGTCGTCTTTAACGAACTGCGAGAGGTGGTCCGACAGACAGCTTGGCGGTGGCGTTTGTGGTAAAATTCAATTAATTTTTAAAGAAATCCGCTTTGGGTAATCACGGACAAAGCGAGAAATCGTCATCGCACGATTTTAGATTATCATCCCGATCTCGGTGTCGCGTGTTTGCCTCGTCACGACGGAGCAACGAAGGCGATCAAACATTGGAGAGGTATCCGTTTCGAAGATGCTTTGTACGACCGACCATTGATACAAGAAAACACTCTCTATGTACGAAAATCGAAGTCTATACTACAGAACGTGGTGATAGAGTAAGCACTGAAAATATTTATCATTGATGTACGTGATGTAGAGTTTAGAAAATATAAATATCTCTTTAAAAGGCACGCAGGAACGGGTCGAGAATATAATGTCACATCCGCGATCGACGTGGAAGGCGTTCCACCGCAAATGGAATCGATTTCGGTCCTTCATGCAGCCTTCACGGGCATTAACGTCACCATCCCGAACGCTCCTGTTATAATAAATAATTGCACCGTTCAAAACAACAGAGGTAATCCCTCCGTGGCTATATTCTATCGACGTAAGACTACATTCTCATAGATACAATCTGTACGATTATTAATTTTCAGGATACGGTATCTACGTGAACAGTTCGTCCGGAATGGCACACGTTAACGAGTGCTCCATATTGGATAACGGGGCGGATGGAATCAAGTACGTTCACTTCGACGAACGGCCCGATGATAAATTAGATCGTACAGAGGTCTTCGATTTATGCACATTTCCAACGACCACTAGTCAAACATTTCCCCTTATTATATCGATGCAGCAGAGCAAATACGCGCCCAACATGAAACGCTGCCCGCAAGTAAATAATCTTATCTATACGTAAATAAATCCGTAAGGGTGGACGTTCTTGTAGATTTACATTCCGCCCGACTTGTGATCTTGTCACGTTCGATCGAAGCGCAATCACGATATGGGAACGTGGATGTTTCAGCACATCTTTACAAGGCCGGGGCACGTGTTGACGATACATTTTTTACAAATGAAGACCGATAGAAACGACAGCGCGATGATAGAAGTGTACGACGGCATTAGCGTGATGGAAAAGTTATTAGCCAGAGTGCGAATTAAAAATGGCACGTTGCCACAGAGCGTCACCACGACCCGTCAGAATCTGTACGTGAAATTCATCGCTGAACCGCGCACCAACACGATCGTTTTCGTACGATTGATTTCCGGCTACAGTAAGTTCTTCGAGGATCTCGATAACACGTGTGCTTTTACGTTCGAAAAATTTACTGTATCGTTACGTTCCAGAGAAAACGTACGATCTGAACGTGACTGGTAGCATCATTGCCGGCAATAATGGAAGAGGAATCGCGGTGGAGAAGTTACGATCGGCTCTGCACGTTCAAGAGACTTCTGTGTCCAGCAACAAACACGTGGCTGGTGTGCATGTATTGGGCGGTGCTGCCGACGTAAATATAACTGGCAGCCGTATATCATTCAACACGGGCGACGGCGTTAACATCACCCACACGGGAGGGAACCGTAACGTGTCGCGTACGAGCATTTCCTCCAATCAGGGTTACGGATTCGCGGTGTGGCTGAACGACAGTTCCGCCACCGAATACGTGTACTTCAATCAGGCCACCGTGATCGAGTATTCGCAAATATTCCGGAACAAGGATATCAGTATTCTTGTGAGCACGTTATTGTACATCCACAGCTCTTGAATCGAATTCCATTTCTTAATTTCTCTCGTTTTGTCTGCAGGTTGGCAACGCAACCGGCAACTCGTACGTGAACGTGTCCGGTAATTGGTTCAACAGCAGCGCCGAGACGGCGATACAAGTGGGGTCCAGCTGGAGGCAGAACGAAGGGTTGTTGAGGCTCCAAATTGGCCACAATTCTTTCGTGCAAAACGCCAAGTTTGGAATCAAACTGAGCCCCGCCCTCAACATGGAGGCGGTCATCGAGCACAATAACTTCCGAGAGCAATCGAACGGTTGCATGTTAATAAAAAATCCGCTCTACGAAGAGTTCAGCGTCCTTCCCGTTTACATCGTCGTCCGGCACAACGAATTCTACGGGAATCGGGGCGCGTTTGTGGTCAGCGTCGGTCTGTCGCCGTACAGCGACGTACAGAGACTACTGTTCACGAGAAATTTCTTGCGCGACAATCGTGCCCGCGAGCTGTTCGACGACGGGAACTCGATGAGATCCAGATTGATACCGCGTTCCAGAGTGGCGGCGGTCGTGGTCGTTTCGTCGAGCAACGTGGAAGTTTTCCGGAACATCCTGCACAATCCCGAGTCACGATACGAGATCGGCTCTCACCTAGAGGACCAGAGTAAAATTATCAATTGTACTTACAATTGGCTTGGATTCGCGGAAGAGAACAGGATATTTGAACGACTGTTTCACAGGTGTGTTGCGTAATTCGATGGAAGAGCATCCTGGAACGGATCGTTAACGTGTCGTTCGCATTTCAGAAAGGACAGATACAATCTGGCTAAGATCGAGTACCTGCCTTACCTGCTGCACAGCAGCAATCCAGGGGCGAACACGATCATTTCGAATCCGACGTTCGTGCCGCAATTCGTTACACCGGGTACAAACTTGGTCGGCGGCGAGGTAGACGGCCTCGAAACGTTGAAGGCGGGAGAATATATCGTCGAGCGCGATATCAATGTTAGACCAAGCGGTAAACTGATCCTCCATCCCGGTGTCACGTTGCGTTTCCCGCTGGCTGTAGGGATGATGGTTGCCGGGAGACTGGACGCACGTGGCAAACGACCGAGCGACATTCTGTTCACGTTAAAAGAGGAGATCGTTATGGACGGGAACAACGACACACTGACGAACGAGGGACTTGGTCAAATGAACGAAATGGAACCGTCCGTACGACTTCTCGGCGGTAAAACGAACCTCGAAGGAAGGCTACAGGTAATTAGCTAAGGGAAACACTGATCATTCACGATAACCGGACGATATCTGTTTTCGATAGGTGAAAGTTGGCGAAAAATGGGGAACCGTTTGCAATTACGGTTGGACGATCCGCGACGCGGCCCTCGTTTGTCACCAATTAGGTCTCACTCTGGACCCTGACAATTGGCTCATGGAACGTTCGCAAATTCCAAACGCGGGTATCAACGAAGACATTGTTCTTAGTAACGTTAGGTGCACCGAGGACGATAACGACATATCGAGGTGTCGAGCAGAAACGGAACAAAGCTTTGAAAATTCTTGTACTCATGAGAACGATGTGGGCGTTAGGTGCTCGGAGGCGGCTTGGGCTGGCCTTCGATTGGGACCGTTGGCTCAGAGAAGCGATCTTCAATACGTGACCATCGAAAAGGCAGGATTGCTTGATTACATCACGAACTCGTTCAAGCCAGGTAAACTTCTGTAATAAAAGAAATCGGTCACTTCGTTAGAGAAATACTTAAATCTTTGCATTGCAGCATTGCAAATCGATTTCTCGCGACACTCGTTGGACAGTGTCAGAGTTATCGATAATCTGCAAGACGGTTTAGGAGTTCTGTACTCGGATATATATTCCGCGGACGCGGTGAACACTGTTAGGAACAGCGACTTTTCGCACAACGGCGGCAGCGGTATCAGTTTCAAGCAACTGGGAATGAAAATCGACAATTCCAGAATCGAGAATAACAAAGTTGCTGGAATCAGGCACAATCCAGCTCTATCCGCTGTACAGCAGAGAGAATTCGCGGGCTGGTTTTTGCGTGTACCGGACGCAATTGAATCTTCCTACGATCCAATAATCATAACCCACAACACGCAAGACATCGTACTCGCCAACGAGGAAACCAAGTACTTGGTAACTGTTAAAATGAACAGCGATCCAATTCGACAACGTATCTACATCAGAGTAAGTGGCATTGTTAATCTTTCGATTATTATAACTCATGGTTTATTATTATTATTATCACTTATGGGACGACCTAATATAATAATTCAAAGATTAATAACGCAGCGTAGTTATTACTTTTTTTGTACGAACGATTAATTAAGCGATCTCTGCGAATCTCACAGTGCAGACCGGGATACGTGATCGGTATACAGCTTCTCAATCCTATCGAGAATCGTAGCACAGAACAGATCATCCTGCACGATTCGCAGTACGGCGACTCCGGTCGAGACGTCTGGCACGTGAAACGGGATTTATCGGTATTCCCCGTGACGTCCAGTTCGTTCGCTGTGGTTTTGGAGTATGAAAGTGGCAGGAACGCGCTCGGCGGTGCTGTTATGGTTATCACAGCTCTGCAGGCCCCGATACAGGTACATACAGAAACATTAAACGCTCGCGCTACGGTGAACTTAATTCCCAAACAACATTTACAGGACGTACGGAACAAAATCGTGAGAGGACCCATTCCGACCTTGCTGGTTACAGAGTCCAAGATCAAGAACAATCGAAGGGGTATACTGGCGTCGTACTACAACAGATACTTGGACGAGATCGGCGATCATTTTCTACGAAAAGCCAACGAGACTGTGCAACTGATCAGTTGCGAGGTGTCTCACAATCAGGAAGAAGCAATTTACGTATACTCCCCGCACTGGAACATCTTTCAAACGAACATGTCCGAAATCTCGATCCATATCAACAACAGCCTGATCACGGATAATGGTAAAGGCATATATCAATTCAGTCGCGACGCCAGACAATCCAATAATCTCTTTCACTGGATAATGCAAGACAGTACCGTGGAAAGGAATCGAAACGGCGGCTTCGAGGTATTGTTGCCCGAGGTGTGGCAGTACAACGAAAACTTCACGCACACGCTCTACTTCGGCAACAATACCTGGCGAAACAACGAGGAATTCGGTTTCGTGGTGGACGGCCATTACGCCACCTTGAACATTTCTCAGAATCGGTTCGAGGGGAACCGTTGCAAAACCGGCCTGATCTCTGTCCGCGGAATGGAGAAGAGAATGAGGATCGACAATAACCGTGTATCGAGCAACACCGGCGTCTACATGGTGGAGTTCAAGGCGGACAGTCAGTCGGAGATTCTGGGCGACGTGGATGCTCGTTTTTACTACAACGAGATCAAACGGAACAGTTACGATCTGGTACGCATGGGGCCCCGTCGCACGGACGACAGTCCCAGTTACGTGGTCGGCTTCCACGGTATTCAAAAGGTGCGGATAAACAGGAATCTGTTCGGCGAGAATTCTTTGGACTACGAGTTGCTGGCTGGTATCAGAACCGCCAAGATCAACAACGAAGTAGACGTGACCGAAAACTGGTGGGGAACTCCCGACGACGTCGACATCAGGTAAAAAATATTTAATCTCTCGCGAATTAAGGTTCAAGTTTTTCACAGTTATTATCTTGCTCTTTTCAGACGAAAGATATTCGATTTTGACGACTGGAACGATCACGCGGTGGCCCGTTATCGTCCTTTCCTAACGAACGACGCCCTCGATTCCTCCATTTCCGCGTCCTGGCAGATCGCTCGTGAGATAGACTTGGACAATTTGGGCGGACGTATCGTGGAAAATCTGTCCATACAGGCCAGGGATAAACCTTACGTTGTACGATCGGATATCACCGTTATGCCGGAAGCCACGTTGCACGTTTATCCGGACGTCGTCATGGAGTTCGCCCCCAACGTCGGTATCCTCGTCCTCGGCACTCTGAAAGCCGTAGGTGCACCCGGTCACGAGATTATAATGAGGTCGATGGAACGTAGCAACGCGAACGAGGCAACGATCGCAAAACCCACGAGAACCTCCGGAAACGTCGTCTCGATGTCCGAGGAAACGATTCGTCTTTGCAAAGACGGTCGTTGTTCGTCCTTGTACAACGAAGGTACTGGTATCGGTTTCGGATTAATAATAAAGATACTAGTCTTTCGACGATACAAGTTTCTATTTTTTTTTTTGTTGGTACAACAGGATTTCTGGAATTCTTCAATAAAACAACCTTGCAATGGATACCGCTGTGCGATACCAGATTCACCGAAAGGAACGCGCAAGTGGCCTGTCGACAATTGGGTCACGACACCCTTAATGTCTACGTATCGTACGATCGTAGATACGAGTTGCATCCCGGTTCTCTGATACGCGTATGGTCTTGGCCCGAACCGCTACAGGTATTGCAACGGAGTCGCGCAAAATTCTCCGGGACGATGTTAAAGAAATAACGGATTCGTTTCAGTGCACCGGCAAGGAAGAGAAATTAGAAGACTGTCGGATTCGATTGAACGGCCAACTGTTCGGTCATCGGCACGAGTGCTCGTGGGACGACCAATTCGTCTTCATCGGCTGCGGGAAAAGAAATCTGGACGACGCGTACGATTACTGGGGCGGAATACGTATCGCCAACAGCGAGTTCGAGCATCATTTGTACGAGCATCGGATTCACGACGTTGTCACACACGAGACAGTGAGACGGGTCGAATCGGTACTGAAACATATAAACATCACCGGCGCCGGGATTCTGCATTTCGAGAAATCGGCCGCGGTGCAGACTATCATGAAATCTCCGGTGATAATGCAAGTGAACGTAACACGCAGCGCCTATCACGGTTTCAATGTGATATCGCCGACACACGCGGTTAGTATCGAACCCGGTCCCCCACCCTGCAAAAATTCTATCTCTTGTTTATTGGTTGTTTAGGTTGTATTGTTGTTCAATGTTGTCGATAACGTGCTTGGAAACGGCGTGAACATACTCTCGATAACGGGGGAGGGACGCGAGGCCGACGAAAGTTCATTCACCCCTATCAAAGATCTTAATATTCCTTATCACCTGTTCAGTATGATCGATATATGCGACACCACTAAAGAGATCACGCTCGAGGAACGAGTGATAGTTTATTACAAGTACGACAATTACCCCGTGAACTGCGTGAAAATTTTCCGTAGCGCTTACAGGGCCAAACCGTTCGGATTCAGGTTTTGTATCTTCTACGAATAAAAGTAAAAACCGTTTCCTCGTGACCGTCAAGGCTGATTGTATATTTTTTTTAGGCTCTTGCAGTTTAATCTTTTCAATTCTACCGGAAAACCTGGCCGCGTCGACAGTATAACATTGTACGACGGAGATATTTATAACGTCACCGCGAAGAGCATAGGTCATCTGGAAGCCAACAGTCCCGATGAAAAGAAACTGTTCAAAACCCAAGGACCCAGCCTCAGTGTGAGACTGTTCGCTAACGGTGCGAGCAACGTGCACGGATTTATCGCGGAAGTAGTCACCCTGCCAATCTCTGCCATTGGATTTAGTAAGTCGTATTATATACATGTTACTGTGAAACACCGAAATCTGGAGAATGTCGACTTTCACCGGTGAATGTCAACATTCACATAGTCGCTTAGTGTATGACCGAAATATTTGCTAAACACCCTCATTTCTGACTTACACCGGTAAATGTTGACATTCACCATGCACTAATGGTGAGTGTTGAACATGTTGGAGATTTATATTTTCTTCTCCGTAATTCAGTCGCTATAAAACGTCACAAGGGTGACGTAACTTTTTCGCCTCTCTTTCTGAAAGGATCTAACCCAGACCTAACCCAGACCTAACCCAGATCTAACCCAGACCTAACCCAGATCTAACCCAGACCTAACCGAGATCTAATCCAGATCTAACCCAGACCTAACCCAGACCTAACCGAGACCTAACCCAGACCTAACCGAAATCTAATCCAGACCTAACCCAGACCTAACCCAAATCTAGGGTCTGGGTTAGGTCTGGGTTAGGTCTGGATTAGATTTCGGTTAGGTCTGGGTTAGGTCTGGATTAGATCTGAGTTAGGTCTGGGTTAGGTCTGGGTTAGGTCTGGGTTAGGTCTGGAATAAGTCTGAATTAAGTCTGGGTTAGGTCTGGATTAGGTCTGGGTTAGGTCTGGGTTAGGTCTGGGTTAGAAAAAGATCACGATTTACTGCAGTATCCATTTAGTATAAATTAGGGTATCGGAAAAAAAATTAAGAAAACGTTGCTCGCGTTATCAAAGCTTGCATAAGACTGACAAAGCTGATTGATTCCGAGCAGAACAAAGGAATTGGCAGGAGAGAGCCAGTCGCTTGTTTTTTGACTCTTCTGTTTTGGACCTCCACCAGAGCATATCTGTGATTGTCGGAATGTACAACAATGTAATGAAATATTCGATCTTTCACCGACGTATTTGGTATCTGTTGACATTCACCGGTGAAAGTTGACATTCTCCAATTTCGGTCATTCACGGTAACATACATATATCATCGAAAACTGACAATTTGGATAGCCGATCTGTTCGTTTACGTCTCTGTTTCCCTCTTCAGATCGCGATGTACAACACAACGTTTCTTATTCCATAATAACGAACTGCCGCGAGGGAGCGATAAAATACGCGAGCGCCGGCGAAGTAAACGCAATAATGACTCTCGAGCGCAATCAGTTCACGAACAATTGCGAGAAACTCTATGGTAATTTTTCAACTTGCAAGTCCGCGCTATGGCTGGACGTTCAGAATACTCAATCGTTATACTTTAGAGTGAGTAAAAAAAATGAAGTTGATTTTAAGATTAGAAGATATTTCCTAATTATATTATCATTGATATTTCAGAACAATTTAGTTCAAAAGAATCAAGGCGGACTTTCCATTCGCGCCGATTCCAGAGGCTCGGCGACTTCTTTGAAAGGATGGATTCACAATAATCTTTTCGCGGAAAACTTTAACAGACCCGCGCTGTACGCGTGACACAATATCGTATTGAATTTAGTTCCTCGAAGCTGACTTAAAAATTGAATTACTCGCCCTCTTTTACAGATACGTAGAGGGTCGTCAAAGCAGTCCGTACCAGGAAGTTACTATATTTAGAAACTACTTTACGAAGAACAACGCTCCTTACGACAACAACATTGTTTTGAAACAAGTGGTCAGCAACATGACGCTCAATTATTTACATGGCAATCTTGGCTCACACCTGTTAGAAATTTCGGGATTCGAGAGGGTTCGTTTGCCCATCTACCAGAGCACGTCTCACAATGGTTTTTACAAGTGCGTGTTCTTCGATTTGAATACATTGGCGTAAATTATTGCATCCATTTGTTTCACGACGAAAAAATGTTTCAGGAACTATGCGGTAAACCGTGACGGTCGTAGTACGATAGTGGCTGGAACCCCTGGTCAACAATACGTCGACAATGTCTTTTTCAATCCAGATAATGATTATGAAATGCTCACGACGAATAGATCACAGTTAGTACACCGATCTGTATGTTCTTTGGTACTATCGGTTGGAAGAATTATGAGAAAACGATATATTTTTATTGTACAGGCAATTGGAAATGTGGAGGTCTCACGTGGATGCAAGGCACAATTGGTGGGGATACAACGAAACGTTGGCGGTTGCAGGTAGAATAAGGGACAGAGGGGATTCTCCGGAATTGCTGCAGGTCGATTATCAACCCTTTCACATGAGCAATTTGTCCGTGCTGAATGGAAAATGTCCACCAGCTTGGGACCTTGTGGGCGACACGTGTTACATATACATTGGTGCACCAATGGATTTCTATAGCGCTCGCGACTTTTGCAGGGTGAGATATATCGATCGACGCTTCACCGTTAACGGATATCGTATAATGATATTTATTTCCATGCCCCCCTCCAGTCGGTAAACGCATCGATGCCGTTTATTATGGGCGATTATTTGGAGCTATGGCAATTTATACGAAAGCAACAGGAACGTTACGATTATTCCGATCGCGCTTGGATACAGCAACTGGATCGCGTGGATCAATGCACGACTTTCACGTATCAAACGATAGAGATCGATCACTGTGCTCAACGAAGCCCTTTTGTTTGCGAGATTGGTACGTTTCCCGATTTTTTTTATAATCATTATAAAATAGCGAAAGGGTACAACGAGATAGACGCTTTATCGATGATATATTGCAGATCCCCGAGTGAATATCGATCCTTTATCGTGGAGGAAAGATATCGTTGCCGTGGCTGTGCTAGGAGCAGCAGGCATAGCACTCGCTTTACTAACAGCCGCGATCGCGCTCTGGGTGTCGAAATCGAAGAGGCGAAACCTAGAAAGACTGGAGAGGCGAAATTCTATCAGGCAATCGTTGCATTCGTTGCGATCGGTTGGCTCTACTTCCGGATTCACGGAGCTCGCTTATCGACGTAAACCTATCACGGTAGCGATTGCTTCTATAATAAATAAGTCGACACGGTAAAATGCAATATCCATTATTCGCGAACTTTGCTTTCAGACGAAACATTCCACGGACACGCTGAATTCGAAATCCCTGGACTATAGGAGAATGTTGAACGGCGGAAGCATCGATTCGATGGACAAGTCACAGTTGAACTCGTCGATGGAGGACAATCAAAGCTACGACGTGTACGAGGCGCACAATCCACGGTACTCGCCGAGCACCAGCGACTTTAAGAGCACTGCCCAAAAATACGGAGCCACTCCGAGCGGTGACAATCCAGTTTTCGACCTGACTTATCGCAACGAGGGCTTTCGAAATCACTCAACGTTCGCTTCGAGAGCTACCAACGATTGGCCTCTGTCCAACACCGAGACGACCGCGGACGAGACGCCTGCCGTGGACGCCACCCACGAAACCTCGTACCTCAATAACACGTCCACCCTTCCGTTGCATTCCAGCCTCGCGTTGACCGATTCGATCAGCGAATTGAAACGCGACATCGACACATCGGCCTCCTACAGTCCCATGGACTACGACGTGAGGCGTAGCTACGACAACGCTACGTTACCGAGTCAAACGTCCGAGCCTGTGCCCGAATACGCCCCAGATTTCAATCCACCGATACCGCCCCATCCCTATCATCATTTCGACGAGGGCAGACCCAGAAGCGAGGCACTTCTAGAAACGAATCTCGACAACGGCGAGGAGAAACCTCTACGCTCCAAGAGCGAGGCGTTACTGGAGACCAATCTGGACGTGTTCCTACCGAACGAGCCTACGGAATTGACGCAACTCTCGGCCGGGGCAAGAAGCAAAAGCCAACCCTTGGAAACGGCGATGTGAACCACCGATAGGAACTTACCACGAAGCTGTTCGCAGAGACTGTAACTACGAACGCGATCTTAAAAGCAAACCCACCGAATTTAACGTTTAAGACAACGGAGCCTAAGGGGAACGAGTGCAACGAAACGCTGTCGGTTATTTTAAGGAAACGTTCGTCGATCTATGTTCTTCCCGATACGACATACAAGGGGCGGATCCTGAACCCGGAAATTCATAAATTCACACGCTCTATACAGGGTATTTTAAATGGGCATTTTAAACAGGTCATCTGAATAACTTGCTTGCTTTTCAAGATAGGAGAAAATGCAGTGGACCAAACTTACTTGGTATCGGGGGCCTCATAATCTGGTATTACCAATTAGTCAAGGAGATATGAAGATCAACTCTGTTTTTTTAAATGGAACAGTATGTTTCTTTACTTACATTCTGATAGAGTGTTTCAAGGCGAATACAATTACCCATTATTAAGGTCATTCAAGGTCACCCAAAGTCAACTGCAATAGAAAATAAATTGTCTCGAAGCACTCTTCGAACACTTGGATACTTTCACGCTGCTACTACAAGTGTTCAAAATGGCGACCTTGAACATGGATACATAGTCTAAATCGTTGCAATAGTGATGACTAGACTGCGGAAATTTTAATCCTCAAAAAACTACAGAATGCATTTAATATGCAAAAATATAAGAAATACATAAAGTAAGATACGAATTATTATATTTAGGGGTTGAGACAGCCCTCTGCGAAGCTCCCGTTCCATTAATTCTATTAATAAAAATGTGAATTTGCATAAAGATCCGCAGTCTAGTGATGACACTACCTGGCAAATTTCATTTGTATCTATTACAGAGCAAACTCTTCTTATACGTTCTTGCATGTCAAGTTTGGTAGTTGGTATTTCGAGGAACACTTCTGCCTTTAATTTTCCCCACAAATAAAAATCGAGAGGTGTCAGGTCGATCAGGAAGTAACAAATGGCCGGCACACGATCCCCAGACCTGACACCTCTCGATTTTTATTTGTGGGGAAAATTAAAGGCAGAAGTGTACCGCGAAATACCAACTACCAAACTTGTAGTAGCAGTATCAAAGTATCCAAGTGTTCGAAGAGTGCTTCGAGACAATTTATTTTCTATTGCAGTTGACTTTGGGTGACCTTGAATGACCTTAATAATAGGTCATTGTATTCGCCTTGAAACACTCTATCAGACATGTAAGTAAAAAAACATACTATTCCGTTTAAAAAAACAGAGTTGACCTTCATATCTCCTTGACGCCTCCACCTACAGAAAAAATGGTAATACCGGATTATGAGCCCCCCGATACCAAGTAAGTTTGGTCTAAATGCATTTTCTCCTATCTTCAAAAACAAGCGAGTTATTCGGGTGACCTGTTTAAAATGCCCCACCCTGTATATCCCTGAAGTTTGAAAACTTTTTTAATTCCCGGATCAGGGATCGTTCTTAGTTAGCATTGATTTAAAGGCAAGATCTCAATATTCGGTTGGCGCTGAACCTCGATGCAAGATTCTTTTTAGAAACGATCCTCAAGTTGGACGGATTGTACTCGAGCACGATCGCAAGTTGTACCTAATTACGTAGCATAGTGCATTCACCGATCTATCGCGCGGAGTAGGGAAAATTATTTCTTCGAACGCATTCTGTACAGAAAATCGTATTATATCGTACAACGATGCGAACGATGGTTCGCTGCTTAGAGTAAGTTCAAAAAGTCAGTTATACGTTCTTGAATAATTTATCGTTTTGGAAACTGTTTGGACACGAAATCACGAGAAAATGTACGTATCAACAAGGTTCAAGATTAGCAGGGACTTTATACTTGTATGATTTTTATACTATACCGAAATATCGGTATCTTTGTAATACTGAAACCGATATACTGGTATTATTTCGGTGCAAGTCTCTAACGATAAAAAAAAAAATCCATGAGAAAGAAAATTTAGCGATAGAAAAATTTCAGTTGTCATAAATGTATGGTACTGCACTGCCAAACCGTCGAAGAGTATGCGTTTTATACTCGCAGAGTGAGATGTACTCGCGTGTTCACGTTGTGATAGATAACTCGTCGGAGTATAAATTATATTTTAGTCTTTCTAGCGTAATCATGGAATTGTCCATTAAGGAATACTATATCTACCGAATTAAGTTCGACTCGATGCACGAATTATTAAACAGATATAGTTTTCCTTAAACCAGGTGATCTCACCAAGCGCCTTCAATACGAATTTTACACGCATTCTATTGTAATAGATTATCCGTCCGTATACATATACATATAGGTCTATTGTGTGTACAAGCGACATTGCCTGTTCCAGGTATGCAACACTTGCGTATTTATGTATGTATAGATATACAGATACTAAACGATATTTTGTCAGTGAATCAACCGTAAGACATTTCATTCATATTTTTTATACAAGTTATTAAAGAATGACAGCTCAACGGGCAAAGCGCGCTCTATGCGAATTTATTCTTCCAAAGAAGGATTGTACAACTCGTGGAGACACTGTTTTTAATTTAAGCAGCCGAGCGCAAATATCTTTATATATTTATACGTTTTTACGAGCGGAAGAAAAACAAGCGTTGCACGTTTAAAAAATATCCTCCAAATATTTTCGACGCGTTCTCAAGGCATAATATAATGTAATTGTTCGATTATTAAAAACGTAGGTAATTTAATTTGTACAGTTTTCACGACAGAACTAATAAACGAATTGCATCAAATTAGAAAGAAAGAAGTTAATTCATTGATCCAAGGTGGCGAACGAAATAAGAATAGCGGTATCGTTTATTTTCCAAGTGTTATAATTAAATAGACACTTTTACGTGCGCGTACAATATATTACACGATATAATGAAGGGGTTGACGAATAAATTACGGAAGACTATTTTAAAACAATATCGAATATATTAATATCGTTAATAACATTATTAAATATCGGGATCAGATTACTATTCGTCGTAGCCGTTTTCTTAGACCGCAGAAACGATCAATCAACAGCGATAGCTCGTCTACGTTCACGGTAGACGAAAGTTTTTCTTTTTTTTTTTTTCATTTTTATATTTTCGTATTTTAATAAAGCTCTCTGTGTGCTCGCAACGTTGCTCACGTACAAATAAAAAGGCTCTGCTCGTTTCGCCCCTTTTGAAAGCGATATTTTTTTCTTTTCTTTTTTTCATCCAAACACTGCAATCTCATAAAAGTAAAATTGCGAATGTGTAATATGTACAATTTTCTGTTAAGCTAACACAAATAGGAGAGTCAACGCCGAGATCGAATTGCCAGATTCCCATTAGCCACGTAATGATTTTGTTCAATTTGCAAATATCATCCAAATATTTTGCTCCAGACTTTCTCGAAGTTACGGAATGAAAATGTACATACACGCTGTCGGTACTTTCATATCGTGTAGATTCTTTGTTAATTTCGCGAGAAACTATCCTGACTACCGGGAGAACATCTTTAGTTAGGAACTATCCTCGTAGGGCGTGTAGTCAGGAACAACAATTATAAAATCAGAAGTTCCTGGTGGAAAATATAATATTTATCTGTATGGGGAAGAGAAAAGGAACTGTGACGTGTAGACTGTATGCAGAAAAGAAAATCTCATAAAACTTGGGACGCGGTAGATGCTAAAAAGAAACAAAACTGGAGCAAAATTATTCGAACAGACTTTGTCAACGAGGCAGTACTTTTTTCTGGAAATGTATTACTTTTGATCGATTCCTTTGATGTACCACGGGTACGGAAAGCTCATTCGTTTGATCCCTATTACGCACGTTACAACAACAAAAACAGAAGGAAAATTATTGCACAAATTGTACGAGACAGCAGGTACAGCAACGAGAAACAGTACAAACGAATGTGATTTGTTCGTTGCGCTCGTTAACACGTAGCACTGTTTGCGCCTATACTTTAACATACTTATTATAAGTAAAACTTAAACGAACGAACTCGTCTACTTACGAGAGATAACATCAACTCGGAGCACTCGTACTTTTCGAATCGTCTCGTCACATTTTCATTACGCTTCGTCGACAAGAATCGTTGGATAAAATATAACGAACTGCGTATCAGTAACGGTTTCTGGCGCGTACGTTCAATGAAAAAAAACTTCAGGTACGTTTGAATCGAGAGTTCGATAGTCGTGGTAGTCGAAAATGTCTCGATAGTTATCGATCGAACCTCGTATTACCTGTCTCGCCCAGTGTAATAACCTTTCACTCTCTCTCAACGTTTTACGCTTCGAATATTAGACGGGAAACTATATTCGTTCAATCGAAAGCAGAAACATACACGATGTTACTTCGTACTTTTTAGACCAGGAACGTACGCTCAACTTTTTTTTGGCAATTATTAACAACACTCATAACATCGATTAACGATTATCGATTAATCCAAGCTCATGTCGAAACCTAGCTGTAATAATATTCATTAAGGACGTATATGTATATCTATTATTCGTATAATTTGCATATATGTATAATATGTTCGCATCGCAAGAAATATTAAGTATTTTATCGAATGTAATTCTTAATTTCTATTGATAGAACGAGCCCGTGGCTCCTCGAGCGCCATCCTCGTTCTTTATATCTAAAATTGCACCTTTTTTGTACACGAGCGCCGTTAGCAGTAACAGGAACAGCGAGAAGGAACATGATTTCCAAGTTATCGGAGAAAAATGTCCCTGGCTCGAATTGTTTTTCTTTTATACGAAGTATCTGTAATTCATCTCTTTCCCCATCCCTCTCCTCACTCGGATTTATAGATGCTAGGCGACAACTACGCGATCGTACATGAACCACACGCACACGTTTTATCAGCGCTTTGTACACGCATCGCAGACACTCGTTCGACTACGTAATATCGTTACACGATTAAAAATTAGCTACGAAAGATATGAATGTATTTTCTGAGAAGGGGGGAGGGAGGCTTAACGAGAGTAAATAGCTCCAGCGAGGGAAAGTAAGATCGAGAAATCGTGCGTGAAAAGAAAAAAAAAAAAAAAAAAACGCTCGAGAAAAGAACTGTTTTTCATAAATACGTACGAACTAATTACGTGATTGAGCGATCAGTTCATCTCTGGCGTTCACGCTCTTGACCCCAAAAGGTTACCAACATATCTCTTATCAACTTGCACAGGGTGTATAGATAATACACGGTATAACCGAAAAGGGTGATTTCTCGTGCAAAAATAAGTTGTAAATATGGAATAGACTTTGTTTGTACTCGGCATTGATTGTAATCGTTGTACAAGTATATTCGAGAAAAAAACTTATCTTTTTATCCCAGTTCTAATTTCTTAATTTTTTTATGGTAAGTGGGTTTTTCAACCAGAGAATTGTCCCTTTTTGGTTATTCCTCGAACCACTGGACAACTTTGTATGTCGCGTAACTCTTGTAAAAACCTTGATCTAAGCGTGCATCGAGATGCACACGGCGAGATCGATCGTATGCGCGAATCGACGATTAAAAATTGGCCCGAAGGAGTAACATACTAACGGAAGACGTTCGTAATGTTTGCTGTTACGTGGCGTGTCCCGACGCGAAAAAAAAATCACGATGCACTGGCAACGCGATTTGCACCGTTCTACAACGATTCGAGCGAACCGACGAGTCCGGTAGTCCAGCGTCAGACGACGCTTTACAGTCGAATAATAATTACTTTAGATCGATACACAATGTATTTAAACATATAGCGAATCAACGATAATAAATGTTATCGTTCGAGCAACGATGCTCGACAGGGTATATATTAAATTTTCATATTAAAACTTTAAATTAAATTAAGTAAAAGTCCTACGGTAAAAGCGCCATTGCGCGTTAATTCATGTCAACGACGACGATTGTTCGCGCGGTCATGCTGAGAAAGAGTCAACGTGGGTCCGATCAGAGCTAGGATTGTTCGAATATTTTACAAGCATTCGGAATGTCCGCGAACAAACTTCGAATATTCAAGTATTCAAAAATCACCACGCAAGTATCAGTTTTTCATTCTTGCTACTCCTTTCGCTGACAAGGCTTTGTATACTATTTTCTATAAATATATTAAATTCTCTTTATCGTAACAAAAATGTATAGAATGTTAATTAAACTTAACAAAAATCAATAGAATGTCCCGAATGAATATACCCGGCGTAATTCGTGTATCCGAATGCAGAAAAATTCAAGTAGCCCTAGCCCTGGGTCCGACGAGTTCGGTAAGAAACGTTGCATAATATACGTCTGTACAAAATAAAAGCTAGTCGTCGCGTGTCAGATAAACGGATTCCGGGTTGGTTTGCCTCGCCATTAGTTGATCGAATAAATTATTTTCTATGTTTCACCGCCATTTCTTGCCAATTCAGGATGGCCAACAGGACCTTTTAGCTGCACCCCTGTCACTGCTCTTAAGTGGCATTAAATATTATTTCGACGGCAATTTTGAGAAAATGATCATCTACTGGCGAGGGCGATTACTACGAACCGCACGCCGCGATCGTTACTTTAGAGGTCCTACACGGAACGATCAACGTCTGCTACTTCTAAAACGTACGTATTACCGATACCAAGACAACCAGATAACTGTTCAATTATCGGTTGACTCTTTGCTCCCGGAACGGACCATGCAACGCTTTGATGCTCGGACGCAGAGCGGAGAAACGTGTTCACGTAAATCTCATAAGTAAAGGCGAGTACTTTTCTCTTTTCGGGAAAGAACGAAACAAGACAAATTAGGGAACAGCCGCTATCGATGGATCGACGGCTGTAAATAAATTGCTCCGTGTTATCCTTTTTTGAAAAGATCGAATATACGCGTACTGCTTACCGATATGACCTAATAGAGAGGGCGTAGAACTGGGACTCAGGAATAACGAGGATCAAAGGAGAATAGAGAACGCGCCGCGCGTGTACTCTCTCAAGGCTACTGAAACGAACGACGAGAAAGAAACGACGTCACTGCGCTATGCTACGACGACTTGCATCTGTCTCTAGACTAGAAAGAAACGTGACACCCGGCGACACGTTCGATTTGAAAGGGAAGCTTTATTCGTGGATGAGGATCGTGAAATCGTGTCGCGGTGGATATCCCCGCCCGTGGCCTCCCGTCAATGGCCGCGACGCGCTCTGATCGGTACGATGGTGTCGAGACAACGTCCCCCCGATCGTACGAGCAAAGAGCAGGAAAGACGTAACGTTAAGTTTCTGTCGTGCGAGGTTATAGTTTACGGGCGCTTGGCTCGACTCCGTCAAATATCAACAGCGAGGCAAGCGCGCACGTATAGCGGATTCGCCGTACGAGTTTTCACGCGCATGATCATCAAACCATGAAAACCTCGACGAATGGGCTGCATTCCGCTTGCGGGGGTGCAGAAACAGGTACGCGTTTCTCCAGTTCCATTCGCGGCAGGAATGTGTCGATACGTGATTCTGCCGTTGGTGTGTTAGCGGTGGGCACTGTCGCCCCGGGTGCGAGTTGCAGACACTCTGCCGGGGTTAACTGCAAACGAAATTGTATTCTAATTATCGGATCTTGTCAAGCGAGCAAAGTACCTAATTTTGCATGCACGTGATAAATCAGACGTTGCTCGAACATCGAGAATCCTCTCTTGACGGGTAGAAGAAAAGAACAAAACGGGACACTTACCAACGCTGCTTGCTGGGGAATCGCCGCGATACCACCAACGTTCGCCGGATTATAATAATTAGTCGGGCTGACCGGCGGCGAGGGGTAAGGCCAGTAAAAAATTGGAGGCGGATAGGGTGCCGCAAACTGTGGTGGTCCGCGCGGTAGCATCGCAGCCGCAGGTGGAAATATCGCGACCGGCGGTGGTGGCAACATCGTGCCTCCTAAAGGGAATAACAAGGCATACAATCAATCCCCTCGATCCCCTCCGATCGATCGTATACTAACGAAAAAGGACGAAACGATCGGGAGCAACGATCCAAAAGTTCCTCCCTCCGTTGCCCCGCGAGGAACTTTTCAGATCCCTCGAATGGTTACCAGGGACATTAAACATTTAAACAAAAAAAAAATAAAACCCTTCCGATGATTCGATCGTTGCGCGTTGCACCAAACCGTGTCGCGTCTCGAGCACGAGCCTGAAATATTATGCTCGAAGCGCGTATTAAATTTTCTTTTTTATAGCGAGAACACTTGCTCGTGGATTAATAGACTCCCGATAAAATGAAAATAATAAAAAATCTGATAACACCCATAGATTCTATGTATGTACAAACATAAGAAGAGTGCCCAACTATGTAACCACACCACGATTCGTGGTCGATGACATCGTGCAGAAAAATAAGTAACGCGCTTCTGGTTCTCCGCGTGTTAAATCGGTGATTCTGATCTCAATGTTCTCTCACATGTTTCTTCTCTTTTATCGACGTTCCCGCGACCTGCACGATTTCACGATTAATTTGACGATTTTCTACCGGTCCGTTCGAGTCTTCTGGAATCGGTGTTTCTACCTTCGTCGTTCGATTTTTAAGAATTGTCTTCTTTTAATACTTTTGGCAGTTCTCGCGGACTCGCTCGGACCGTATAAAAGCCCGTCATCCAAAGGAATAATGATTTGGACTTGGCCTACCTGGAAGCACAGAAGTTAGTATTTGTAGATCCCGCTACCAAACAGCAATCGACACTGCACCATTGTAACACGATATATACGTATGTTTTATATATATGTAGCACCAACTTGCGATTTCGACCCCTCTGCCAAATCACCAAAATTCACTCAAACTCTCCCTCTCTCTTCTTGCTTCCCTCTCTCAGACCTTTTCCCACTCGCTCTTTCTCTCCCTTCTCTTCTCCCCAGCGTATTAAAGAAAAGCCTTTTTGCGTGCGATCTTCGATGACACAACGAAGAAGAATTTTAGGACAACGGGGTATACGTATTAAATCAGTTTCAGCCGATCGTTATTATTCGATTGCACGTTAAAAACGTTACGAAAAGCTTCGTATCGAGGATAGTGCAAACGTTGGAGCATTTTAATCGAACGGGGAACGTGTCACGTTAAATTAATCGAGAAACAAAAAAAAAACAATAGAGAAGCCGAAGAGAACACAATTTCGCTGAGTTTCGTAAGAACGAAGGTAAACGGATATACATATAATCGAGCTCGTCGTGAATTTAGATTGCAATGTATCGATGGTCAGGAACCAACGTTAGATCTAATCACAGGCTTGCCTGATGATATGTTAACGACACAACAGTGACCGTTCTTTGAACAGGATCGAAAAAGAAAGGGGAAATCGTGGGTGATAAAACACAACAAAAAAAAAAAATAATAAAAATAACAAGAGAGCGGGAGAGACAGCTAGAGCAACGAAAAGAGACAGAGAGTCCGAGAGAGTGAGAGAGAGTACCTATCATGTGAGCGAGAGCAAATAAACAGAGAGTGAGAGAGAGGGAGGCAAGAGTTACGACACAGAAATCTCCAACTTGATCTGTAGACACCAAAGATACCTGCGAGCCCAGTGAAAAAAAATGTATAGAACGTAACAGGGTACGGTGGTCGTAATTTTCAGGACGTCCACGATAAACGGGAGATCCCGCGATATATCGCGACGCGAAAACGTTTTCTCGGGCTCGACGGAATCCCCCGTTCGAGCCGCGGGAGCAACGTTAATCGCATCAAAAGCGAAAACAATACAAATTTCCATCTTCGTTGCTATCGGAACAAAAAAGATAAAAGAAAAATACAAAATTAATCTCAAAAGAAATGTGAAACGAACGACGGATATATCACCCGTGCCACGAAAATTACCACCACCAGGCGAGGGTAATATAATCAGGGTAAGAGTCCACCAACCCGGCAAGCAAAAAGATATGTATGTCCACAAGGCACATTTATTAAACATGATCGTTCACCATCGATATAATCGTCGATATACAGAAAAAAAAGTGTATACAAGGTGTAAAAAAAAGATCAGTATATACTACGATTCTCGTGTAAATGCGTGTACGTGTTGTGTGTGCGTGTGTATGTGTACGTACTCGTGTGGGTGTATATTATGTGCGTGAGTGTCCTATATATCCCAGTAGATAAAACGCAATCGGAAAAAAAACGTCCTGCCGTAACGAAAAGAGAGCAAAAAAAAAAAAGAAAAAAAAAAATCAACAACAAAATATAGGAAAAAAAAAAAAAAAATGGATCAAAAGTGTCGCACAAGAACCGAACTGGTCCAGTTTTCGTTACCTCGCGAACGTGCGCGTGTGGAGTTGTACCGCGCGATTTTATTAACTTTCGCCAGGACAATCACGATTGGCCGTGAACTCGCGGAATTGTTTTGTACGACGATATCCTGGAGACCCTTGCCCGTCTCGTAAATCCCTCGATCATTGATTCGATCGATTACACGATAGTTTCGTCGATCATTAAATTTATTAATTCAGCTTCAGAGCGCGACTCGGGCGAGAATCCCACGATTACGATTGTCAAACGCGTTCGATGTTTCGTAAAAAGCACCGCGAGGGATTAAAATGATTTCGAGATGGACCAGAGTCTGCCACATGTTTCTATCCAAAGGCCCCTATGGATGTATAATTAGTTCACACAAATACCGCGCCGCCTTAGTCAGCATCCGAATAGTAGCGACAAACGTATGTACTGACAATAACCAGTACCGACGACAATGAGTTAAATGTAAATTTGCAAAGGGACGACACTGTCAGTCACCAGGTTAGCGATTCACAATAACCAGACAACACATTCAACGCAATGGGAAATGCCACGGCCTTGATATAACGAGCTTTTTGTTGTTTTTTTTTTGTTTTTTTTTTTTTTGGAGTTAGTACGGAGGACGATAGTGTCTATAATGCTACTCCCTTTTCACTTGTTCTTTTCTCCATCCTTTCGCACCCACGCACACACACTCTCTCTCCCTTTCTCTCCCTCAGTAGCCTGTGGATTCGTGTATAATACGGCTCGTGTGAGTGCCCAGCGAAAGCTAATGGCAGGTAATACACATTTGAACGACATTATGCGTCGATACGTTAAGCCGCTCGATTGAAAGACGTAGCTTTGTGTTAACGCTCGATGAAAATGTTTTTGGAAATCAATGTGCATCGCTGCAACAGTTTTCCTAGAGCACTTGATCTGTCGACGCATAAAGTTGTCCGTTCGTTGTACGCGTGTCTCGTTCATCGAGAAGGCGCATCTTACGTACCGTACATACGGCAATTATCGATGGTAATGGTATTTTTAATAATAATAAAACAAAAATAAAAAGAGTCCCCGCGATAGTCGAACGCGTTAAGAAGTTCGGCCCGCGTTCGTGACTCGCCTCACCTTCGATCGGTATTAATTTTCGCGGCGATAAGAATCGAACTCCGGGCGAACGTCTCAACGCGCTCGACCGATACATTTATTTTACGTTTGTCAAAAAAAAAAAAAAAACACACCAAGATGCGCCCCCGTGGAGACGACGCGAAACGGAAGCACCAATAAATCCCTCGCCGACGCGCGTTAAGACGGCTACGAAAATAACGACTGGTTCGCCCTCGGTGTCGCGTCGTCTCGCGAAATCTAGTTTCTAGGATGTCTATTAATGCTAGGGTGAAGCCGACTCAGGAAGCATAATCCCGACGTAAATATATATCGGCAGGCAATACCCGATTCTCGAGTTACATCTGTGAGATTGGAATGCAAAGTGTGCGCGGTGCCCGGATACCAAAGTACATTCTTCGTGGGCTTTTCCTTCGACGCCATTGGAGAGCGAAGGACAGCGAACGTCGATCGATCGAGCTATCCCAATCGTTCGATCGAAATGGATCGAAGATGTTCTGGTTTCGCGTGAACTCCGATCAACCGGAATCCGCTGTACCTCTTTTCAACCTGCGAACGGTGAACGCGAAAAGTATCGGAATAGGGCCCCGTGTGCACACTTTGCACAGCAATTCGTAACGACAAAACAGGACTAGGTATACCAAAAGTACTACTACTCGATTACTATGTAATACGCTACCGCATCCTGTCAAACAGAGAGAGGCTTGTGCGAGATTATATAGGATTACCACGTAAAAGTACGAGAAAATTGTTACGAGGTGTGTGTACATGTCGGCAGGTCGGGGAAGGAATGCACGAGGAAGGAACGGAGGAACACCCGGGGAACAAAAAAAAAAATTATATATATACGACTAATATATAATGAACATAGTTACGTGCTAAAGGAGAAACGAAATTGACGCGTTACGTAAAACGTCTAGCTGTGAACGATAACTAACGAAGAAAGATTATTACAGGTACTTGCAGGTATGCACGTCCCTCTACAAACCACGGCATGCAAACCAGTCATTTCTATACCCGTGGACTTTATACTTTCGAGGCAACAACGATCATTGTACGTTTCCGTGTTCAAATTCGTCTTGTTATCGCGCTACGCAAAGAAGAAAAAAAAAAAAAATAATAGATAGAAAGAAAATACGTGGCAAGAAGAAATTTTTCATCGTGATAACACCGAGATCGAGTATTAAGGGGCCCACACAGAGAGTCGGAACAAAAGGAACTTCTCGGGTCACGGAAGACCGTGAAAGCTCTTTTATAGGCATGATAAATATGCACGATCGTCGTTCGCACGGTCGGTCTCTCTGCACATTTCTTCTCTAATAGACCACATATTCTATCCACCAACTATGTTACCGTTAAATATAAAACCGTGGAAGAGCATCGAAAGGGTGAAAAATGCCGACACCAAGTTAACAATCACAAGCTACGTGACCCGAATGACGGTACAACGTGAGAGAATTTCGAAGAATCATATCAAGCGAAGTTAATAAGAAACTTCGATTCTCATAAATTCCGAAATAGTTTCTAATTAAAGTTTCTGACGGGTAAAGAAATACGCGAATATACTCTCTTTTTACGACACCAACGAGCTATGCGAATGAATAAAATTGGTATTTATGTGTTTGCTTAACGATGAAACTATGTAAAGTTAACGTTTGAATATCTATAAACTGTTGAATATGAAAATTTCGAGTAAAAAAAGAATAGCTCTGTTGCGCGGAGGAATGCAATTATTTTTAGAACAATGTCGTAAGGACATAGATTGTCGTATTTGAAATTGGGAAAATTGCTGCTGCCTGCGTCTCCAAGGTTTTCTCTCGTAACTTTAACACGATTGTCCAACCGATTAACGTACTTGCACTGTCGTAGAATGTTCGTGTAAAAACAATAATAACACGTTCGAACGTAATTGTTCCGATTTCCGGTTTCGAGTGTTGAGTACTCCCCTGTGACTTTCGATCGGTAACAGACGGTATATAAGCGTCTTAAGTGTCTTATTGGGAATGTGATGAGAGCTAGAAACGGATTTGTGAACTTCATCGTCGGACTTGTCGGCCATGTCGGACATGTTTGGCTCGGGAAGCTCTCGCGCATCACAGTGCAAAAATTTGAGCGAAACCGCGACACGACCAGGTTCTTTTTTTTTTTCTTTTTTCTCTCGTTTCTGACGCACCGTAAAGTAGATGCCGCGTGAAGATATAGCTACGCTCCAAAAGATCAGAGCTTAAAAAATTGATAACATTGGATGGAATGTCCATTACTTACGCACTAATAAAAATATTTCTAGCAAAATATATAAATCATATATATATATATATATAGTATGTATATGTTTGATATTTGTATATATAACATATAAATTTATATGTATATATTTACATATGCATATAAATCACGAAATCTTCAGAAAAAATGACCTAAATCAAAGAGTCCTCGTTCGCGTTTACGTTAAGGCACTTTGTTGCACATTGTATATAACGATGCGATCTTACGTGTAAATTACCAGACTTCACACAAAACAAAGAGACACGCGATCGCGTACAGCGATACACCGTCTAAAGAGCGACGCTTATCATCAAAAAACGTGCATGTTACGTAAAATAAAGTAACACATAAAACACTCTAAGTACTGTTGCTCGATATAAGTATCAAAATGGGAAACGCGTCTGAAAGAATAGAAAGTATTGTACGTATATTCTAGTCGGAGGAAAGGGTTCCAAGGACAAGGACCTCTAAATAACAGTCACCGTACACCGATACAAAAGGGGGTCTTGCACAAAGTACCATGCGGAATGTCTGCAAATAACAATAGCGAAATAAGAATTGTGTACCATGTACATTCGTGGAAAGAAATGAATCATACGTCTCGATAATACGATGCACTCATACACGATGACGATGCAACCGGAGTAAATTTTTTCCGTGCCTCTCCGTTACAAGAGACGCGAAGAAAGTATAAAGGAACGGACGATTCGTTGGTTGCATTGGACGCGACCAGCGTAAGCGTCGGGAAAGAATACGAAGAACGGAGCACGTGATTGAACGAAGATTCATAAACACCGATCCGATCCGTTTTTCTTTTTTTTACCGCCGCGATCGACACTGGCACGGCTCGATCCATCAGATCTGAGGATAAAATTGAGCGGGATAAGGCAAACCAGGTGCCGCGGTCGGTGCTTGGGCGAATGCAGTCGCTGGCGTGTGCCACGTGGCGCGTTTCGCGACAGTATTGGATGCATCGGGCGGGAAAGCGCTTTCCCAAGTTCGTTTCAGTCCCATTATGGCGGCTGGGTTTATAGGCGCGGCTTGGACGATGGGTGTCAGCAGGCTGTGGGGCGCTGGTGCTCGTAAAATCGGAATTCGAGAAGGAACGTTGAATAGTAAGAAGGGTGCTGGTGTCGGTTGTTGAGCGTGAAGCGCTGCGGCCGCAGCCGCCATGGCACCTGCACCTGGAGGTCCCATGGCGTACGCGGGTATCTGATGCTGCGGATTTGGTCCGGGTAGAGCGAGGGTTTTAGTCGTCACCGACGAAGTTGGGGATGCAGGAGTGGTGGAGGTGGGTGGCGGATTCGAGGCTAAGGCCATCAGCCAAAAGTCTTGATTTCGGATTGCCTGAGCTTGAGCTTGAGCTTGAGCCTGCGCTTGAGCCTGCGCCTGTGCTTGGGCTTGAGCCTGCACTAACGCGTGAATATCCCAGAGGGGAGGTTGCGCCGTCGGTACCGGCACCGGTACCGGCGTCGGCGGAGGCGGATGTGTCAAAGTTGCGGGATTTTGTGAGGTCAACGTACCGGGTGATAGCAGAGCCTTGGTTGACGGTTGAGTTACCGCACCTGTCAATACCAGATTCATATCGTCCCCGCTGCACTGGAACACTTCGATGTAACGTTGCTTCTTTCCATATATCATGTATCGATGATGTCGTTGCGACGCGCATGCGAATGCCGAACTTTCGCTGTCCATTTGAATAAACGCCTCCCCGGAAGGCTGACCCTGAACCGACAAAAACGATCGTTAATGAACGGTAAATACTACTATCTTGAATCCTCTATAAAACACTTAGATCTCCTATTACCAACAAAACTCGGTAAATTCTTCAAAGAAATGGATATACTTACTTGAGCGTTATAAACCATATGAACACCTTGATAAACAATATTCTTAGAATGCTCGCCCATAAACTCGAGAATATGCTCTACGAGAGCTTCGTAAGGAAGACCGCGCAATCGAACGCAATCTTTACGGGTACCGGACGTAATGATATGTTGTGGAAGTATTGGGGGAAGCTGTGGAATGGGTGGCGTCGGAAGCACAACCTGTTTCGGGTCAATCGCCCTATTCAAGACCTGTAAATCACAAAATCGATATGCAAATGAACCGTCTATTTTCACTACTTTTGTACCCGCATTGTTTGCGCGCGCACGCACCTGTTGCACCTCGGCAATTGTACTGCGAAAAAGTTCAATATACCGACTACCAATACAATCTCTGTGTTTGCTCAATGCCTTTACGGCATCTTCTTCTTTCGCAAAAAGAACGAAAGCGTCTCCAGTCGCTCTCCCATCTGGTTTCTTGACGAATAGAACTCCATCCTCCCCATCTAACACATGACAAGGCTTTTGTCCTGACAAAAAGAAATCCAGCTGTAAAAAAAATAATACACCATTAAACCGACGCCAGAAATCTATGATAGAATGTACAAAAAGAATACATTTTATTCTTTTAGTACTCACCACTTGTTTAGCAACACAATCGTACGGCAAGCCTCTCATTCTAACAATAACTTGTGCTCCTCGTGACAAAAATGCATGAGCCTCCCCGCTTGTACCACCAGCAACACCAACAAAGTCTTCTCCAGAAGCCTTGTAAACTTCTATGTATCGTCCACCCATATGATGTTTATGTCTTTTTAAAGCCATGTCTCTGTGTTCTTTATTAACAAATCGTACTAATGCTTCTCCGTTACGTCTTCCCATAGGACTTAAACACAGAGCTACACCACCCCTACGAAACAATATTTTTAACTGATACTGTGACATAATAGAGAGCAGTACATCATACATAATTTTTTAGGTTATTATATAGTAGATAAGCGTAAAAAATAACGTTATGTACGTTACAACCGCAATAATCTTGAGAATTATTCGTAAAATTGTGTGGCACACAAGATTCATGACCCCAGATAATAGTTATCATAGCACGAGCAAAACATAAACAAGTAAACAAGGCATGACATAAGTTTTTAAAACATGTTTACTACCTTATACGTAAACGTAACTACTTCCTTGGTAATTAAACTCACACAACAATCTGATAGAATTTAACAACTGCGTTAACAATATAAATCTATTTATGCGTCAGATATGAATGTTTACCTTTTCTACATGGATCCAAGTGGCTTGTACACAAATACCACAACTGTTATTACAATTTATTTTAAACAATTTTTATATTTAATACCTATAGATAGTAAATTTCACTTACTTGGCAACATTTAAGCCACGAAAAAATTTTGCTATGTCCTGATCAGACGATTGCCAAGGAAGACCTCGTGCTCTTACTACACAGCCATTGTCAACTTCTTCATCTTTTGAGCTAGAAAAAAAAACATTACATAATATGAACAGAATATATTTCAGAATTAATAGCACTTTTAAAATAAAAATGTAATAAACATAACTCACCATATACCAGGTTCTAAAATAATGTTAATTACTTCGGGAGTTTGGAAAACGTGACCTACAATGAAAAAATATAATTGTGAGCATAAATATAAATTTATTTGGCATGCTAATAACAATAGTTTTACAATAATATTGATGGTGGAAAAAAGGGTATGGTCAAGATTAACCTCATGGATCAACGTCGTTCATATACTAACGTGATCGTGATTCACATCGATCAAAAAAATCGAGTACAATGCGATTCACCAAGGTCTCGATGTTCTACCATTTCTTAATAATTCGTTCATTGAAATTCAAATGGAAATTGACAGTAAGACCGAGCATGCATAAAATACGTTGCTCCTATCGCGAATATATGTATTTCAAACATATAACTAAATGCTGTAAGTTCTATTTTAATTCTTGCATTAATTATAACGTAACATTTTGAACTTGCAATCTACCTTTCATATTAGAGAATTACGAAGAGGAAAAAGTGCTTCGAATTTACGGTTGCGTCGTCGAAATAAATCTCAGTCGGACGGTTTCTGTTTACAAGAAAAGGGAGAATCTTTTTCCCATTGACTATTGAAAAGTTCTGGCAGTGTCTATTTTGTTCTGATTCGTTAACGTCGGGGAGAAGACGGTCTAAACAAAGAAATGTTAACAGGCGATGCCTCGGAGAGTCAAGCGAGGTGGTAGATTTACAATGGGTAACCTCGCTTCCTCCTGGTCAACACATGCGTTTGCAATGCAAATTTTCTGTCAAGAGAAAGTTTTAGTATACTTCTTATGTAAATGTCCGCGAATACAACGACACCCGTTATCAAAATCAATTTTCCCTCGGTCTTAAATTTTCATCGAAACGAATTTTCCATAATTTGCCGCACAAATCGATTCTCCCGCGTAAAAGATAATTGTCGTTCCCGGTATCTCGGAACTCTGTCGTGTACGCGTTTCCTTCTGTAACCATACACCGGTGGATTGTCTCTGATTTCTCGCGCTCGAGTGAAATTCTCGCATTCAATTTGCCTACTCGGTGCAACGTGTCAGCACATCTTTTCAACAATTTCACGGACAAATATTGTCCAATTTTCATAGCCCGACGCGACGAATACAAAATATTTTTTAACCGTCGAGTAAAGCGCGAACAAGCGACGGTAAAAATATTGCCCTTTGTTTTCAGCAACAGGAGGTGTAAGTACGTGCCCCCGCAAGAAACCAACTGCGCGTTGTGTTCAACGCGTGCACACCGTCCGATACACTGGCACACGATGCATTTAAATTTAAAACCATCACGAGATGAGTACCACTGTGATAAGGAGTATATTATGGCCGTCACTGCTTATAACATTACACAGTTTGACCCGCGTTCATAAACCATGAACACGCAGAAGGGACCAATGCACGGACCTGAGACATATACTATGTATTCTCTCCCTCTCTCCCTTTTCGTTCCGTTCTTTTATTGTGTCGTTTTGTATCCTTTGCATTCGCTTGTGCTAGGCCTTTCTTCGTTCGCGTGCAACGCAAGTGGAGTTAGGTATCGTTTAAAATAGAAATATTTCGAATGTAAGATGAAAAAATAGAACAGACTATTTAATATTTATCTTTTCAAGGACATTTCACTCTGGCTTGACAATTATTCGATTAAATTTTTTACAAATGTTATCGATCGTGCCGTTGCATATCACAAAAAAAAAACTCCAAAATATCACGTGCGAGTAGTATTACGTGAAATAACAAAGATTACTTAACGATGTTCCATTTTTGGGATATGACATATTATAAGAAGCTTGCTTCTACGAAAAAAATGATGGCTCGAAAGTCATGCGGCCTTGAGTATTATGGATGAAAAAGGAAAGATTCATAGTCTAGGCACGTGCCAGTTAAAAATAAAACACGATTAATTAGGAAGTCTGTATCAACGTGGTTCACTGTTAACGTGTAATTGGGACTCGGGACGTGTACGATTAGGGTTCGAATTACGTTTAATAAAATACTGATTATAACTTAAGAAATTAAAACGAATCGATACTCTACGTTCGTTAGCCGTGTTTAGAGTCCACGAAAGACAGAAATATCGTACGTGAACCTTAATCTTTGAAAAATAAAGGCCATTTTTTCTTTTTTCGCACGAGCTGCTCGTTAATTACAAAAAACTGCCGCTATCAGCCGTAGGAGCAGATTAGATATAATTTTACATTACACATTTTTATATTCCAACCGAGAGGAAAATTCGTGGACTTGTCACACGACGACTTACCATCTTTGATCATTCTTTGTATTACGCTGATCATGTCCTGTATCTCCTTCACGTGATAATCGTTTTCCGTATCGGACGGTAGACCGAAATCTGATTGTCGTCGAGTCAAGGATAAATTTTTGTCAAAAAACGAATAATTCCTATCGTGACGAAACGGAACATAGATTCTCATAATCGACGGTTTTACGTAAGAGCGCGCGATATATCGGGATATCGAACGAGTCCAAACATTATCGGATCTGCTATTGCTTAAAAATATTTACGATTTATTTTGCTCCGATTTGATATTCATTTAGAAGCGTTTGGAGATCGATTCCAAATAAACGGAAATAATACGAATGCACGTTCATATTTCTTGCGTGACCGATAAAAAGAAAAAAAAAACTATTAAATTACAAAGTTTACCGTGATAATAAAAATAGAAATTAATTCGATGTTGTGTAAATATAAAGGAGCGGCAGCCACGGTTTAAGGATGAGTAGCTGAGAACGCCGAGAAATCGAACAGACTTGTTACGCGCATAATTATTATCCGTATATCTCGTTTGGTCGTCAGGCTGTTACCAATATCTCCACCAGGTTGACCTTTACACCGTGTTCCGCGCGTGATAAGACTACGTTGGCCACTTCATGGGACTTTCTTAAGTCATTCGATTGATCTTGGTGTCGTGTACATTTCGATTTCGTTCAATTTTTCCTCGAATTTTTATTCCACGCTCGCAAAAATTCCAAGACAATGTCTGTTGTTATAATATCTAACGCTTACGACTTGTTCAGAAAGACTGGAGGACTTTAACGAGACTAGAATCCTCGGCAAACAAGAGGTAACGTAGACGCATTAAGAATAGTGTCACTTCCGGAGTTTTTTTAATTACGTGCTTAAGGTCATTACGTGAATAAAAATTTAAATAATGAGACCAAACAGAAAAAAAAACAAAATCAACCAATCTTGATACGAACCTGAATCGATCGATATTCGTGTCTACTGTATCTCGGTAGCCACAGGTGGTTTTGTTTTATTAAGGACAGATACAACACGCACGACGCTGACAATATAGAACGATTATAATACCCTAATCCCAATAGAGTTTAATATCGAGGTTGGATTAGATCCGCGACAGGTAACCATTTGCATTTGCGAAGTGGTATTTCCTCTTTCGAATTAAATCTCACCTACGACCGCCGCGACTTCGACTCCTTTCATGCAAATGCAAAGGAATATGAAAAGAACCGAGACGATGTATACATAGATGCGAAGCAGGTTCTTAGTTTTTTCATTCCCAGGGAAACGAAAATATAATTATATGACACGGTAATACATATGAATGACTGTACTAATGTATTAATGCCTACACGTACGCGAGCAACCAGAAGAATAAAAGCAAACGATCACGATACATCGCTAAACTTGCTGGGAACTATTTTCCACGCGAGCATATGATTTGCAAATGCTTCTTTTCTGACGAATATGCAACACGCGTTGCAAGACACGTACTTTTCCATCGAATAAAAGTTCGACGTGCAAAACGAAACTACGCGAAACACGCGCAGAAAGGAAAACCTTTCGACGTGTACGCGTGTTGGAATAAGGGAAACATACCTCGGATTCAAACCGTAAAGCGTTTAAGAAAATGTAGAGATCCAGAATAGTTCGGCCGTCGTGCAATATGCGTGGAAGGAATGAATGAATAAATTGTACACTCTCGCGAGGACCGTCGGATGTACTGTGTTGGAAATCGAGAAGAAAACGATACCGGCGTGCAAGCAATATTTATGATAGAATATATGTTGGCCCGCAAGAGCGCAATTACACGATACGCGCACCCTCCGACCGCTTGCAGACTGACTTTGCACCAGCGGCCAGTTCGTCGTCAGGTTCGTCGAATATGTTGGATTCGACTTCTGTCGCGCCGCCTAACGGCCGCACGCCTTGGAATTCTCCTCGTTTCGACCATAGTCGTCGCCTTGAGGCGATCGGACGGTATCGAAAACCGAAATCTTGTCTTCGATCGGCGAAACGCGACGATTCGCACGACGACCAAACGAGTATCGAAAAGTAACCGTATAAAGAGCTACGACAGCTATGGAATAAAGTTCAATACCTACGCGAGCACGTTTCCTCTGGATTTTTATAGCCCTTTTGCCGGAGATTTTTTCCTGCCCCGACTGCTCGCCAGAGGGAGTAACTTGTCACTTCAGTTCGAGATCAGGGATGCGATTATTCGAACGGTTTACAGGCGTTCGAATACCACAAACGAATTTCGAATATTTCGAGAACATATTACTCTGGATTATACGATGATCGCAATAAAGGGTTTACCAAGCGTTTAAATAAATAAATATTGGAATTTCAATTATATATTCAATTAGATAAAAATTTAACTGTTCGATCGAATAAACATCAGAACTAAATTAGTATGTAACAGTGTTATTATTAGGGAACCAAACCAGGGTTGGATAAAATTCTTATCTATATAGATAAAAATGTCAAACAAAAAACTGAATCGCTATACGTTTGCTTTATCGGCTCGAAGAGAATTTGGCCTAAATTTGGGTCACGGCAGTGGATGCTATGCAGCTGTAGGGAAATAAGAGTTTTTTCGTATCCTGACTCCTCGGGAGTGGGAGGGAGCAACTTGTTTCGGTGGTCCTATGACGTTTCATCGTGGAAAGGATTGACGAACGCGAGCGTGGAGAAAACAAGGAAACAATTGAGCAACATCGAATCGTTAATGGATTGTAAAAGGATACATTCCAGCATCTCCTGTATTCCAAAGGTCGAAAGCTCTCCGTGGGTGGAATAACAGGCGACGAATTCCTTGCGGAGATCGTGAAAGAAGTTGTAGTGTTCTGGTAGCTCGATGTCTTTGTTGCAGGCCTCTGGGTGCAAGCATTGTCTTAACGGCGCCTGACCGTCTACGACGAATCGTGGTGTGGAACCAGACGTCACGCAGGACATGGAAGACCACCATGCTTCGAACTTTTGTTAAAAAATGAAATTATGTAAAAAATCGATTTCCTTTACGTTCCTCGAAGCATCGGAATTTTTATAAAATACAATTCTCCATCTCCTAGACACGAAAACGTTCCGACAAAAATTATTTGTTAAAAACTGTTTTTCCGAATAAAAGTCCTTTGTAACCATTTCGAAAATCAAAAACCTATAACAGTTTTCAAGCTTCGAAAAAAAACCGATTTTCACTGTTTACCTAAGTTTTACATATAATTCGAGAGTAAAAACACTTGATGCTCGATATTGTAATCTTTAAATATTTGTTCGGCGACACGACCAACTGCGCGTATTTTGAAACGTTTATCTTTCTTTTTACATAGCGAAGGCCGAAATTATTGTGTCCTCTTATCGTTCGTACCGAGTGTACATGTATAGAAAAAGAAATTGCATAACAGATTTACAAATATCAACGACCCGCGTATCCGATCTAAAATCTTTCGATAAAGTTTGATTACCTGCTCGATGGCTTGCTCCAAAGGAATCCCGTGTTCTCGAACCGTTTTTTCAGTTAACGCCGGAGCATGCGTCAGTGCTGCTTCGCTGATAACTCCGCTACTTCCGGCGACCGCCGGATTGTCGCTACCGGTTCCAGGTGTACAACTTTCATCCATTACCATCGGTCGTACAATGTATTGTTGTCTTCCCAACACCTGCAATCGTCAGGTCCATAAATGGACAACGAAACAGTGAATCATTCGAAAACTTTTTCCGGTTAAATAATTATTTTCATGCTCGGAAAGCGCCATATAGATTGCATTCCATTGGAAACGAAATCTAGAAAATGACGATATAACGTAACGGAAACAGAAACAATTTATCGAGTTCCAGAGACCGATTTATACAGGGTATCCAAGGTTTTAATGTTCCTCTTCTAAATAAATGAGAAAAAAATATTTACAGATTATGTAAGTTTCATAAAAAATTATAGAAACAAATACGGAATACAAGTGGAATAGTAACAGATTTGCTGTTACTGCGAGCAATCAGCAATATTTACATTTAGTGTGTTTACATAAACTGTGTCTGCTATCTAAGGTCGACTAAGATTTTGAAAGTAATTTTCGCCAATAATAGCTGTTAGTAAGTTATTTGGGCTTCATATCGAAATGCCACGAGTGTTTACGAATCGAGAATCTGCAGATATGCATTTCATTTACCGATACCGATAACTTTTTAATAAAGCTTCAAATTACCCATATTTATCAACATTTTTTTTTTTCCTCATTTAGGTGTTATAGGATATACCGACAAAGCTCGAACATTAAAACCTGAGACACACTGTATAAATGAAAGTTGTAGAGGTCGAACGCGTACCGTGCAAGTTTCAGTTAACTTCTGTTTACCTTTTCAGTTATCGAGAATCTACGAAGAGATATAAACGAAGCTTCGACTTATAAGACATCGTGGTTCTTTTTATAAGTTGTTGTACCAACAGTGCAGGGTACGTAATTACCTTTGCCAATCGCACCGTGCCCCTGTAACCCTGCTACACGTCGTGCACAATGACACAACCGAATCGGTTGCATACGAACAGGGGTATGCAAATTGTGTAATAAGAAGTCTTATTGCCAGTGTTTACTTTGTTTTATTATTGGCCAGCAATTAAAGAACACTTCGTTAAATTACTGTCTGACGTAATTTCTGTCCGCGTTACAAAAACTTTCCAACCGTTTCATTTCGTCGTATAACGATCCTCTCTGATAACAAAAAAACCAATCGTACGCATGGGAATTATTAATAATCGTTCGTCCCGATATTTGTATCGATTCGCGCGATCTACGTATGCAGATGAAACACGGTACGCTTCTTTTAAAACCGATCGCTTCCGCCTTTGCTTATATAAAACCTTTCCGCAACGCGCTACAAGATCGTCTAAATGAGTTTAAACATGGTATACCGACGCATCGTTAATTGTAACTAGGAATTTGGCGTAATTGCTCGTAAACACGCGAAAAGAATCGATGGTAGAAACTCCGGTGCTCATCGACGAAAATGAAAAAAAAAAAGAAAAAAGTAACCCGCCGCTACGGTAACTCAAGCTTTTACCACGTTTCAAACGCGAGTAGAAAGTGGCAAGTTTGCATCGAACGAGCGCAAGTGTTAAAAACAAGTTTTCGTTTCGAAACGAAAAGAGATCGAACAATTTCACAATGCACGACAGACATAATATTTACTGTACGAGGCAGTCGTTAGAAACGGAACTTAATGTCTCCTGTTATCTCGACGTTACCAAAAGAACGCATCGATTCTTCCTACGACGGTTTATTTACAAGCAACCCGTGTATATGTATACATACAGAGTGGCCATTTGAAAACTTCAAGTCCAAGTATCGCGAAAACACCACATTTGTTAAAAAAATTCTTCGGTTACGGAAACTTGAATTCCCCATAAATTCAGAAATAATTTCGAACATTTCTAATGGTTTCTTAGGATAAAGAAATCCATACACGAAGACGATATCCACGATCTGTGTGATTCAATGAATCGATGAAGCTGTGTGGAGCTAGGGTTTCGATATTTCGTTTAAAAATAATGGTTGGAAAAACAGTTGTGGGGCATCGATTAAATCGAAGCTGTCGCGACAGGCAGCGCGGTGTTCGTGCGAAACGCGGGATCGTTAAAGTGTTAAAAAGCATCGCAATCAGTGCGTATGGAAATGGCGATTATGAGAAGCCATGATACGTGAACGCGTATACGCGGATGTCACATGGCGAGTAAGTATACACATACACGGCCGATGTTGGTAGGAGCCGTGCAAGAAACTTAATAGGCAGGTACTTTGACGCGGGGTTAACGGATCAAGGTAGTTCGGTACGAGCATGCTACCGTGCCACGGGCTTGAATTATCTTTATCGACGTGCCGATAAAACCTCGTGGCGTAACTTGCGACACAAACGAACCAACATTAACATTACGTAAATGTTAATTAGTATCAGATAATCAGCAGAGTCTACGGAGGCGTAATTTTGAATATTAAGAGTATCGCGACCACACACTGATACCAGGACTTTACTTGGGCATCATCGAAGTTGACGAGTTATTTTTGGCGAACGCGAGTACACACACGCGAGGCATCAAATTGATGCAATCGTTCGAGTATAATAATATTTGTTATTCCATAAACATGCTTTACAGCGATCTACGCCTAACTCGAATACAAAGAACCTATTCAGGTAGGCATAGATAGTTCATTTTCTTGAGTCTAACTAAAACTCTTCGACGATGTATCGAGACTTGCTTTCAGCGATGTATGTGAAAGCAGAAACGCAACGTTATCTTGAACAATAACGAAAGAAACACTGTTTCGCGTGTCTGGGAATGTCCTTCGCGAACAATTGTTTTTCTCGACTTTTCGAAAGCTTTTGATACCATAGATCACGGCCTATTAACAGTTACACTTAATACTATTAGCATAACTGATACCACCTTATCTTGGATCTCGTTCTACCTATCCCATAGAATTCAACGGGTCACGATTTCAGAAACATCATCTTCCTTCGCTTGTCTAATTAATAGGCAGAAAATTCTATAAATTCTATATTCACGCGATCTTCTCCTTACAAACCGCAATAATCACCGCGATAAATTCTTTTCCACGAGACGCGACAACGACCTATCCCATCCCATTTATCGTTCATCCAAATATCACACGGTTCTTTCTCCGAAAACTCCGTTCACCACGGTAATATAACTCACAATCGGCATAAGTAATCTAAAATATGCGTATCCTTCGTAAACGGATTCCTATCTAGCGCATGTTAATGTTGCATTCGATTTTAGGTTGCATACGGTTAAACAAACACGCTTAAATATTTCTGGGACGGTTTAAAGAAATCCGTTCGATTGATTCCAATTTACGAATAAATCTACCAACGAAAGCGTAAACGGAAGTTAGTTTACGAACGAATCTAACATTTCTATTCATTATTCGTGAATAAAATTTACCCGACCACGGCGCGGATGATCCTCCATTATTTTCGTTCGCTCGTACCCTGGCCATTTACCACCATGCTCGTTCCAAGAAACGATTTACGACGTGGAAAAATAATACCGATCCGTACTGTCCGCGACCCAGGTAAATGTTCGGAATTACCTGTCCGTCCCCGTCGAAGGTTCGTCTAAATTTTACTGCCGTTGGGTCGTAATGGAGCCTGCGTCGAATTGTTTTACGCGGGGCACCATAGAGGGGAACCGAAAAATAACCGATCTTCGTCGTAAATGTTTACGAATTCTCGTTACGCTTCCCACGTGTCTAAAAACAGGTGCGGGAGACTTCGTCTCTTTCGCGAAAAGATCCGTGGTGGAAAAGGGGGGTCGAAAGAGATCGCGAAACGAGAATAAAAGGTGTAATTTAACAGCGTATTAAGGTGTTAAAAATACCGTGTGGTCGCGGTGCACGAGGCGGTAACGTGAACTCATAAATTGCAAATCCGTGGAGTTGGATCGCAAATACGAGACAACCAATGACCAGAAGAACGACAGCTCGACGAGGAAGGGGGAGGTCAAAGGTCGCGAGTTGCGTCGCTTGGCAAGAACTGGCTTGCGCTCGTCGATGGAACAATGTCAGGAAAACATGGCGAATTCCGTCGAATGTTTTAAGTAATTACACGCTTGCACGCGAAATGAAATATGTATGTTGGAACCGAAACATTTTACGTAATACGAAGGAAGGGAGTACTCGCGATCTAAGTAAACTGTTAATTCGAATCGAAGTAAACGAAGATCCGAGAAGAAAAGCCAAACGACAGGAATAGAAAAGGAGTAGATCATGGGAACGCGAGGCCACGCGCCATTTTGCAAACTCGCGGAGAATTATGGGAGATAAATGATCTCATCCATCCACCATATTCGCCTGATATTGTACCCTCGAATCATCATTTGTTTCGATTCGATTTTTAACATTTCAGACCATTATTCCGATAAATATTACATAGAAAGGGTTTGTGGAATGAAACGAACGTTAACAAACGTTAACAACCACTGGAATACGTAATTATACATGGCGCAGTGGACTTGCTACGCCTTGGTTGTTAACAAAAACTCTGAGTGGAAGAACTTTATGTTTATTCTCGGTAACGTTGCAAAAAGAACCATGCAGAAATCCTCTGGAAGTAAATTAATGTTTTAATGATATTTCGTGTATTCGAAAACTTAATAACGAACGAAGGATCATCGGTATAGAAATTGACCAACAGATCTACAGTTACTTAATCTTGACACGTGACCCACGCTCACATTCCAATTCGATCGTTTCGACACCTTTGGTGGAAACAGCGTTAACGGTGCAAGAGACTATGTTTTCTTTTCTACGCTCAAGATAATTGAGAATATTATTTCAATTCTATCGTCGAGGTAACGGGGCGACAGTGGGACGAAGGATTTCAACGACTGCTACGGCTTCCTCAAACCTTTTCCCACAGAATACATTAAAGTCTTAGCGGTATTTGTGAGACAGCAGCGCGAGGACGAGGCGGCACAAAGAGAGACGCGGGAAAAGGACAGAGGTAAAAGAAAAGGTTCAGAATAGAAAGACCGGAATGGGGCGGCCGGACGCGAATAATAGTCTGCACGCGTAATATCGTAAGCCTGTGGAAACTGAAGAGGATGGAAAAAGAATCTGGTAATTGGACGGTCCCCACCTGTTCGCAGGAACAAACTAAACTCTTATCCAGATACGAACATCGAGCAACGTATTACAAGAATTTTGCAAAACGATTCGTCGCGAGACCCGCTCCGTTTGAACAATAGCTGCTCCTGATAATGGTTCAAACGGAGTCAACTGCTTCTTCGACGTTGCGAACGAAAATTATTTGAAACGGTACGCGGAAACGCGCGTAAAGGAGGTCGCGACGTCTAAATCGACGTGGCTCGTTACAGTTCGACTTGGCCGATCGACTTTAAACGCCGGAAACGAATCACAATAAGCCGGGTTGTGCAAGCATTCGTCAAACAAACGATCGAATCGGGACCACTTTTACAATCATCGAACGAACCGAGGTTTTCCATCTTCCTGCGGATTCGTCGACCGACGCGCTCCAAGCTACTTCGACCCGACGAAAAAAAAAATGAACTCGAATAAAATATTATGTATGTAGATCATTGAATCTGAATAGCGCTCAAGGTACTGAAGAAGTTAGTTTGCATTGCAAATCTTGAAGTTTTTGATCTCAATTTCGTCCTCGAACAAAAAGGCTAACAGCAGCCTTCCAGTGAAAAATGTCGATGAAAACCTCGATTCCTGATACTTAATACTTGTAAAATTCTATACAACGCTGTTATCGAATATTTCTGGAAACGATTACGTTTTTAAGAAATCTACCGTTTCGTCGCAAAAAAAAAAAGTAGCTCGAATCAACGATAGAATTAAATTACACGATACGATTAGTTTGTTTCACATCGCGGGCAAAATTTGCGGTCCGTGAAACTATCACAGTCGAGAGGATTACAAGTATTTCTCCGGCCGGAATCCGTTTTTAAATCCTAACGTAATTTTCAATCCCTGGAAATTACAGACATTACGCGAAGTCGACCTTTTTTATTTGCAAGAGGTAAAACCACACGCTCGCCGTTTCTCGTCTCGGAACGCAACTCCGGCGAGCGCAATCTTGCTTTCCAAGCTAACGAGTCAACGTCCTCCCTTTTCACACGCCAGGGAACGTTTCGCGAAACTTTGGAAAAGATGCCAGGCGCCGACAATATCGAAGACGCGAATAACGAACAGAGGAAAAGAAAAACTACGTTTAAAGAACGACAAACGATGGGGACTTTGTCGAGGAAGTAAAAAACGAATGGGAAAGAAAAAAGGAAACTACGGTTCGAAAACCGACAACGTGGAAACTTTACTTCCTAAATGATTTAAAAATACACGTCGTTTTGAAATTTTACACGACGTTCGTACATTGGATGCACGATGCTTTCACACCTGGATTCTCGTTGTTCATATTGTTCGAGATCTCCAGGTGCAAGTTGTGTTCGCTGCGGAGAGCGTTCCAACGTTTCGCCATCGTCAGGGGTTCGGCGGATGTAGATACCGATGCTGTATTACATTAAAATGTAATATTCGTTTCACCTTCGATCTAGCTTGTAAATGTCATTGAACGTCTTACAACATATCGAGAAGCTACTACATTTTCCTCGGAGCCATTAGACCGAGAGTTCAGGTAACTTCGTGGTATTTGTTCGTAATCTAGATATAGTATATCCTTATTATATTTATTTATTATTACGTACGATGCCGTGCGTCATTGTGAAATAAAAATGAATGTTTTTTTTTTTTACTCTATACTCTGTTACATAATGTGGACGGTTGTGAAATCAATAGGAACGAGTCCTGTAAATTTATTTGTTTAATTTGATATTAAAGCTTTTCGTGTTTCGATATTCGATTTTTGTTTCGATCGATTACGATAAACTGCACTCTCCTCGGAACGTAGGACAATGACTGAATGATCTCGACTCGCGAAACGTCGAACGATTTATCGTTATCGTCGGCGTCGAACGATAGCAACAATACGGTATCGGTCGGATTTTCTCCGAGGCCCTTGCGAAGCGAGAGGAGCTCACCGGCGGCCATTGTCCCCGATCGAGCTCGATCGGAGATAGTCAGGTATGTGACTCGAGGGGAAAAAGGAAACGACCGTCCAGCTGGAACTCGGGCGCACTCGTGCAAGGCGATTCACAACAAAGAATAAAGAAAACTAGGCGCACCTGTTGCCGCGCCGGATGCTCCCCGATTTCTCGAAATAGCGCGAAGCCGAGGAAAAATTTACGAGAAACGGGGGCAGATCGGTACGTTCGTAAAAATATTCGTCGATCGATCTACTTTAACCGCTCGAATCCAATAAACAATAGAAATACAGGCAATTAGAATCCTAGAAGCTCTCACGGCTTCGGTTATTGCATGAATACCGTTCGATGCTTCCGGGTTTGAGCAGAGTCCACCTAGAAATGATTTCGAACGTTTGACCGTTGCAGTTAAGCTCGTACACTGATACTCGAACACTGTAATATTACCGTATTAATAATTTAACGAGAGTATCAATTGTAATTGTATATTACAGAACAAGAGTATAATATTTCCGAGTGAAATATTCAAATCGCGAGAATATGAGTTGAAAGTACGAGATCCGTCAGATACACAACCTACAATACGTCCACTCCTTTCTCGTGCCCCGTACAAAGTATCAGATTTAGATGTTACTATTCGTCAATTTTGAGCATTAAAAACGATAAAAAACGGAACAGACGAACTTATGTTTGATGAAGTAGCGTGTTTGAGCAGGAAGCGCGGATTCTCATCGTCGTTATTTCAAAGAATTAATGAGAAAAGGAGTCCATGGCGCCAGATAATCTCGATGGTAAAGCTGGAGGTAATGGACGACCTTTCGAGGGCGCGACGCTCCGCCCCCACCGGATAATTCGAGAAACAATGGCAGCCGGAGACATGCAGAGACATTGTCCGTACGGTGGCAGCGCAACTTGCAGTAAGATTGACAGTGTTCGGAAAACTTTCGCGAAAGTTGAATGAATCGTCGATGATTTCAAACACCGTGACCTCGCCGATACGATAAACTTAAAGGTAGCGATCCGTTCGACATTAATCGAAGAGAATTAATCCAGCGAAATCGAAGTAATACAACGAGCCGATAATGACGATTCAAACAAATCGAGCGATTCATCGTATCGAGAACAGTTTTCATGGAACAACTCGACATATGTGCATCGTCTCGAAACGAGCGTTACTCCATGTTGTTCCAACAACACGATCGTGCCTCGAGGTGATGTCTAAATGTTTTCAGACCTCGCGAGGGATCGACACGAATCCGCGTTTCTACGTTTTCACAATGCTTGCGGAAATTACCTTGTTCTGTAGCACGTCGACGAGCACGTAAACCAGCAGCGTGATCTCCTCTTCGTCGGAGCCGAGAGCATTACCCTGGAGACCAGCAGTCGCCACGTAAAGGGCAACCAGGTGAGACGGTCCCCTCGCGCCCGTGGTCTGCATCTTTACCAGGGTTACCTTTCCCGTTCCACCCGTTCCGTTCGGGGCACTGCTGGAGCAACGTACACCTGAACCTGTCGACGGAGGTTCACACTTCACGGTGGACACGAACGAACAGAAGCACGTTACCGTGTCCTGGTACGCCAAGAGGTCGGCCTCTACCTACGACCTCACCTGAACCGGTCGCACTACGCTAACTTCACAGACTTTCGGTATCCTGGCGCGACATATCGCCTATTTACCGCGATGGTTTGAGGTTATGGATCGATCGACGACCGTTGGATCCAGATCGCGTGTTGATTGATGCACACGTACGTATCCGTGCGCCACGTTTGCGCAGGTATCGTACGATAACTCCGCGAACGGCCAGCACCCGCGAGTAAATCGTTTCTCCGCGACTCTGTCTATCGACGAGACCGCCGTCGCGAGTGGCAAGGTTTCGTGCAACACTGGCCAACAACCGGCCGACCGTTGCGCGCACACGTCGTTGTTGCCTCACCTGGCGACTGCGCATCGAACCCGGTCGCTCGTTGGTAGAGAGGACCCTCTTTCTCGCTCTCGTACCTTGTACGCTTCCCGCACGGTGAACTCGCGCGCGCGTTGGTGCGACAAAGATGACGTGCACGAGCGCGGAATGGGAACGACAAGGACGCGACGAGTCACGGTGACAAAAAAACGCGGAAACCCGACGATAACGGCACGGGAACGTTTGAATTCGTGATATTTCTTGCTCGATCCGCACAATTCAATGCCGATAGACGTTAAAGTTCGTCGCGCACATTTTCGTTGTTGCTTTCGGCGAAAACGCAACGCAGTCAAGTTAAAGAGGCGAAGGGAAAGGCAGGTCGAAGCGGCGACGCACTAGCCAGGTGCGCAGACATTCCACTCGCTTGCGGTACGCTTACCCCGCCACCCGACCGACGATTATTTTCCACCTGGAGCGCCACGTTTACCTCTTCATGGCGGACCCCTACCATTCGATATATATCGAACGGGTGAAACGATAGTCCCCGTATGAATGAGTTTCGAAGAGGTACACGAACGCGCGTACCTTCCGCGATTCGACTGGGATACCGTACAGTAGCTGGTCGAATTTTATTCACGAATAACGAATAAACATTTCAGATTCGATCGAAAACTAGTTTTTGCTCGCGGCTCCGCCCGCACGGATGTCGCACATCGGACCAGAATTTAATTTTAACTATTCGGACTTTCAATTCAACCTTTTCGTCAGAAATTTTGTACGAAATCCAAACCAAAGGCAATATAAATGAAATTTAGCAACTTTGTATCGCTGATAGTTGAAACTTAACGTTACTATTCTTTACAGGTCTGATTGGGTCATCTAATGTATGTTTTCTTTTACCATAATTCCTACTCTAGTTTATATCTAACTATTGATTCTATTAATTCTCGTCACATTTGCAGGGTGTTTGTAAAACATTCTGTTTTACTCTGCCTGGATATTCTACTGATCGTACGGATGATAAAACGTTGTGGAAAACCTTCACTCCGAGTTGCAAACATCGACTATTGCACTCTAGCGGAAAAGTTCCAATGTTGAAATAAACTGTCAAAGATGTAAACAGTATCTGACGTCGATCGCGTACGATAGCGGAGCATAAACGATGATCTTTAGATACGGAATAATGATAAGAATGATCATATTAATATTAACGATCGTCACGCGATTCGCAGTACGTCAACGAATCTTCAAACGCGTTTAACGATCGATGGAACGTCGTTACTTACAAGTGTACTTAAGGCTTTATTTATGGGATCCATTTTGCATGAGATTTTATTTATACACAAGTGATAAAAAGTTTAAGAGGACTATCTTTCCGATTGATTATCGCACTACATTATAAATACACTTACGCTTTATCAGTCTAGAAACAGTAATATTTTCTTCTGTGAAATATTGTTTTACAATTTTAATTGTTTCTCTGTTTCACGCCATTATGCTATTGAAAGTCGAAATTGTTCACAGTGCCATTGATTGTTCGAGTTAGTCCTGGACCGTTTCGTGGAGACGATGCCCACACGGGGGGACTCTTGAAACTAAATTTTTTCGAAAACTAAGCTCGGAACGAAGCAAAGTTTTCCCATATTTTTTTACGAGGAATAACTCAATGCCCGCTCGTACATAACTTTCAAGGACACCTTGTGTAGCTGATCGACGTTAGAAGGTAGATTTGCAATTGGAGTAAAGGAAAATGGCGACTACCTCGCGCACTTCCTCTGAGCATAAGGAGGCTCTAACAACATGTAAGAGATCACAGGTACGTACCGTCGCCTGTGCCCCCGTTTCGGTACTCCCTCCATAACATGATCACGGCCTTGATAGCGTGCGTGCACGAGTACGTCTTATTCCAGTGTTAACGTTTTTTTCGCGACTGGTCAGGCTTTTAAAATCGTGCCGTCGACAAGCAGCATTTCATAACAACATAAAATTACGTCTCCAATACATTTACGGTATATTTGTTATTGAAGATCGAGACATCAACATACGCGTGTATCTACAGTTACGCGAACGCGTTATGTATTTTCTAACAAGTTTTCGTAAACAGAGAAATAAAACGAGCAACGATTAAAACGAACAGTCGTTCGACTGTTTATTTTGCTTTTTTTTTTTTTTTTTAATCAAAATACCGTCGTACAAAGAGATTTCTCTTGCGCCCTTTGCGCCTTTCGAACATCGTCACGCGGTTCGACGATCGAAAGAAAGCCGCGGAGCTCTCTATCTTGGCCGTGACTTCCTGTATCGGAAAAACATTTCGAGAACCGGACAGGAAAATTCTATACGTGTCCGCTACGTATGTGTATATAATACACGTTATATAGTCTACGTTAAAACGACTTTGGAAGGATAGCGAAGGAAAGCCGACGAGCAACAGGTTGGCACGATCGTGCGCGCCTGGGTGGGGAAACTGGAGAACGAGAAGAGCTATGTATAGACAGAGAGGCAGCAAACGTGCGACCAAGTGGGAAAGCGATCGTCGTTGGATTTGGTAGGAATATCCGTGAAGCGAAATGCTTAGGCGCTACGTAAAACCGACGGTGTCGTGACAGGCAGACCTGATTGGTCGGTCACCTGTTGCCTGCCAACCGTGATTGGTCGGCCTCGACGCCGCGTAGCGATCGCCAGACGAGGACAAGTGCATCCTCGCTGGTCTACGATGGAACAAGATCGAGAATGGACATTATAAGGATGTCGATTTCATGTACCCGACGCGTATGTGTACGTACACGTTTTTGGGCACTCCGTATATACGTGCACACGTATTTACGTGTGTGTGAATGAACGTATGCTACATTATTTGTCCTTCCTCGTCATCGTGTCAGCCGCGCGGCGATTACGAAATATATGTTTACCGTTTTTATAGTATTCGACGAACCGCGTTGTAAATTACAAGACATTTATACGGATACCGATTATTTCTACCGGCTTTGATTTATACTTTTAACTGCCTTTCGACTGCCATCCTTGGCATTCGTTTTTGCCGCGCCATGCATATTTATCGGCTCGGGTCTTAGAATTGCACGCGCTACCCGACTATGTTGAACGAACGTACTCGCGAGATAAAAGATAAAGATGTACACTGACTGATTAACGTACGAACCACGAATCGAACGATAACGTGACATGAAACGGAGCAGCTATGAACGTGATTTTGGAACAGGTGTATGGAAACTGGCAGAAGCAACGGAGGATCGCGCAAGAGCAAAGTCTTGGTCCGAAGAGCAAAGTCTGCAACGACGATATAAGGAAAGCCGGTTTACGATATCGGACTCTGAACCTTCCGTGGCATATTGACCCTGTCCGAGCGAGCATTGCTATAAAATAGACACGGAGTCCTAAGTACCGCGTGCATGCATAATTGGCAGCGTTTTACCGTGGTATTTCAACGCTCTTTCCTGCCGCGAAACAAAAAACAAGAATGATCGACGATGAATATTTAAACGCGATCGGGCAGATTTTATTTGAGAATCGAAACGCCATTAACATTGAACACTACCAAGGTGGGCAGAATCACTTGTTCCGCCATTCGTTGCAACGACTAACCATTTTCAATGCATAGCTTTTAGCTCGAAGCAAATGCTTATAAGGAAACACAACTGTTGAGGATCTATCGTTATGAAAGATTGAACTCAACCGCTTACATGCAGAAGAAAAAAATGGTTTATTGAAAAGTATAATAATGGATATTACAAGACACGGAGGCGAAAAACTAAGTAAAAGACTTTCTCCGCGGTCAGGGTTGTCGCACAACTAACTCCAAACGGAGAAAAAGCCCGGCTTTATAGGCGTCGCCAAATGATCGGCAGACCTATGGGTTTTATGACCCGACCTGGGTCGACGTCGAGCAGAGAAAAATCGCAATGCTAGACATTGAAAATATATCTATTCTCAACAACAACCGAGCATCCAAACTGCGATAAAGCTCGTTTAGCTTGCGAGCAGTGGGCCAACATCTCGTCTACCAATAGTACGCAATCGGTTTCAGCATATCTGACAACCAATTCGGCTGACGATGCAAGGTCGACTGTACACACCGAAACGAACGATGTTGCGTCAAGTTTCGCTAGCGTTTTAACTCTCGAAGAGTCAACAAACAATTAGTAAAGATCCTTGAGACTTTCACGACTCGCGTTAGTAGGTATAGCTGAGAGAGCTCTCTCCTTTAAATTGTTGCGTAATAAAATACGTGGGTCGTTCGATGAGTCCTTAGAAAAAGATAGGAAAACAAATTATTTTAGGTAGATTTTTTTTTTTTTTTAGCTCTATATACTTTTCCAAAGGTCTCTCCAACTTTGTCGAGCCATCTAAAAAGTAAGATTTCGGAAGGTCCTCAAAATAGGCATCTGTTTGGGCGGTGACCTCCTCGTTCTTTTAAGTTTGGAAATAAAAAAAAGATTACTGGGGGCGAAATCCGGTGAACACGGTGGACGTTGTGATAATTCGAATTTTAATTGCATAATTTTGGCCATCGAAACTGCACAGGTGTGCACCGGTGTATTGTCTGGATACAAGAGCAAGTTAATTAACTGCAAACTAACTAAGTAACAGACAAACTAACTAACTAACTGACAAACGAGCTAACTAACTAAGTTCCTTGCTTGAATCGACAATAAAAATGAAACCACGTGGTGGATATAACTGAAACTTTGACGGTTGTCTAACGAGTCATGATGCCTACTAAAAACAAACCATTTTCGATGCTACGAGCGCCAGGCCTTAGATTTTCAAAGAACTTATCGAACGACCCTCGTAGGTTTCCCTTATTCCTTAATTGTTTCTTATCATCTTTTTAATATTACAGATGGGATGAACTCGTGTCTCGTTTTAACCACGGAACGTTCGATCTTCTGGAATCGTCTGAAAACGTTTCGGTGTAATGCCGTTCATACTTCGCGATGAACGATCCGTTTCGGATGCTCTTTCACGATAGAAGGAAGGGGAACGGATTCACCGTTGCGGCGGAACTTTCTCTCGAACGAGGATTATACCGGTGCCTTTCGTGCACGTAGCCGTACGTAACTTTCAAACCGTCGCAAATCACGACGATTCGTCCGGCGGTGGTCCCCGTGTCCATTGCATTAAAACCGAGGCGGGGTCGAACCACCGCTTCGAGAATAGGATATCGCGCACGCGTGTCCCCGATGGGTAATTTTCGGCGTGCCAGGTGCAAAACGAAGTTTCACTAATACGAAAAGAAAGAACCGCGAAGGAAGAGCCAGAGCGATAGAGGAAGGAGCCACGAGAAGTGGAAGGCGAGAGAGAAGACAGGCTGGTCGCTGACCCGTTCGGAACGTTGACTCCATGTAGTCAGTCCCCTCTTTATATTTTCTTCCATCCCGCTTGCACCATCTTACCCGTACCTTTGATTACAGCCACCGGTTACCTTACCTTACTTTACCTTGCGTTACTTTACCACGTCCGCCTTTCTTTACCCGCGACCGCGACCATTATACTCTAGACTTAGCATCTCGAAGACGTCTGTTACTTTCTCGTTCCTCTCTATCCGCATTCTCATCGTTTGTTTTTGTAACCGGGCCACGACGAACAAACAAACGTGATCTCTTATCGTTTAACAAAATTCTTTTCTTTTTTTTTTTTTACGGTAGTCCAACAATTTGTACTTTCGATCGAAGCGAAATAGAGTTTTTGACTCGTGGTCGTATCGTTCGGTCCTAGATCCCGCGGAAATATGTTATGTACAACGATCGGGCATTCGGGCTACGCAACAATGTGGGTAACGTTATTAACGATCACGATTCAGTGGATAGGGATACACCAACGTCGAGACAGTACCGTTAGGATTCGCTATCGTTTCTAAGCCGCGTCGTTTCGGAGATACGAGACCCAGTCGGTTAACGGTACGCGTTCGTTTTTCACTCGTATAATTTTCGACTTCTAAAAGCCGGACGACGGTCGTCTAATCATCGTTACCGAAGCTTTTTTTCGCGACGCGGACGACTTCGCGAAAACTTGCACGGTTCGTTCCCACTCCTTACGCATTTTTTTTCTCCTCCGCTGCCACCACAATCATTGGTCACCACCTCCCGATCCAGCCCTCCACTCCGCAAACTACCCGGCGGGAACTCGGCTCCTCCCGCCGCGTGACTCAATTATTTCCATCATTACGACCGCCCTCTTGGGCTACGTTCCAAGATATTACCATATACGTGCATTAAAGAACCGACCGCATTGTTTATCCGTTAACCAATTATCGAGATGAACGATTGTTAATCGAACCTTGCTTATCGCTTGTTTATTTAAACGCGGCGTATTTGGAATATCAGTTTCTTTAAGATAAATAAAAAATTACGAAAGTGTTATAATTATGAAAGTGATTTTTTAAGCGCAATATATATGCAACGTAAATAAATGTTTTAAATGTCCGTGTACAAGGTCGCGGAATCCGCAGATATTTATCTAACAGACACGAAGAGGATCTCGTAATTTTCATATCAGAAAGATTTTCTACGAAAATTTATCAAAATTTTGATAAAAAAATATTTAATTTTTTAATCATTTTTCTCTTTTTTCCCGAAATATTAAATTAATTGCAATTGGCCCGATAACCGAAGGATTTTTTTATAACATTTTTAAAGAAATGAATAAGAAATCGATTTGTTTATCTGAAATTAAATTATGAATTATCCTGTAAAATCTGCATTATCTATTAGGTTACATTTGTTAGAACTGTATTTGCCAAAGTTGGAGACGCAACCTCTAGAGGGGGCACCTTGCAATTAAAATATGGCGCGAATAAGAATTTTTAACGCAGAGAACTGTGGATAATTAATACGTTCATCGTCGAAATTTGATTCATTTGAATCGTTTTAACGCATTTAGTGCCGAGAAAATTTATCATGCCTTTTCATACACGTCGAACACTGCTGAGATGCTTTAGGTTATTCTCAACATTTCTTTAAATTATTATGAAAAAATAACAAATATTCAATAGTTTAATAGTGTAATTGTTACTCTACAGTATTCCTAATGATTTTAATACTATTCAGAAGTTTACAAGAATTAGGATTTATTTAGAATGAACGTTTAAAAAAATTCTGAACAAAAATAGTCATGGAAATAAGAAATAGTCTGTTCACTTTCATTTGCCGTAAAGTAAAATTTCACGTTTTTATTTGCGTTTATATATATGAATATATTTTCCATAATTTGATTGAGGAAAATGCGTATAAAACAATTTAGACATAACTTGATAATGTTCTAGAAATTGTCCTATTTTTGATGAAATATTATCAAATGTTACTATATAACTAGGTATTATAGCATTTTCATTGTTATTGTAATTATGATCAAGCCAGTGAATTGGGTCTGCGAAAAATGCGTCCGCCTCGTCCACGTAATTTGCAATATTGTACAAATTAGGTTCGCAAGTCAATATTTTTACAGATACATTTACATGTAAATGGCTATACAAAGGCGTTGCGTGACAAGGTGTGAGAAATAATATGTTAGTTGTATTCTCGGCGTTAACAATTTCTTTATGAAGAACGTCCATCGCATCCAATGATCCACGTTGATGTATCACGCAAAAGTAAACACCAGGAATAATATTACTAATTACTAACAGCGCTATAAAAATTTTTCTTCCTATTTTTGCAAACTTTACATTTAAACGGAATGTACAGGAAGTACATATATATATTAACATTGGTAATAAAGGTAATAAAAATCTAAACTCCTTATGAGACAATAATGAGTAAACGCTGATTGTCCATCCAATGACAATTAACATGATTGCCTGACGATGAAAACAAGCATAGTATTTAATTACTTGCCAAATACATAATAAAAAGACAATGTAATATACTCCTAAAAGTGCTGGTAATCCACAGAGAATATACCACAAAAAATGCTGCGTTCCATATACGTCTCCAATCCTATGAAATACATTTACAACTAAAAATTCCCAAGGTGAAACGACTAGTGTACCATAACAGTAACTATCCAATAATATTGAACTTAAACAACAAACTATGCATATCACGCTATATCGACATGTTAACATTAATTTGTCTCGCGAACTTGTACATAAATGATAAAGGCATAAGGGTAGCCATATAACAGCAGCAGTAGGTCTTATCATACATAGAAATCCCACGATCCATAAGAAGTTTAAGTTTCTAACGTTACTATCGCGCCATGGAAATATCGACAAAGCTATCATAGTACATGCTGTTTCTACAGTATTTATTAATGTACGCGAGGCACAATAATACCAGTACCAATTTAAACATAAACTATATAATGTCCACTTGTTTTTTGTCCACTGATAAAATCTGTATTCTCCGTAAGCACAGACAATTGCTTGAAGCATTCGTGGTAATACCGTCAAGATTGTTACACGATCCAAAGACACCAATGCCAAGATTCGATAGATGATAGATATCAAGAATGGATAGATGTAATTGCGAATTTTTGCATGCCATTCCCACGTGAGATATCCATATCCAAATGCTAAACGATGAGCCACTTCTACCGATTGCCAATACTCATCCGGAACATGGGCAGTTTGTACAAGGAATACGGAAGTTAACCTCCATACCATTAAGATAGACAACACCTTATTGTTCTTAGACAAATGCATTTTTTTTTATCTATCAGTAATACACTAGAAATTAGTAGACTTTTTGAAGATATCGAGGATATATTCCTTCAAAAATTTAGACGAAACAAAATGATCACAACGCAAAATACAAACACTCAAAATGTCAGGCCTGATAACCTTTCGAAACATTTTATATCACTAGAAATCACTACTTTACATTCATTTATTATTTTAGAGAATCCATTACGGGAATTCATTTTCTCTTGTTATCAATTACGAAGAACTATTTGCTACTGTACAATACACGTAAACAATTTAACATTGAACTGAATTATCGTTGCATTTAAATAAGATTATAAAATCGTTCTGTGCATTCGGTATGAAGAATAATATATAGAATAGTTTCGAGTAATCGATACAGATGGAGCTATATTAAAATGCGTCATTTTGTGGGATCGATTAGTTGAGAGCTCTACGTAGCGATATTTCTTTGAACAAGAGAACTAAAGTCGATAGCATCGTTACGAGTAGTGGTCGATAACCGATAGTGCATCGTTCTTTTCGAAACGAGAAATTGAAGTTCGATATCTGTAAAATAATTCGTCAAACGCTGCTTTGAGATATCGGATTCTTCGCGGTAAATTTGTTATCCCTTTATAAGCACGAGCTGGACACGAATTTGTAAAACGAAGCATGCATCGTTTTAAACAATTTCATTTTAAATTATGCAACAAATATCCTCCATTTTGATGAGAAACAAACGCTATGAGTTAGTAGAAATACGAGAAATACTGTATATGTGTATTTAATTCCTAAAAGATAATAAGTGCCGCATTTACGCATTTTGATTTACTATCATGGAAAGTAAATCAATAACATTGCCTAACAACGGAAAATCTGCTACAACAGATGACTCCAAAAGCGAGATGCAAATGGTACTTGCTAAAATGATGGAAGAAAAGCACACTTATACTTACAAGAAATTAGTGGTACCTATGTCAATGAGAAGTATTTATTGGAAATTTTTTGGATTTCCAGCTACGGATGATGGAGATATTCTCACTAAAGTAAAAATTATTTGTATATTATGCAAAACACAAATTGCATATAATCGTAACACTAGTAATTTACGCATGCACTTGCAAAATAAACATGCTCAAGAATTGTTAGAATTAGAAGCTACAAATCCTCCACGTAGACAGGTTCTTTCTCAGGAAACAAAAGAGCGTAGAGCACAAAAGAGATTACTGAAGGCAGGTTTAACCTCTGCTCAGCATATTTATACTACCAATGCAGACGGTACTGTCCAAATAGACGGAGATATTCAGTTTGTGACCGACCCAAATATAAGTTTATCCAACATAGAAGATGACATTACAATTGGTCAACCGTTAAGAGTTATGATAAAAAGTAATTCTAATATCGGAAACAATAGTCAAAATGTAGCCTTTCTAATGCCGGAAGATAATTCTATCAATCAGTCGAGTATCGATGGAAAAACTGTATCCGATGCTATAGCCGAATTCATCATAATGGACTTACAATTACCAGAAGTAGTGGAAGGTCGAGGTTTTCAAAGGCTAGTTGCAACTTTACGTTCCCCTTGCGAAATCCCTAGTAAAAATAAATTAGAAGAAGAAATAATACCAAAGATTTACGATACATTTAGAGAATCGGTGACAACAAGTTTATCTTGTATTGCTAGCGAAGTGGGTTTGACGATTGAAGAGTGGAGATCAAATTCCGACGAACGTTTTGTTACTATCTCTGTGTACTATCAAAATTCTGGCGAACCAGTTTTAGAATGTAAAGTATTAAGTACAATTCATGCACCCTTGGATTGGGAGGAATCTCAGTGGGGTACTACGATAGATTCTTTGTTACTCGATTGGGATTTGAAAATGGAGAGGATAACTGCAGTAGTAATAGCCACATCTAGAACAGAATTAATTACTGCTTTAACAGATCGAGGATTAACGTTGGTTCCTTGTTTACTTTATACGTTGCAAGTATGTGCTCAAGCTTGTTTCGAGAATCCAGAAGTTAGCACTATATTGTCTAAATGTAGAGCAGCTATCGGAGCTATTATAAGTCACCCAGCCGCGTTTGCAGCTTTAGCTATGCAAGAACAATTATTAGAGGTAAAACTGAAAACTTCTCATCGTTAACTGCTTAAGCTGAAATGACACTCATGGCATATCGTGGCATTAACCCTTGGTTAAAATAACTGTAACTCGTTATATCATTTTAAAATACATTTACTATAATTATAGCTAGAGGAAAACACTATGCTGATGGACTATCCTCCTGTATGGACATCTACATACAACATGCTTGAACAAATGGTCCTACGTAGGAATATAGTAACATCAATTTTGGAGAGCATGGAAGGTGTTAATCAAGAAGTAGTCGATCTAACAAATGACCAGTGGAAAGTTGTAGAAGATCTTGTAAATGTCCTTGAACCGTTTAAAGTTACTATTATGACGCTTAGCGAAGAAAAAATGCCTTTAATATCCTTATTAAAACCATTACTTTGGCAACTTGTATCTTCTCATCTTAAAATAAAAGAGTCTGACAGCGATACAGCAAGATCTTTTAAAGAATCTTTGTCCGATATGCTTTGTGATAGATATGCAGACTACAATGTTACCCTTTTACTTCAAATTGCAACTACTCTAGATCCAAGGTAATTACAGATTATAAAATCTATATTTTAAATCATTTCTGTCGTAAATCTATGAATGCAAATACAACTGAAACTGCACGTTTTGCGTTAGATTTAAACAGCTACCATATGCTACAGAAGAAGATAAGAACATAGTTGCGACTCCGATAAAAGAAATGTTGACAAAACTAATACAAGAAGAATCTGGAGACAATATGACTATTAAAGTTGAAGAAGATCCTCCAAATAAAAAAGTCCGTTTATCAGGTATGTACAAATATTATAAACATGTAAATGTACAGATTTTGTTGTTCATGATCTTTAAAACACGATTATTCTATCTTATGTGTAATTACATATAGGCATGGAACTTTTACTTGGAGGATTATGTTCAACAAAAAATAGAATGCCTGCAGAAGAGAAGGCCGATCTTGAACTTGTACAGTATCATTCAGAATCGACCGCGCCCCTTGATTACTGTCCTCTTCAGTGGTGGGCTAAAATTTCTGCAAAGTGTCCGAATTTAGGAAAACTGGCTTGTAGATATAATTGTGTACCTGCATGTTGCGCACCACCTGCTAGAATCCCAGCAGAAGTGCAAGTTTTATACGATACGAGGCGAGCTGCGTTACCTCCTCATTTGATAGACAAATTACTGTTTCTCCATGGTAATCATACTGTTTGAGAAGAAAATTAAATTATGCTGAAGTTTTTTGAAGGTACTACTTTCTACCACGCGAAACAATCTTAAAAATGTTAATAGTTTTTTTATATGATTTACATTATATAATGCACTTTTCATAAGAATTATCTAATAGTAGAGTTTAAAAAATGTTTGAGTACATTTTCTAAACGTTTTGAGACAGTGGATGCCGACATGAATTTAACGGGGATGCAGGTACTGCAAAAATATAAGTTTATTTTCATCAAACTTTAACATAAATTTCGTACTTTCAAACTGTAAGAAGAGAGTGTATGAAGGTTTAAAAGTATCCAAAGAGCTATACAATCTTATGAACTTTACTGTTTCACGAAGAATTTTGGATATCGATCTTGTATAGAGATTTTTAAAAAAAACCAGAAGATATAATGATAGTTAAGGAAATAAAAAGATAATCTTTATAAAAAGTAATAAAAGAAATAATAGTTTTCCATTTTTAAAACGTATAAGATACTTAAAGGTATGAAAACTTTAAAATGTTATGTATCATTGTGAAGCATCGAAAGTAACGTTTTAATTCAATGAGTATTCCGTTCAAATAATTCAAATCCCGATTTTTTATTTATTGTTTCTATTATTCTCAAATAATTCTTATTGATGATAATTAACATAACATTGCAACCATAATTCAATGCATAATTTACAATAGATTGTTTAACGTAATGAAACGCTAAACTCGTCTGTATACTTAAAAAAACTGTTAGATTAATGACACTTCGAACATCATAAGTATAAGACGATAATAACGGGAATAAGTATAGTCAAGAAATTAATGTATAAAATTATTAAATTATTTCCGACTTCTATTTTTGCATTAATGCACTTTAAAGAAGTGTATTCTTGTGATATTAACTTATATTTTTAAATACTAAGTAGTACAAACTCAGCATTTTGTATCATAAATAATGGATATATTTCTCCCAATTTATTTGTCTTGTGACTTATAATTAAATGCTTAAATGTAATGTAATGTACATAATATGATTTATGTATGTTTCATATGAATTTAAATATGGTAACCATATTTATAAAAATTGTACAAAGTTTTACACTTTATTTTTGTAAGATGTCGACACAGTTGTAAAAAATACTTTAAAATAATAATTTTTATACTGTACATAAATGTGAATTATTCTCATAACACATTAAGATGTTAAGTGTTATTGTATACTGTATTTATTTGAACATAACTATTTTTCGAAAAGATTAGATTAGACCGTAATAATTGTTTCTTTAGTATCTAACTATAGGTATTAACTTCATTTAAGTTTTCTATGTTAAATAAAATTGTATAGTTGCCATAAAGTAAACAAAATTGATTTATACAAAGACATTAAAAAAAGTTTAATTATTTTGTATTTCTATCGCTTATCGTACTTTAATTTTATATTCTTACATTGCCCTGGATATTAAAAAACTTTAGTCATGGAAGACTGAACTGATTTTGCATCCACATAGAATTCTCATAAAATCTTGGATCTGCAATTCTGAGAGATGCTCTCTTATAGAAATAGTAATATAAAACTGCAACTTTAAATATAATTAAATATGAGGAAAGCTTAAAAATATGAAATACGTATAATTTCTTTACTTAGTTTATTACCTCCTCTGTGCAATGAATAAAGAACATGAAAATCTTTAGTCCAGTGATATTTGAAGGATGACGACCAATTCATCTTAATGTCCCAAGTGTGAAGGCTAATGCTTAGTATTATATATACAATACACAATATTAATGTAACACGAAATTTTGTATATAATAATTGTATCAGTCCAACCTGCATAAAAAATTGTATATTATTAATATATAATGTTTGATAAATAACTAGATTTTGCAATGTACATTATGTGAAAATTAAATGTCAGATTTTTATTATTATTCTTTAAACAGTTACCTGGAAGATGTAGGTGGAAAAAAAATTAACTAGAAGAACAGTAAGGGTCATAACAATACACAAGTCTTGAATCCTTAAAAACAATAATTGAAACAATGTTTAAACCTAAATAGAATTTAACAATTTCAAGTAAAAGCATTTACATACACATAGACGATCAGTAAATTAATTGGATTCTGTCGAGAAAAAACGGCAAACGAATTTACGAAAACGTCGAAAAGCAATATCAAGTACTGCACAATTACAGTAACTAAATATTTCTTTGTACTTAATGTGTTCATTTATCTCGAATAAAAGGATCTTCCGATAGATACAGAATGCCGTAGTGTTATTACTGTATTGTTATATGCATTCTAATGATTGCTATGGTAACGCAAATGTACAGCGAGTCGCAAAATTATTTGCTCAGTCGAAAGTACAATAAAGATGAATGAAATAATGCGACAACAAAGCACTTTCTGAAACGCTTTTGTTTAGAAATACATTATTAGTTCAATATAACAGAATCGTAATAATAATTTGAAAGATTATAATTACATATACGCGAGTAATAATAATTTGACGGAACTGTACATCCTTCCGACATAAAAATCATTGGGAAAACAGCTGAATCGCATAAATTAACTTCTTTACGCTTATAATTATTCGAACAATGAAAATATTAATATAAATGAACTCTGTATCACGAAGCAAATCAGACGACGTCAGTATCTCTTGTATAGTAATTTTCAAATTACTCTGACACGTTTGAATGTGTGACGCGTGAATCGATACATGACAAGTTACGCACTGATTAGGTTTTTAAATAAGTGTATTGAACTGTCTTCCCATAGTAATTTGAATACATTCGTGTATTTTTTAATTCGTGTATTGTTTCAAGCCAAATAATAAAATAATATGATATACATACTCATATTGAGGTTATGGGTATATATGAAATAAACATACGATGAATTTAAACTGTACAATCGATACTGCTTTGCATACTTAAATGTAAATTATGATACTTGAAATTGTTTGACAAAAAAACGAGAATGGAAATTCGAAATAATAAGCATCTGCATACGCGACAAATAATTGGTATTTTTCCTGTATTGGAATTCGACGATAACGATGCTCCTTTGAAAAATCCAAGTATATCTTACTTGGATATTTTTTTTCTCGGATCCTCGATCCTTATGCATGTCGTAGATATGGCAATCGATATGAGCCTTGCCATAAGATACTTATTGGCCGGAAAAACAACATATTTTGCATGGACAATTACTTTCATTTTTCTACCTTCGCTTATAAATGTCATAATTAGTAGAAAAATGATACTCCAAGATGAGGAGGTAAAATATCACACGGGACAAAAGAAATTGGTATAATTAAATATAACAATTTGTTAACAAAGATACACCAAGATTACTTATCTTATCTTCCTTAAAACTATATTTAAATATACCAATTACAGCAGTATTGTTTCTTTATTTAATGCATAAAGCTAGATAGAACTTCAGTAAGGTCAATTTTATTTTTTAGTTTCAGATTTTGTTTTAAATTTGTTCGACGTCAGATTTCACAATTTTTTGTCTTCTTTTGTACAAAGTATGATGCAATTCTAAGAAAGGAAGGGGGAACAAGTCTCAATATTTACTTGCACTTTTGTTTCGGTTGTGTTAAGATAATAATTTCTTTTTGTTTCATAGGAAAGTACAACATCAAATCGATCTCAATACAAATGTATACATGCAATGTTAACAAAGAAGCTATTCTGTATTGTAGTTGTTGCATTTCAATTAGCTCCAGTACTTCGTTATTATCAAACATTAAAGTACGCTTTAAAAGCATATAAATTTCAAAAACTGGACGATCGTAATGGTCAAAGGCGATATTATCTCAAGATGTGTAAAGAAGATCAAGATGTTGCTTTATTAAGAGTATTTGAATGCTTTCTTGAAGCAGCTCCTCAACAAATTTTGCAATTAACTATATTACTGAAGAACTACCATAACAATCTAAATTTCGAATGTACCTATATTTTTGTACATCTAATTAATTGTTATAATATCAACTGCAAAGCGAACATTATATTTGTATTTGTTGTAGTTATTCATCAAATAGCTAGTATCCTTAGCTCGCTCGGAAGTATGGGATGGGTTATGGCTAGTTACCACCGTAGTATTAGATTGGCTCAACAAGATAAGCTAAATATTGGTATTACAGGAACAATTCTTCAATTTTTGTGGCACTTCTGTACAACAGGTAAATAAATTATTATTATTATTATATGAGAATACTAAAAATCTACATTTATATACATATATAAAAATTTTTCAGTCTCAAGAATATTGTCTTTAAGTGTTATTGCAAGTGTATGGCCAATATATACAGCAATTGGTTGCGTTTGTCATTGGATCAGTATGACTGCTTGGATTATTATAGATTCTCATGGAATACTAGAATTTTGTAAGAATTATAATCATGCTCCGCATTGTCCTCCGAAAGTTAAAGAACGCGTTTATTCCATATTATTTTCCCTAGTAATTGGTGTAGTTCATGTGTTTATATATTTGAATGCAGTAGATGGTAGCACGTTCCTTAAACACGTGACTTTTTATATAATCTGTTTTATTGAAAATATAGTAGCAAGTGTACTTTGGATGTACACTTCATCGAATGAAGTCAAAAATGCTTGGTACTTCAATGTACTTATTATTCTTTGTATTATACCATTTTTATTAGGTATAACAGCTATGATTGTTTATTATAGCGTTTTTCATCCTTCCTTAAAACATCAAAATTCTGAAAATACATAATTTTGACAAAGTCCATAGTAAAATATTTCACTCTCATTCAGAAATATTTTAAATTAAATCGAGCTAATTTATTTATTGCCTATAAATCGTACAAATATTTAATCTAAAACAGCATTTGTACATTGAATTTCACATTTGACTGTTCAGGTATCAAATATTATCTTTTAATAATGTGATTCAATTAAAAGAATATCTTTTTTTGAATACCTAATCAAAAATGTTAATCTATAAATATTTATACACATAGTATAAATGATATACATACTTATACATATAGTTATAAATGTTTATAGTTTAGTAAAAGAATGAATTCTAGCATAAATTTTATACACAAAATGAATTGTAAATACTTTTTATGCAATATATACTGCCAAGTAACGACGTGACTAGAAAATACTATGTGTACTATATAGTTTATACAATTGTTATTGTGCTCTTCGTGTAATTATACGCGCGTATTAGAGAATTATTATATTTTTAATGTAAGTACTCGGAAATCATAATTTTAGTTATGTATTATAAATTTTGTAAGCTTTACCATTTATAAATTTGATGTACTTTATATACTTTTGTAATAAAAAAATTATTTTCTTTAGATTTATATGTGATTTTGTTGTAAATAAAACCTTGATTTGAAACACCCTTGTAATCGAAATTTATTTAAAAACAACAATATGAATAATATAACACATGAATTTTTTAATGGTACTATTTATACTAAATGACAAATTTTTGATTTAGAAAACTGTGGCAACTGAAATTCTCCATTAATAATTAATATTTCCTTTTAGTTATTTTCGAACGCAGCAATTTAGAAGCAATTATAAAGCACATTCTCAAAAGCTATACTGAGAAATAAAAATCAAACGTTACTTTTCCTATAATGGTAATATTGAATACTTAATGTTAAAATGGAATGTGCTACATAAAATAATTTATCAACAAATAATAAAGCATATATTTTTATATATGTTATCTTTTTGTTTTGATATCAATCGACTGGATTCTGTATTACTATAAGTATGAACTCTTTATCTGGTGCAACCATTATTTCATGTTTCTTACTACGAATACGTAAGAAAGTAAGATCGTTTGTCGGATCCAGATCTCGAACAACAGATCGTGCTTTATCAGACAGTTGGCTAATCAAACCTGCATACTGAACTGTTGTAGTGTTATCCAATGTAGATTTGATTGGAATACCTAAGTACCAGAATTTTATTACATTTTTTGTAACAGTTATGTTAATAATTAGTCTCTATATGAATACAACACACCTTCTGCATTGACAACAATTGTTCCAACTACTCCTTTATGAGATTGAATACGTTTCATAGTTTCTTCCACTTCTTGTGCCTAAAACAAGTATTATCTTAACCCAAAGCGATTTGTAAAAGAAATGTATGATTCATTGGAAATTTACCATTTTTTAAATTATGTTAATGACTCTTTTTCGTTGAATATAATGCAATAATAGTTACAAGAACGGTAACCGGAATATATACGACGAACTTGGTAACACCAAACCGTTGCTTGGATCCTACTGCCTACTCAATTGTTCATATATTTTATAAATAACATTGAACGTATAAAGGTACGCTAATAGACGTTAAGTTTGTTGGGTTTGGGTTAGAATTTAAACGCCACCTATACACGACAGGCAGTAACCTAGCGGTAAATTCAAATTATCCAATTAAATTCAAACACTAATCCGATGGAACACATGTATAAATCGAGCATTATAGTGACAATAAAATACTAAAATTTTATTTGATAAAAAATTATGTATACTAAGTTTCTCTGCAAGAAATGTAATACAAAAACTACATTCTGATTTTTCATTGAATATTTGTAAAAATTTTATTTATTAATTACAATACGTATAGCGTGTAATAAAAATTGAAAAAATATTTCATAACAACGAATAATTTAATATTCCCATCGAAACTTAACACAAAGGTACGATTAAATCAGTTCCTGAATATTCGGGTAGATTCAAATTATATTCCCTCTCCAATTTTTTAGGTACAAATCGGCCACCTAAATAATGATATTTTCCCTTGAATTTCTGAGCACACATTTTTGGCGCTGTCAATGATACCAGCATCTCTGGTTTTATGTCGCCCTTCGACGATGGTCCATTTTCAACATCCCAACCCGATGGTATATCTATACTACAAATAGGTATGCTTGTGTTTTCTAATAAAGATATAATTGGAACAAATGTTTCCCTTACAGGTGGCTTAAAACTGAATCCAAATAAAGCATCTACTATTAGAAGAAAATCGCACGAGCGATTTAAATCAAAGTTTTCCAACTCGTTTCCCAACAGAGGAATATCATTTTCAACGCATTGATGTAATAAATTTTCGTATAAAATATTACTCGTCCTTTTAGGATAATAAACTTCGGGGGAGTATCCAAATTGTTTTAAGTGTCTAGCGCAGACAAGGCCATCTCCTCCATTATTTCCTGGACCACAACAGACCAGAATCTTTTTCGTTGAACATTTTAACGAAGTATAAGTAGAAGCAATGGCAACAGCACAACTCTGCCCAGCGAGTTCCATTAATTGGTCCACGCTGAATTTATATTTTTCAAACAAATCTTTGTCTATGTTAATGCTTTCCTGTTGGTTCAAGTATTTCACCATGGTGGTATATGATTTTCTTCCAAAAAAGAAAACACATTTATTGTTAAACAAAGCAGATTTTATAAAACCTCTTACATATAATACCATTTATAATTTCAATAAATGGAATTATACAGTAAGAAACGATATTATAACCTCTTACAATGTGTTATTCCTTTACTTTATTAATGCGAACAAACGTTAATATTAACGATAAGTAGAAGCTTCCGTTATTTTCTGGTCACTTTAAGTCTTTTCAAGAAAAACACGTACGTTTTAATTAATTTTTAACTTTCTCAAAATGTAAATCGTACCATTTACATCGAACGTCAGAGCGAGTCGAAATTTTCAGCACGCAGATCGGTAGACATATAGGTAGACAGATATTACACAGATCAGTACAAATATAAGTAGCGGTTGAATATGAAACTTATACTCTTCACAATTTTCAAACAAACTATATTATTTCTAGATATTTAACATTTTTGGAATATTTTAATATCGTAAATAACTAAAGTTTTTTTAATATCTTTCAATGGTTGAAACGGTTTCGAAAATAACTGCTCAAACCTCGCGTATATACGGACCGAGCCAATAACAAACGATAACTGAAATAATTTGTTATTTATTGATTTTTAAGGAAACTTTTATATAAAATATATAGTATCTAACAGGACCTATTGAATGGAAGCATTTCACTTATTTTACTTCTTGTATTTTCAAACTATGTATATGTATAGGGTGTCTTGTGGTTTTTCCGCCAAACTGCGAAAATTTAATTTAGAAGTTAGAAAGACTTTTCTTTAGAGTCAGAATTCGCATAAGGTAAGCATTCTCTTTAATTATTTATAACTCGAAAACTAAGAAATATAGGACATATATCCATATTATGTTTCTCATTTTTTTTGGTATACAGATTTGTTTCCTGCATTATAAGCATACATTTATGAACCACCCTGAATATAAATATACACACATGAAAATGTAAAAAAAAAAATATCATTCGTCAATTTCTACAATACACAAGTAAATAACAAATATAAAGTATGTAAGTATTCAAATGACAATGTCATTTTTGTTAAAAGTAACTGTAATAAATTATAACTTATGAATTGAGTTTTAAAATAGATTATTAAGAACAGGTTTTAATAGAATTATACTTAAAATCCTTACTACTGCACAGAATATGTTTCATTAATTTTTTTATCATTCGATATGGTTCCCACTGGGCGTTGTAAGGAAAATTTTTTATCTGTTCAGTATATGGAACACACTGATCTTTCATATGATATATTGATTGTAACGAAACTATAAGTCGTTCTTGAGGAAATCCTAAAGGTAGCTGTATGTAGACTACAAAGTGAAAATCTTCAACATCAAATAAAAGTGTTGCATAAGTATAATCTTCCGTATCGTATTCAATTAAAGCATAATAATGATTGCTCAGCAAACCACCTATAAAATTTCTTCGTTTTGTTAAACTTTGGGCTAATGAATTTATCTAGAACAATAATTTACTATGTTAAAATTACAATCTTAAAATTTAGTCGGATGAAATCACATACCTTTTCCGTTATAAACTTTTTTACTTCTGTTACATAATCAAATAAAAATTTATTTCGTGGGAAGTTTGGTAACTGCATTGCATTTGTTCCGCCAAGAACATCTTCTAAAGGTTTAGTTAAGTGAAGGTGCGATATAATGCGGCTCCAATTTGTTCCACAATATGTTACAATTAATATTGCTACATAATTTTCTGATTTACAACTATAATTTTGTAACTGTGAAAGATCAACTGACAAGCTGATTAAGAATTTAGCCTCTGTTGGTTTGGAACCGAATGGCAACAATATTATTTCAACATCTTGTAGTCTTATTTCTGTTTTCATTAATGTACTATATTCACGTTCTAATTCCACTTGCTTTTGAAGTAATTGTATCTAATGTAAAATAAAAAATGTTATAGAGAGTATGCTTTATGTAGAGTATGCATCAAATACATAATAATCATTAAATTGCCAACCTGATATTCTTTATAACATGATAAAAGTTCCATAAGGACATTTAATAATGCATCTTCGTTATTAGGATTCCATTTAGCAAGACTAGGTATCTTATTAGACAAGATATCTACATCCATGTCCGCTAAGAAATTATCGTTAAATATGAAATCAGGTCCCATTTCAGGGCACTGAGAGTCAAAAAATACATTCCAAGTTAGAATCTGTCTAGCATAGGGGATAGATAATTTAAAACGATCTCCTTTTTGTTTGCCACAGCTAGACGATACGGAATCTGCTTTGATTGTCTCGTAACTTATTCCTTAAGAAGATATTAAGAAACAATACGATGAATATAAAATATCACATAATGTATAACATGAAATAATGTGGAATATATTTGATATAAAAGTATGTTTAGTATTATGTCTTACCAAGTTTATCATTGCTTAAAACACGTATTAAAAGTGGCTCAATATATGAGTCTACCGGTAAGAAAATTTCACATTTCTGATTCAACATATTAACAGTTGTGTTTTATGTAATCAAAAATTTCGTAAATTGTGATAAATTGTATGCTCAGTACGATGCTTTAACCTATCAAGCAAATTCCTTGTAAACAAATGATACTCGACGAATTACATTTCTTCGATGTTATAAATATGTGATGTTTCCTTATTTTAGAAAGCAAATGTTTTCAAACGCACATGCCAAATTGACGTTTAAAACTACACATTGCACGAATTTTTCTATGAATACAACAGTCTTGTCATTCGATTGGCTTTATCCTGCTTTTAATGCTAACGATCACAATGATAACAATAACGACGATGATGGTGTTTTATAAAAGATCAATTATAATTCGTTTGAATCCATTGTCGAAAACAGGGTATCAATTAAATATAAAACGTTATTTACAAACGATTCAATATGTACTATTATTAGTTTTACTTATTCTAGGGATGTAGTTAAACGTAGATTGGTACTAGCGACAGATATCCACGAATCTTACAGACTGTTGGAGCAGGTTATGTTCATGTTGTGAGGAGGAAAGGAAAAACGCCAAACAATTTACGCGGCAGTATTTCTAGATCTTTCTATGTTATCATTTTACATTAACTATTAACTACGTCGTTATCTTTTGGCTTTTGTTCGGCAACTGAAGGCCTCGTTTTCCGGAAACAACCGGCAACAGTAACGTGGGCCGAACGTCTCCGACTACACCCGAACCAGCGTATCGTCAACTCCAATTTTTAGTCGACGTACAGTCAATGCGAAAACTCTAATTCTTAAAACATACTTTATTCAAGTAATAAATAATGAATCAAAATGTTTGAAACGCAATAATTTCCAACTAATTTTATTAAGTGTATCAACAAATTTTTTACTAATATGATATTTTGACAAAAGTCATGTTTCCATTAGGTATTGCTTGTTTCCGGTTTCTCTGTAAAACGTTGCGCGTTGTTTTGTAATGGTATGTACACAGTAGCAATTGGTTAAGTACACTTTCAATTTTAAAACAAATGAAAAACCAAAGACGCAACATAGATTTTCTTTAGAATAGCAAGGAAAGTCAAGTGTTATTAACATAGTTTATTATATAGTCAGAAGAAAATTTATAGTAAATAATCCACTTCCGATATATGTACTTAGAATTACTTTGTATAATGTTAGTATTCTTCTTCGTCTTCGGTATTGGCTGCATCTTCCTGTACTTCACGATAATCCAGTTCTAAAGCAGCCAAGTCTTCTCTGGCTTCTGCAAATTCACCCTCCTCCATACCTTCGCCGACGAACCTACGATGATTCGTTTATTTACGATTGCATAATTTTACGTTGCATTTAACATTGCCCCGAAGACCAAAAAAATTGGATCTTTCAGAAACTGTATTACAGAATTTGTATCAGTTTAACTAAGATGCTTGGATAAAGGATAAGGAAATGTACCAGTGAACAAATGCTCGTTTGGCGTACATAAGATCGAATTTATGATCAATTCTGGCCCACGCATCGACTATCGCAGTGGTATTACAGAGGCAACACACAGCTCTTTCCACTTTCGCCAGATCACCACCTGGTACCACAGTGGGTGGTTGGTAATTTATCCCTACCTGTACGAAATTTAAGTATCAAACATATTCATTACTTAATTTCGTCGAATATTTTTTTTTTTTTTTTTTCGATAATTAACCTTAAAACCAGTGGGGCACCATTCGACAAATTGAACGTGTTTCTGTCTTTTAATCATAGCGATTGCTGCGTTCACATCTTTAGGAACGACGTCTCCTCTGTAAAGCATGCATACGGCCATATATTTACCCCTACGCGGATCGCAATTCACCATCTGATGATTCGGTTCGAAGCAAGAACTCGTTATGTCCGCTACCGAAATTCTTTCGTGGCCAGCTTTCTCGCCCGACAAAACAGGAGCGTACGTTGCCTACGAAAAGTACGTCAGAAATACTAGTTTAAATCAATGACGAGCAATTACCTACGTTGTAAATAAAAATTTCATACTATAAATTAACAATTTAAACGTAAATAAACTATGATTTTCAAGTTTATGTTTGCTCGTTACTGGTTTAATTAAAACATGTCCCGAATACACGAAGACGCTGTACAATAAATTAAAATGTTTGTTCTGTTCTGTGATATCTACTAGGTGATCCTGGTAATTCTACCATTCTTCCACGAGAAGAAGGCACAGCGTGTTCACATCCCCGTTCCTGTAGCAATCCGCCGACTCACAGGTAATTGGTCGAAAACGGTGACGAAGATCGGTGACAGCCAATCAGGGGACTGCAGCAAGAGTGGGGATACAAACACGCTGCGACTTCCTCTCGCGGAGGGACGATACTAGGAACACCTACTGGACATTGCAGAACAAAATTCTTGTTGGACAGCGTAATTGCCTCATGGAGAATTAGCAGGATTGCTCGATAACTTACAAGAGGAAAATGAATACGCGGATAAGGCACTAAGTTCGTTTGGAATTCGGTGAGGTCGACGTTAAGAGCTCCATCGAATCGTAAACTAGCAGTGATAGAGGAAACGATCTGACCGATTAAACGATTTAGATTCGTGTATGTCGGCCGATCGATGTTCAAGTTTCTCCTGCATAATTCGTAAATAGCCTGCGAAAGATGGTCGATCATTAAATCGTTATAAAGAATCGTACCGCTATAATTGAACTTATGGAATCGCAGGTATTGGACGAGGGTACGAACTTGATTATCAACTATGAAGGCCACCTCGCAATGTTCTAAAGTTGGATGTGTGTAAAGAATCGCGTTGTATGGCTCCACGACGGCAGTCGATACCTGCATAAATCGTGATAGTTTTAATACGCTCGATATTTGCTATTACTGACGAATTACGGCCCCATACAGCACGGAACATTGGAAAAACATGGCGGAAATATTTTTGTGGATGATTCGAAATATCTGATAGCATAATGGACTGTAGCTAATTCGATGTTCTGCTACGGTTGATTCTACGTCAACTTAACATAAATACAGCTACCTTAAACAGACTTAAGCCATACGGCACACATCAATATTAGTGTGTTGTTTGACCTCTGAAGAAGCTAGAGTTGCAGTATTGGAAAAACGTCGGAATACTTTCCTCAAAGGACTTACACCCGGAAGTCTTAATCAGTATCAACTATCAAATATCTTATCACTTTAGGTGTCATATTTGTATTATTATCGTAAACGTAACTACAGTATCGCGACACCTTATTAATATTTTCCTTTGTTTGATATGTTCCGTGGTGTATGTACGAGATATTTAACTTGCATTACACAAACGTGAAACAAATTATGTTGCTTCTTTACCTGCGGCGCTGGATAAATGCTAAACGTTAATTTACTTTTCTTAGGATAATCGGCGGATAATCTTTCCATTAGCAGACTGGAAAATCCTGATCCTGTGCCACCGCCGAACGAATGAAAAATTAAGAAGCCTTGTAAACCTCTACACTGATCGGCTAGTCTGCGAATTCGGTCCACAGTGAGATCAACGATCTCCTTTCCTGAAAATTAAGGCTCGCTAATTTAGACAAACGAAACGGAAAAATTGCAGCTTTCGTATTATTTGAAGTTCTATCGGTCTTATTGGAAACCCCTATAGAACGGCGGAAATCCGAATAAAGCGTACCTATCGTATAGTGTCCGCGTGCATAATTATTTGCAGCATCTTCTTTCCCCGTGATTAACTGTTCCGGGTGAAATAACTGCCTATACGTGCCCGTACGAACTTCATCTAAAGTACCATCGAGACATTGTCAATTGAAAGTGATAAATCATCGTTGAATGAAATTCAAGTTTCAAATAACAATTAATTAACTTGCCTACCACCGTTGGCTCAAGGTCAACGAAAACAGCTCTCGGTACATGCTTTCCCGAGTCTGTTTCGGAAAAGAAAGTATTAAAAGAGTCGTCCCCGTGACCGACAGTAGTATCAGTGGGCATCTGCCCGTCCGGTTGAATTCCATGTTCTAAACAATACAGTTCCCAACAGGCGTTACCCATTTGCACGCCCGCCTGTCCAATGTGAATTGATATGCATTCCCGCTGTAATAATTTGTAAATAACGTTGTCCAGTAATTTCAATATGTTTAAGTAACGGTAGAATTCTATACTTGTAACAATTATAAAACGTTAGTAGTTCTCTACTGGGGTAACTTGTGCTGTACTATCCAATATACAGGGTGCTCGGCTACGTCTAGGAAATATTTTAATGGTAGATTCCAGGGGCCAAAATAAGACGAAAATCAAGAATATCAATTTCTTAACTGAGGCTTCGTTAAAAAGTTATTAAAAATTCAATTAAAAAATTTCAAATCATTCTGAAAAAATTATTTTTGGTTGCGGGGCTCAATTACAATCATTTTTGGTGAATAGACATAACCCCGAAATCCTACGCACTTTCGAGAAAAAAATTCCTTACCGAAAATGTAGTGTCTGACCATACATTGACATGTTTCCCTGAAAATTTTCGGCGAAAAAAAAAAACAATTTCAAATCGTTCTGGAAAAATTATTGTCGGTTGCGGGGGTCAATTTCAATCATTTTTTATCATTAGACATACCCTCGAAATCTTACCCATTTTCGAGAAAAAAATTCGAGGTGTGAAATTTTTCGACAAAATTGAAAAATTTCAAATCGTTCTGGAAAAATTATTTTTGGTAGCTGGGGTCAATTACAATAATTTTTGGTGAATAGACCTACCCCCGAAATCCTACCCACTTTCTAGAAAAAAATTCAGTACGGGCGGAACTTTAAACGTTAATAACTTTTTAACGAAGCCTCCATCAATAAATTAGTATTCTTGATTTTCGTCTTACTTTGGCCTCTAGAATCTCACATTAAAATTTTTCCCAGGGTTGATCGAACACCCCGTACGTATATTGACTATTTTTAATTAATCAGTTAGTTCAGCGAGATTTTAGTTAAAGATTAAGAAATTTAAAAGAACAGGAAAGTCGTCATTGATTATAGTAACATACCTTTTTTGCCATTTCAGTAATAACTAATTCCTTGAATTAATATTTGTTATCAACGGGCACAGAATATAGTTTGGTGCGCGCATAAAACTTATTTATATTTACTTAAATGTTACGCCGATATTTTAATTCACTTTCACTTCTATATTTTTTTATTACTATAAAACCAATCATTAATATTTAACTGTACTTCTCTTCTTCATCGAACAAGATTCGAAAGATTGAATTTATGTAGCTACATTTATCTTTGTACAGGAGTTTTATTCAAACGTTTACGATAAATCAAAAGACATTTTACATAGAAAAAAATTTTAATTAACGCCTTTCCGTTGGTAAAGCAACACCTGAAGGGTCAAGCTGACGCTTCGACGGCATTTACCGACAGCGTCTTTAAACTAAATAAGCTGTCACTCAACAAGGAACGATTACGAACTGACATGTCGAAATTCCATCGACATAAAGCGATCTTATACCTGTCAGTAAGTTGTAAAGCTTTATCACCTTGACCTACCAATGTTATCAATTAATAATTTAGCTGCGTTCTGAAAAAGAACTAATAGTCGTACGTGGTCATAACCGTAGGATAGATTTGTCGTCGTGCCTAGACACAGACAGTCAGTCCAGAACAAAATGGCGAGACACTTGAAATAATTACTATGTTAAATATTATTAGCAATAATAATTTCAGAATGATTTTACCTAAATGTCTTATTACTAAGTTCTGTGGTATAACAATGTTGTTATTTTTTTTAAAACAAAACGATATATTATATGTATTATGTCATACAAGTTCACGCCGCGTTTTGTACTAACTTAAGGGAGTATTCTAATTTTGCAGAATATGTAAATATACATATAAAATGTCTTATCATTTTGTCTCGCACTGTAAACTCTTCCGATATATCACATTCTCTACACATACAACGCTAAAAATCGATTTTTATGGGTTGACATACTGTAACCATAGTAGCTTGATCGAACATCGTTAGCTGTACGGCGCAATTTTACAATTTATAAATAAAAAAGGAATTATTTTTCTACATGGTATACTGCTACATATACATATTGTACATTTTATGTACGTAAAATCAAGCAGAATGTAATTCGTTTCTTATGGAATTCATCCGATTTGATTTTTCATTGAAATTTCTTTCGATAACGAACATATTACGAACATTCGTTTTACCAAATCGTCAATGGGTCGAAATAAAAAGAGAAAAGCACCTCGAGCATCGAAAATAATTACACTCGAAAGATTTAAATTTATATTCGATATTCAAGCGTATTAAACTCTTGCGCGGACACGCTGCTTCGAAAGTTGAAAATCGATTTACAAGTTTGTAAAATATTTATCGGGTTCTAATGTCTCGACTTCGGCAATTATTTTACACAGGATTTACTATCGACAGTTCTTCAATCGGTCGATAGAGATAGGTGGATACACAGTTCATTCTAATTTTGTTACACATGATAATATCCAGCTATACACGATATCGCAATTACATAGTTTTACATTGCAATTTACGAACTATTATCTAACATTGTAACCGCTGCGCGGAAGTTCTACTTGACCAATAATAATTATGACAATTAATGCGATTTATGTCGATCTTCCTAGATAAAAAAATTTCAAATTTATATTATTTCTTTTTAACAAAAAGTGTTTTATTTTAAACTCGACCAAATGAAGCTATTCCTGTTTTGTTTAATTATAATTTATAAGTAAATTATTCCTAGCATAAAAACATCAACGCAAAATAAACAAAATTACTCACCATCGTTGTTTGTACGAATACTCGAGAGTAGCAATGTATCAGGACGTACTACGATTCGACTACTGTCTACCTTAGCGGACAGTCATATCACTATGATGCGCCATATTAATACTTGCAGATATACATATAATATCCATTCTAGTCTTCGCAGGCGACAAATATGATGCTATAGTAGTATTAGTGATAACTGATATACAGGGTGTTCGGTTAACCTTGGGAAAAATTTTAACGGGAGATCCTAGAGGCCAAACTAAGACGAAAATCAAGAACATCAATTTCTTGACTGGGGCTTCGTTAAAAAGTTATTAACAATTAAATTAAAAAATTTCAAATCGTTTTGGAAAAAATTATTGTCGGTTGCGGAGGTGAATTACAATCATTTTTGGTGAATACACATACCCCCGAAATTCTATCCAATTTCTAGAAAAAAATTCGAGAAGTGTAGTATACGAAATTTCTATTAGAACACATGCAATTCAATAACAGTAAGAATCTGGCAGGAATTAGGTCGCAAATTAACGCCATAGTTCTAAAGAGAGTCTCATTTCTTTTTAACTGAATATATTTCAGTAATTTAAATCTATATAAAATACAAAAATTAATAGTAAAAAATATGTGTACATATATGCGTAGTATTTCACGATTTTTAGACACTTCACTATTTTTTATGCCCCCTTGGACTGGAAAGAGTAATTAACTTTACCCTACGCGGTGTTTTATTAGAAGCGATTAAAGGTACTTCCGTATTTTTTGATGTATCCTTTGCATTTACTTTTGCGATTTCACTAGTACTCTCTTCGGTATAAACTAATTGAATATCTTCAGTTTCTTCGGCTTCTGCTTCGTTATTTAATTTTTTTTCTTGAATAGTAGTATCATTTAATAATTTTTTATTTTCATCTACTACATTCTCCGGGTTATTGGAAACACTTTTTACTTCGCGCACGGTATCGATATCCATTGCGTTACTATCCGTGTTAATGATTGGCAAAGGATTTTCAGATATTTTTTTAGTACTACTGTTCGATACTGGAGACCGTTTAGAATTTTTATCAAGGGCAAGTTTTACTAGAGTATTATTTTCACTTTTATACTCATCACCTAGTTCACCTTTTTGAAAGTGTATTATAGAACAGTAACCATCTGTTGAAGATGCTATTAAAATTTTACCATCGCTTGACCTGTGAAACAATACATTCCTTACGTTTTCAGTTATGGATGGACTAAAGGAAATAAAAAATTGAAACAAAGTGGAGAGCGAAACAAAATTAACTCCGCATTTAACGTGTTATCAAACGTACTTCAACTCGAACCTTGCTAAATCCTGTTAATGTTTTCTTTATTATGTTATACCTTTTCTTGACTCGATCAGTGATTAATTAAAAAATATGCTACCTGTAACTTTGAGGGTAAAAAGGGTAAAATGATTGTTACTTACCATGCAATATCAGTTAATCTAGTATAATGAATATTGGATATTACAGCAATTGGTGAAATTTGCTGAGTATCGTATATTAATACAGAATGTTGTGTAGCAACAGCAAACACAATTCTATAAGGTAATGTTATCACAGATTCCGGGCCATTCTCTCGCAATTTAAAGTAAATAGGACAACATCGAACAGCTATAGTGCATTCATCCAAAGAGGGTAACAACATAAGAGGTCTGAAAACCATACAATATATCAAATTCATTATATCAAATTCATTATATAAAATTATATAGTAAATTAGTAAAAGAAGCTTACTCTTTCAAATTGTGTCTTGAAAAAATTATTGTTGCATTTGATATCCTTTCCGTAGTTTCTACTGGCTCGATTATACCAGATGGTACGATAATTAACATTCCGTCTAATGAAAATGTCAATCTTCTAAAGAATGATTTAAAGGTATCGTCATAAAATAGTCGGACTGTTTTATCTTTTAGCGGATGGTTGGTCAGTGTTGGAATTTTAGCTTTATAAACTCGTTGTACGGTTTTCTTAGTATTTATATCAATTAAACGACACATCCTAAACCACGTATCATAAATTAAATATAAAGGAATGATTTTAAACATGTAGATAAAAAAAATTTCACAGATATACCTGTCTGTACTTATTGTGCATATATATTGATTGCATGGATCCCAGGTAACTCCTTGTACGAAACCTTTATGATCGGACAATATAGCCATGGATCTTCCTTTGTGTACGTCCCACAGAATTGCAGTGTTATCCACAGAACCGGAAACTAACATATTAGAATCCGGTGACCAACTGATATCATAAACATCTTCAAGATGCCCTCTTAAGACTTTCCAAGATACCCATTGTTCTTTACTTTCAGTTTCATCAAGAATGTGAAATTCGCAGTCTTCCTTTTGTTTCCATAAAACAATGGTTGACTCTGATAATAAAAGTGTGTTTAAATTTCAATCGGTTTCCATATAATCGATTAAATCGTGTAAGTACAAACCATCGTCCCCCGAAGCTAAAATATCTGTCGATGGTGAAAACCGTACTACGTTTACCGCTTTTTGATGTCGCTCTAAATCTGTTACGCATTTTACCGTAGCTCCGCCTCTTTCGTTTATTGTTAAGTGCCATATCTGATTAAAATAAACGGTAGTTTTACATACATTCTCGTATAAAATATTCGACGTACGAATTATATGTAGAATATTACCAAGACGTGCGAATCGGCACCACCGGTTGCAATCCGCCAGAAAATTTCACCTTTCGGTGTTTCGTAAATTCCAACTTGTACATCGATACTTAAAACTGGATCTCGATTGTGCCATGAAATTTCGGGAGTCGTGCACCACATAATTTTACACGAAAATCTAATGCCGCTACGTAAAACTACAGTAATAATAACAAAAAGATCGATCAATGGCTAACCTTTTCCGAGTGTCACATTTCCCGCCAAAAAAATATAACATTTCTTTTTACACGCAATCAATATTATTACATAGCAAAATAAGCAACGTTAAAGTTACAAAAATAACGATTAGTATTTTCTTGAAGAAATGCTAAATATCAATATATACATTGTCTCGTTGCGTTTATAAAAAAAATTCAGACGTAAGGAAATAGATATTATTGTAGCATTCAGTATTTCCCTTTACAGTTTCTTTTCTCTCTTACTAAATTTGCGACACTAGATCCCAAATTTTATGAAAGTTAACCATGCATTATTGTACAACCACAGACGAGGTATACGAATAGACCTTACACCTTATGAACTTTCGTGGCCCAATCTAACTGCCATACCGACCTGAAAATTTGAGGGTGATTTTAGCGCCCTCTTCTCATGGATGGCGGTCAGTTGAGAAAGTATTCACTGAATTAGTGTTGATAGGGAAACAACTATAGTGTTTGCGTAAATACATGTAAATTGACTATGGAAGAATTGAAAATGGTAATGGGTGAAAATCTACTTGTATACCTCGTAGCAATACTTTAGAATCTTTGATGAATCGGTGAGAATCAAAACTAACCTAGCGAAGAAGCTCTATATTTATGGATGACCTACGCAAGGCGGATCGCAGCCAATTTGCTAATATTATTTAGTTTTTAATTAATAACTGCATAACCCAGCTAAGAGCGATACGATTATTAATTAAACGTTAAATAATATTACCCAGGTCTCACCACGTGGAGGTTTGCTGCGAGTGGAGACCCAAAGGGAGGTAGATGGAACTTGGATTCCATTCATTCCATCGATCTCCCTTTTGCAATTTTACAATCTGAATGACTATACTAAGAAGACAGAAGGAACCAAAGTCCCTTCGATCTTCTAGTTTAGTCGTGCCAGGCAATTATTTTGTTTAAAAAGAGGTGAAGCTAAATTATAGGAGATGCGATGCAAGAAAAATGGGCCGAAAAAATATACTGGGTGAAAGGTCTACTCTTATACCTGGTCTGTGGTACAACTCGTCTCATTTGCGTAATTCACCCTAAATAAAAATCAGCCTATACCCCCATCTGTGATAGAATACGAAGTTGCTCGCTTTCTATTTTACCGCAACTAGCGCTTAAATCTTATTCCATTGTGAATCGATAACGTTGAACATGTCACAAAAGTAGTATAGGAATTCGCCAACCATCGCTACCTCTCAAATCGTATAATACAATTTGTATTTAATAATTCTACTTTGGTCTATCTTATATATCGTGTTTACGGTTGGTACGTGTTGAGTGGTTGCTGTGATTGTTCAACGGTTTCTTCAAATTAAAATCTGATTTTGAAGTTGTTCTTTGGATGTACAATTGTTTGTCTATTTAATCCGACATAATTATACATCTTGAATAATTCATGAAATTTCGTTTATATCATTCTATCCATCTTCATACGGAAAATATTTTTAGGTACATATACATATACATATACATACATACATACATACATTTATATATATATATATATATATACACACACAGTTGCGATCGTGAAACGGTTATAGCAAAAACAACAAATATAATTTTCATACTCTTGCTTTGAATGCATCGTTTAAACAATTTGTTCATGAAAGTATTTCATGTGAATATGTTTATAGAAAATGCCGAAGTCGAAAGAATTCGTGTCAAGCAACGACGACAGCAGCGATGAGGTATTTCATTAACATCATGAAACATAACGTTTATTTAACATTTTTTTAACGTATCTCGATCATTTTTAACTATTTGTGAATTTCGATGTACTAACTCGGTATAACGCGTACATTTTATTTATTAGGAAGTAAAGCCAAAGAAGAAGAGAGAGGCTGAAGGTAAAGATGAAAAAGTGACCAAGAAGCCGAAAAGGGAATCCGACGAAGATGAAAATACTGTCTGGGATCTTGGAAATAAGCGTCAGGTTACTGTGCGACAATTTAAAGGAAATTTATACGTCGATATTAGAGAAATGTATTACGATAAGGATAAGAATTTAAAACCTGGAAAGAAAGGTATTAAAAAGTATCTTTTTTGTTTTTATAAAAAATTAACTATTCGAACGAATAAACAGCTAACTATAAAAGGATTTATTTTCGGTACAGGGATCTGTTTAAACGTGGACCAGTGGAGGAAGTTACTAACAGTCGTGGAAGATGTAGACAAAGCTGTTAAATCTAAATGTTGAATTCATCATAAACAAATACACTTCGAAGAATTGTCTATTATATATCTTTCAGGCGTCTATTATTTGTAAACGAAATATATTCATATAGCTATCTGTACACTCGTTCTATGCCCATTCAGAGTCAATATTTTTAATAAATATTACTGTTTTCTACGTCTGCTGCTTGCTTTACGTGTATATATATTCGAATCGGACTTTAATATATTTCCAGGTGAAAGGAGGATAATAAGATTCAATTTGGCGATATTGCATAATAAGTATTAAAACCTATACTCAGTTTTCTTAATTGATAATTTTTTCAAGTTTCAAATTGAATTTCGTGGGAGTCCTGAAAAGTTCCAATAAAATTCAATTCCTATCAGTTCATGTTTTCCAGTTAATTCTAAAACATCCTCTAATATTCTACGTATAACATAACTCAGTTCAAAGTAAAATAATCTCTTAAAATATAATAATGTATATAACATTTACTGTATGTACATTAGTCGTATTTTAATGTTTTGTACAACGTTAGAGAGCTAAATTTTGTGCTCACGCTGGTCCGTGAACGGATGTTAAAAATTTATCCAGATCCAAGTTGCTCAATAATGTTTTAGGGTCAGTCGTATACTGTCGTTTCTCAATCTATAAAACAGAGCGTTATTTAAATTTCCAATTTCGTGAACGAAAATACAATACGGGAATAAAGAAAATTACATATACCTGCTTACTTTCTTTCGTTTCCGACAATTTCCTTTTCGATACTTTTCCCGTGCAATTGTCTGAAATTAATCTGTCTTTAAATCGATAAGTCGATGCTTTTTATCAGGGTCGTGGATTACTTTAATAAGCTAATTACCTTTGTCAATTTCTCTGGTTGCTTTATCGATCTTCGACTTTTTCTTATTATCCTGCTGCGCTTCGTTTTTCTTCTCGTTGATCGCGCAAGTTTTAACTGTGCCCTTTTTCACTTTGGGCGTAAGCGGCTTGTCGAGGGGCGTCGATGTAGCTAAAGGCTTGGCATGTATATTTTTCATCGTTAAATTGCTAAGAAATGCTTTGTCGTACGATCCATAGATATTTTCATTTTTCATGGGCGACCTCTTATTCGTGACCTTTCTCCTTGGTAGAAGATTGAATATCTCCTCGTAATCGGTGGCCGTCATTACTTTAACGCACTCGTCGTAACATTGATCGTTGAAGACGATGTTTATTTGAAATTCCAATTCGTGGCTGCTGTATCTTCGTCTTCGTTTTTTCAAGGGCGCGTTGTCGTCGTACAGAAAATGATACTCCACCGAGTTGGGTACAGACGTTACGTTAAGGTTTGTTTTACAATGGTTTTCCTGGCCGTGTTCAAGCATTCCCACATTATCGTTCTTACATGTGGGAACGAGCTGCAACGATTGAAGGACACGCGATAAATTCTTGGGATTATCCGACTCAACATTCTTCGTAGACGATTTAGCAGCATCGTTGGATAGTTTAGGCGTATCCACGATATCGTGTATCCCCTGATTGGTCGAAAACTTTATCGTATTAGATGCTTTCTGATCATTTTCTTCGTCGCTGAACAAATCTCGTCTCACTTGGTCCACCTTCAATTTCATTATGTTGTTCGTTTTACCATTGTAACTTGGGTACTCCTTCGCCTTGCGTATGTTTTTCTCGTTATAATTATGCTCGTTCCTTATTGCATCGGACTTCCTTTGTTGCGAAGTGATATCGTTAATCGTCTCATCGCCCACGGATTTTCTCCTATCCACATTGTGTTCTTTCAGGTCGTGTGCACTATTTTCTTCGGTACCGATCGTAGCATTCTTCGCTTCTGGATTTTCTGTTATTTCCAACTTCGATACAATTTCCTTTTCCGTGGTGATCAGATTGCAAATTTTATTTTCCGAATCGAGCGCGTCTGAACTCTTTTCTTGAACCACGCTGATCTCAACGTTGTTGGCAATGTCCTCGACCAACGCGACGATAACTTTATCCGATTCATTCTTCTGTGCAGTTTTTATCGACGAAATATCATTACATACAATTTCCTCGTTATAGTTTCCTTTATTCTGATAACGGTCGCTATTCGTGGATGAATTTTTTATCACCGCATCTGTACTTTCGTTATTATTATTAGCGGATTTCTCCACGTTCTTGTTTTCCTTTCTTTTTCGTTTTTTGTTAATCTGATCACCGCTCGCCTGGCCAAACTTATTGCTCTTTCTCCTCGGATTAGCATTACTTTTACCTTTCAAAATAACACGTCCTCGTTGAGATTTTCCACCAGTCAAGTTGCCCTTCGGATTTACTCTGAACTTGGACATCATACGTTGACGTTTCGTCTCCAATTGCACGGCTAATTTTTTATCCGTGACCGGAGACGTTTGTTCCTTCTGCAAAACGGAAGAACATTTTACGGGTTTAACGGGCGTCAAGGTGACGGAAGTATTTAATCTCGTGCGTTGTATGCTTATTATCTTTGGTTTTTGTTTTACTTTCTTTCCCACGGAATTTTCCAATCGCTGGCCTTCATCCGACTTCGACAATTTTCGATCCTCCGAGCTTATGAACGCCGCGATCTTCGAAGACAAATTTGTCAAACTTTCCACGCCGCTTTTTGTACTGTTAGGAGTCTCCGAAATGTCCGCCTCGTTTAATAAAGTCTCATCTTTCGCGGGTGTCTCCGTCGTATCGGCCATTAGTTCCTCGTCGGTTTTTACTATCGAAAATACTTTCAACGGCGAGGACTCGCACTTTTTTAAAGCGGCGATCGTTTCTTCCGTATACGGTACATCCGCCGTCTTTATTTTCAATTCTACAAAATCATTTTCCGCGATCACCGTCCTTACAGCATGCGTGTCTTTTCGCGTCGAATCGTTGCTTGTATCTGTATATATTTGATTTGGGATTCTGTTGCATTTCTTGCTGGAGAGCAATTTCTCCGGTGAATCTCCGATGCTCAACTTATTCGAGGAAACGGACGACGACGACGAGGAAGACGACGTCGACGACGACGATTCGGAGGAGGAGGACGTGGACGAAGAATTGGACGAAGACGATGTGTCGCTGTCGTTCGATTTCTCGTCGTTGTACAAAGATTTATCGTTATCAGTTATCGCACACGTACGTTCCATAATGCCGTCTTTGTTATGGTCGATCTTCGACTTTCCGTAACACGTTGAGGATTCCCGAGAGTTCGTTGATATTTTCAGCTCCTTCACCGCGTCTTCTTTTGGCAAATTTTCTTTGATCACCTCGAACTGCGTTATTTCCAATTTCGCGGACACGCAAGCTTGATAGGCGTTCGCGGAGTCGGTAACGTTGTTAGGTGTGCACTGTTTCGAGCTCTGCGAAGGCAGATCCGTCTTCGACTTCGATAATTTTTCCGAATTCTCGTTTTGCTCGGAAATAGGTTTGTAATAGGGGGAGCAGGTATTGAACGCATCCTTTTTCGTATTATCGTTGGTAGTTCCATCCGAATGCTTTGGAGTCAACGCTATGCAAGGTGTTGTTGGGAATTCTGGCGTGTTGATGAAACAACGTAGTTTGCTGGAATCTTCGCTACCCTTTATAAACGGCGTTACGTGGCTGCTAGGGCTAAGTAACCTCGGTGTCGGCGGCACGTCCGAAGAAGTTTCCAATTTCTTCGGCGTTTCCTCCAGATTTATCAACTCGGGCATCAGCTGTAACACCTGATGCGCCGTATCCACGGAGGCTTTCGTAAATTCGGAATGCTGCACGACATCCGTAGAAATATCTGTAGAAAATTCTGAGCTAGATTTGTTCAAATTGGTTCTTAACGTTTTCAACTGTGCATACTTTTTCACGATCTTTTTCTCGACTACCGGTTTATCGTTCGCAGTTGTCGCGCCACACTTGCTCTTTTTCGACGACAATTTGTCGGCGTTCTTCTGCTCGGAAACATTCTGCGACTCGCTGGCATCGCAGGCTCGCAAAGTGTCCTTTTGAGTATTAACAGAACTATTTACCGCGTCCGCTAAACCTTTCTCATTTTCTATCGTCGCTTTCCGTTCACGACTATCCTTCGTCACGGAAATTTCCCTGTTTCTCGCTCTCGATGCACGCGAATTGTACCTGACCTTCCTCGACCTTTCCTGTACAGTCTTATCCTTCGTGCGTTCAGTTCTTTTTGCTTGCGACTTGCTTTTCCGACACTCCTTTTTCGCGGTGCCTTGCAACGCTTTCCGCAAGTCCGCGTCCCAAGTGTCTTTGCTAACCGTGGACGGTTTTGATTGGTTCGTGTCCTCGACGGGAGAAACCGCGTCAGTTTTCTCCGGAGGAACGTCGCCGATAATCACTCCAACCCCGTTGTACTTCTCCCAGCCACCGATCAGTTTGGGCATGGGGCTTCTCGTCGCTATCGGTGGGCTCGTAGGTCGACAAATTTTCGGCGAGCCTCTTTTAATTTTGTGCGTGGAGACCGTGGCCCCACCAAACGGCGGCGACTTGAACAGGGAAGTTTTACAGACAGATTTCGCATACTTGGACGATCTGGGTGAGAGACGAGCGCTCTCGTTCTCGCTCATCGACCTGTTCAACGCGGCAACTGCCTTCGTCGGAGTATTAAAATTAAGCGCCCTCACGTGATTGCTGCTCTTTCTTCTAGGCGTGGACAAGCTCAATCTGTGATTCTTTGATCTGCTCTTCAGTAAAGATCTCGGGGTACGTTTATGAATGATATCGGTATTTTTCGATGTTGAGGGACGCTGAACATCGGGGACGTTTACTTCCAACGGCGCGGCAATTTTTGAGACCGGCACGACGGTCGTCAAATCGATATCCGACAGGCTTTGATTTTTATTAGCCTTGCCGGAAGTGAATTTTACGTAGGGTGACAATCCAGTGCCCGATAAATGAACGTTATCGTCTATGTTTATCGTGGGCATGCTCGTGCCATCCAGCAACGTTCTTGCGCCATTTTCACTGTTGTAAAGGGTTATAGATTCTTTAGTGACAAATTTATTAGCGGCGGATGCAACGGGATTTGCAATCGATTTACCGATCGTCAGACTCTTCACCGGACTCTGAATAGTCGTGTTTTTCTGTTTATTGTTCGTTTTGTTACTCTTCCTTTTCTCATGCTGTTGCAACGTCGTGGGATTTGTTGGAACGTTCACAGTTTTTAAATACACTTTGCTTACAGGCTCTTGGGCGTTCGGATCTTTAGGCACGATGGGGACAAAACGGGAATTTGTGGCTGACGTTATAGAACGGTTTGATGGATAGGGTGTTCTCGTAGCCATCAACATATTGTTTATTTCTTCTTTCGAGCATACTATTAACGTTGGCGTCGTCATCAAATCTTCTTCGGGCGTGCAATTACTGTTTGATTCGCGTTTAAGCTTCGCTGATCGCGGTTGCTTCACTACCGATTTCTTTACCTTTGATTCTGCATCGTTGCTTTGAACCACCGTTGTATCGTTGTTATCACCCTTTTGATTATCGATACTTATCGATTTTACAGTTTCCTTATCTTCGTTCGGAGGGAGTTCCAATATCGGTGACTTTTTCTCATCGTCGACATCCACCGAACGCGTAACTTCTTTCGCGGTGTCTACGATCACTTTCTTATCGTTAGTCGGTTTGTTGATGATATTGGCATTTATTATACTCAACACTGCGGCGGCGTTTTGATCGTCCAAAGCACTGTATCCTTTTTCTTGATCTCGTTCGTCTTCGACTCGAACATTTTGCTGTCTGGAAGAACTGCGAAGTCTGTGTTTCAGTGGCACGTCCGCAGCACCTGTCTCTGTGGACGATTTCAGGTCCAAGATCGCAGGTGATTCCGGCGAGTCAATGTTCGTGATAATTTCAGACAATTGTTTTTCTCGCGGCGATCCATTCAGACATTTTGTTTTCGGTTTCACAGCCTCGACATCTTCGTCGGGACTTGTATTGTCGGTTTCCGTGTGTGGCCCGATCACTTCGTCCAGAAATTTCTCAAACACTGGATCAGACTCCGTTGCTTGTACTATCGATTTAATGGCGTTATTCAACTCGATCATAATAGAAGTGTTTCCTTCGCCGTTCACAGTGTCGTTTAAGGTTTCGTCTCTCAAAGATGTATCCGCAGGAAGTATTGCTTTGTTAATATTATCCGCAATACGTTCTTGTAATTCCGTACGATTCAAGAGCTCTTTCGTTAACAACTTGTGTTAAAAATAAAATCAAACGTTAGTCAAGGAATTATTAATTGTAACAAAACTTACTATGTTAATACGTACGCTCAGATTTTCTATAGGTTCATCGTTAGATTCTGATTCGGACTCGGGGGTGTCATATGGCGTGGTCTGGACTTCTACGCACGAGTAGCTCAATAATTCTTCCGTGCTCGTTGCCGTGCTACATTTCTCAAATGAACAGGATTTCTTCGCGCCATCTTCTTTGCATCCATTATCCGTAACAGCATCGGTTTCTAGATTCTGGACATCTTGATCGTCGCCTAATTTGATCGTTAAGAGGGAAGTCTGGTAAATTCGGATCAAACTGATTTTTGTGTGTGCATTTTGATCTTTAAGAATTTTAAATATTTTTACATGAAAAAAATTATGCACACTTCTTAAATACAGGTAGAAACCATACGATGAAATCCAATATAAAAGTATCAAAGAACACAAAAAATTGATGTCCAGGCTAAAATACTCTTTTAGACATTACCGAATACCATAACTTATTAGCGCGATTTACAACGTATTTATTTTCATTAAACAGACCTTGATGTTCCTGGTGTACACTATTGCATTTTTTCCCCTTATTTGTCGTAGAATATTCAGATCGATCGGATGTGTCTGTGTGACCAGGTAAACTTTCTAACAGAGTCGCTTCTACACTATCGAAACCTATTACTGTAACAAACGGTAATTGTTTATAAAAATTTTTATCCTAAATCAAACTGCCTTAGACATTACGACTTTCGTCCGTCCTTCAATGTTTTATGTTCTAATGTTACCTTGAGTGGAAGGCGATGCGGGTAGTTGAGACATATCCGATCCTGTTTTCGTACGTTTGCATCGTTCGCGATCGCTATTACTATGACGCCTCTTTCGACCACCACTACATAGTATTGGTGATCCATTGCTTATTTGAGAACTGGCCTGTAAGTGCGTACAAGTCATACAGCCAGCCGTATAACTCTAGTACGAATACTGCCATACAGTATTATTACCTTGATGATAGTTTTATCTTACCTACCTGCGAAGGAACATTGATGTTAACGACAAAACGTTGTCCACGAGTCTCTTCAATGAGAAATTTTAACTGTTCGAGCAAATCTCCACAGTGTTTTACCTGTTCACAATCTGCGATCTTGCTGAAACGCTCCTGTACTGTAGAAAACGTTATAAGTTTTTTTAAATTGAATATAATATAAAAACATATAAAACATATTTCAATGTTGTAAATTTCATAACGATATTTAAATTTAACACTTTTGCTTACTCGTTGCATTTATAACAAAAAAATTTTCTACTACATCTATCAACGACATTCCGCTAACTTTAGTACTAAAACGTCTTCCATTAGAAATTACAGTTCGACATTCTTGTAAATGCGGTGATGTCTCTAAAAATGTTTTAGCAGCTTCAATACATTTCTGGTCTTCAAGGTACCCTAAAATCAATTATTAATTAATCGTTTGAAATTAGATATGCGAGAATAACTTGAACACTGAACGCGTAACGCACGATTTTATGTATAAAACGATGTTTATTGTAACATCCATTTATTCGTTAATGTACCTTTAAAATTACATATTACTTATTTCGTGTTTCTAATTCACTGATATAAATAACACAACACAGTCCACGCGATACGCACTGTCAAGGCTAGTTACACCGATTTACATAAGTTACGCAAGTACAACAAAATTAAAATACATTCTAACGTTTTGTTAATAGAATCAGAAAATATTTGTGTTCCCGCCATGCAGCAGGTTATCGTAATGAGACGCTTAAAATCATTGTTGTGACACTCTTACCAAGAACTAATCGAGCTATCTCCGATGGCAATAATGTTTCCATAATGTTTAACGATCTTCGAGATTCAATGATATTATCAACAACTCGTGTATATTCTTGACATTATCGAAAAAAAACAAACGCATTCAAGAAATATCATAAAATGAATCTTGAACAATCTTGAACGGGGTACCTTCTATGAAACAATTTCACCAACATTAAAACCAAGAATACGATCCAAGATGTTGTTTTCCGGTTTTCCCTATATCAGTGGTTTTCATTCATGCATGATACATCGTAATATATGTACAGATTACAGAATTAAAAACTTGATGTGTTGAGGCAAACTGTTTTGCAGTGATTACTTTTTTTTTGCATCGACAGTTGTAAAAGTTATTGCAAAGAGATCCGTTTTTTTTAAAGGTTGAGGAAATTATATTGATAAAAGTATAATCGTCCATCGGTTAGTATTGTCCGTATAGTAGTAGCTATGTTTTAATCGAGCTTAAATACATAACAATACGGGACCTCTTGAATTGTATGTTTCGAATTTTTATAAACAACGAAAAAGTACGATAATTGGTACAATATTGTGTCTATAGATTCATAAATAATGGGAAGCTGGCAATTGGAGGTTGCAAAAATGATCTTATATATTTCATTTCCAATTGGAATTTTTCATTACTTCAATCAGATAGAGAATATTGAAGAAATGCTAATTAAGGAGAGAAACAAGTTCTCTCTATATACAAGCAAACAGCAGCACCAGGAATTTCAGGCAATGATTGAAAAATTTAATGCAGACAAGCAAATGGCAGAACTGAAACAACTAGAAAAGCAATACGAGGAAATTAGAGAAAGACGGTTAAATAATATTTAATTTATACATTATTATTGTATTTACTGATGAGCTGCAAATGTAAATTACACATACATTAGTATACCTTAGTTTTGTTATTCCTATTACTCATAGTTTGTTGAATTACTTGTCAATTAAACTTATGATAAACTTTTAGAACAATTTTGTACGTTGTAGTTTATACTAATTATCATTTATGTGCTAGTGTCAAAGATTACAAAATTATAATATGATATAATGAAAGTTATGCGCTGAAAATTAAATCAACTTTACTTTGAATATTAATCTGTTAAAATGTCTCTACAATCTATATAAATAAAATTATGACTGTGTAACTGTGAAATTTTTAAGCAATTTCAACTGAAATATACAGGGCTTTTCAGAAATACGTATAAATATTTAAAGAGCTGAATTTTCACATCGTAGTAACTAAAAAATGTCTTGTACATCTTACTTTGGGAATTATGGATAACCAAAAAGAAAATGCTTGAAATTTTCATCGCATGTTTTAACACATGCTCCTACACGCGTCGACATCCAATTTCACATTCGCTAGAAAATATCAGGCATGGTTTGAATAGTCTGAAATATATTTTGTATCCCTTTTTGCAGTCCATGTACATCATTTGATGAATGTTTGTACTTCTTTACCAGTAGACTTTAAATGACTCCAAAGATAAAAGTTATAAAGTTTCATTTTTTAAGTGCATGCTTTGTTTCTTATTTACGTTTAGTGACTTTGCTCAAATTGAGTTTAATGTGAGTTTTGCTCTTAATAAAACCCGCCAATTGGCAACACAAGCGCCGGCGAAACATTAAGGCGCCAATTCTCAGGGATTTTAAAATGCAATCTAATTTAAGTGAAAATAATTTTTATTATAAAAGAATCTTAATTTTATTTACAATTACCCAAAATTCCTTTCGCAGGTTTAAGGTTATTATTATTTTAAATAAAACAGTTTTCAGTCAGATTTTGCATTAAACAGATAGAGACGTATAAATGCTCCGTACTTTTTCCTATCAAGTGGAAAATTAGACTCTCGCGGTTATACTGTTTCTCGTCCAGCGTGGTTAGTACTAGAATCGGCTGTCCAGATGGTAATCCCAAAAAGATTTTCATACAGTTGACGGATCTACTTATTATTTTGTTTAAGATACCGTAGCGAACGATCCAATAGAATTCCTTCGACTGCATGACGTTTCAGTGAAATAACGAGTGTTGAACTGTTGGGGGCGTTTGATGACCGTTGGCGCATATACTTGACGGTCTCGTGCGTGTCCAACGTTGCAATAAGAAAACATTGATTTTGATCTGTGCGTGGTTAGAGATCCACGGTCGTTGTGCAAAAATGACGTCCCGTCTGGAGAAGGAACGTGCCAAACAAATACAAGAGAAGTGTCAAAATCTTTTGGCACAAATGCTGCGCGATGAGGACAGCAAATATTGCGTCGATTGCGACGCGAAAGGTTCGTGTGCGTCAATCGCGTATTCTCTAGCGATGTCTTCTTTTCCTTGTTCGACCGATTGCGTTCCATTATTTCGTCCATTGTTTCTAATCGTTAGAAAATTGAATTTCTTGTTCGCCGACGATGCATGCGGGTCGTCGATATCGATTTCAAAACGACCTAGTTTCGTCCAGCGAAACATTATAGATTTTTAATTCCACCCGTGACAGACTTAAATTACAACGATTACGAGTAAACGTCATCAATATTTTGTCACGTTTCTCGTTACTCGCGCGTCCACGAGCGATCGTTGGTCTTTGGTCTTCTATAAAATTGTTCGTTTGAAAACGACATTTTTTAATTTCTTTGTTTAACGGTCGTCGCTTATGAACAAATGTATGTTTAACCTGAATTGTATGGTTACTGTTACCTTTCTCTATATCTGTTAAATATCTATTTTATTTACTTCTTCTTACCGTATATAAATTCAATGCAAATAAAAATTTTCGATATTATGTATGTTTATGTGTATCATTAAGTATTTCTTACAGATTAAGCATAAATATGTTCATTCGTTGTAACAACTAGCTCCACTTTTCTATGTTTCGTAGGACCAAGGTGGGCTAGTTGGAATCTAGGTGTATTCCTATGTATTCGTTGTGCAGGAATACATAGAAATCTTGGTGTTCACATCAGCAAAGTCAAGTCTGTTAACTTGGACACATGGACACCAGAACAAGTAGTGGTATGTTTGCGATGACTAATGTTTATTTTTCCATAGTGTCCAATTCTTTGACACGACAGTAAATAACGGAGTTGTACATGGTGAATTTTTATTATTTCTAGAGTCTACAGCAAATGGGTAATTCCAGAGCAAGAGCAGTGTATGAAGCAAATCTTCCAGATAATTTCCTAAGACCTCAAACAGACTGTAGCCTTGAAAGTTTTATTCGTGCAAAATATGAGCATAAAAGGTACATAGCTAGAGAATGGGTGCCGCTACCTTTACCAAAGGTATAATTTCTTTTGCTTTCAACAGAATATATTAAAATCTATGCAATAAATAAAAAACTTAACGATCATGGAAATTGTAATAACTTAAGAAGTCTGAAACAAATTATATAGGTAAATTGGGATAAAGAACTTGACGAAGAAGCTGAAAGACAACGTAGACGAAAAAAGGAAAATTCGAAAACCACTAATAATCAATCTATACTTCCACCTGTAAAAAAGCCAGAAGTAGTGCCTCAATTACCGAAACCTAAAAGCTCTGTCAGTCCTAAACTTAATAGAGCAAATAACACTACAACTTTAGACTTATTGGGCTTAGGTAAATTTCTGTTGACGTATAATTAATTTATAACATGAAATAAAAACCGCACATTTAAAGATCCTTGATCTTTTAACAGATGCTCCAGCTGCAAATCAATCAAATATAAATGGTAGCGGAGATGATATATTTTCTTCCTTTTTATCCGCGTCTCCGGTTTTGGTAGGTTCAACTGGTAGTTGTACTTCTAGCACGACTACGAACACATCGACAAGTAGCGGTAAAAGCGAGGAGGAAAGTTTTTTTGATCAACCAGCACCATCGCCTCAAGAAAAGAGTAAAATGTCCAAAGACAGTATTTTGGCATTGTATGGTACACAGGGGCATCAACAATCGGCAATTTATGGAGTACCTGGTATATACGTTACTTTAAATTTACTACTGTGCTCGGACACGTTACTAAATTTGTTGCTATACTGTATTTTAGGAGGAATGTACGCTCAACAATCTACTGTCCAATACAAACAAGTACCAAATATGGTAACGTTTGGTCATCAAAGTAGTTTTTCGAATCAGCAAAGTTCCTTGACTCAACTAAATCAATTACCTGTAAATCAGAATCAAATGGCAGTGAATCCTAATTCGTTAGGACCAGTGGCTACAAGTTCTTTAGGCAGTTGCTTACACGTAGGCCAGATAAGTCAAATGAACGGTGCACCTAATCCTGCTATTGCAATGCAATCCCAAATGGTATATAAAATTTACGTATGGCACAATAAAAATGTAAAATCTATTTATCGATAGATAGATTAATTGTTCTATGTATCTATAGATGATGCAATTAGCGCAGCCTAATATTAGTAGTAATAATGGATGGAGCGGGATGTTAACGCAAAATCTTCAACCAGCTCCCGGTAGTAATCCATTTTTCAACTTAACGTCTCAACAGCAGCCACAATCTACTGCCTTTGGCGCACAGGTACATATATTGCATACAATTCCAAAGGTATCTCTACACCGTGATATAATAATTACGATCATTCTCATATTTCAGTTACCGCAACAAATATCGCAACTATCTTTAGGTGGTGCGAATTTCTCAAACGCGCCAGGAAAGGCTACTACTAATACTGCCCTTCCCGGGCAAACGCTTTCCACCAATTTGTGGCAATAAAAGTCTTACGGGTATTGTTAGTTGATTGATTATTCCATTGAGTGTTGTACACTAGTGTCGAATGTTCGTTATCCACCATGATTACATTTCCATATTAGTTTGGAAATCGCTCTGGAATATAACACAACTAAGACACAAAAAATAAAAGTATTCGATTCGCTGCCATTTACGAATAGCAATTCGTAAATGTGTACAGTAATTCGAGCCAGAAAATATTTTTCTTCTAAAGCTTCGCTAGCTTTCAACATTATTGTTGGAAAGGTGGGAACTATAAATAAAAATGAATTTTTGACTGACTGTAAAGAGTTATTCGTGACGTGCAGTATAGATGTACTTAAGAACATAATTGCATTATTTACAAAATGGGTGCTTTTTTAACCACATCTAATGTATGTCAGGGTCCACTTTCATTATGACAAAAAATATTTCATTATACTTGAACAAGTACAAGTATCTTTAGTACGATAAGTGTATTTTGCGACATGATTCATTTTTACCCAAAAAAACATGAAATGAAAACGAAGCAGATAATAGTTTTCATAAATTACTAAAAAATGTCAAACAAATTGTATGATATATTAATGGCCACTTTACTTAAGAAGTGTGACCAACAATTGTAAAATGCAGTCTCGTTTTTTTTTAGTATGCTGTTGTAATGTTTGTACGTAATCAAAATGTATTAAATATTTTAAATATTTGGTTGCTACTCTTCGCATAGAACTAATATTGATTAATTTAATGATTATAAAGACAGTGTTTTGCGTTTAAAAAGTTAGTAATACTATTGTGTTTATATTTGATTAGCGTGTTGCTTAGAGTGTTGAATTTTAACGTTAATTACATATTAAAAAAAACATTTTACAGCTTAATGTTTTCCAACAAGTATTATTATTACTTCTTATTATACTAAAATGCATTTATAGTTTTTTGCTAATACGTAATGTCGGAGACTCTCGTTACGTATATGAAATATAATAAATGCTTAGGCTAGGCGCACATTAGAGCACAAATGACGTGGCAGCGCTACATTCTGTAGAAATAATGTAAAACAATTGTACATCGCATATTGTCACGCGACAGAGCATGCCAATTGTTTCGCCATTATTTACACAAAATGCTGCGTTGCGATACATTATCCAACGTCACCCACACACCAACATACGCATAGCCTGATGTTTTGCAAGCTCTACACATTTAAAAGAAAGCATTTTAGTTGTAACTGTCGATCTTTAATTAAAGCTATGCTATAAAACCACGTTATTTATGTTTCTATGTTACAAAATTATGTAATTTATTGCCATGTAATGACATAAATATTGAAACTTGACAATAAGTTTTTGACATACATATCTGTCATGCTGTATTGTTTTACATTCTTCCGTTATCAAATAATACTAGATTACGATGCCATTAAATACAAAATACACGATAAATACATTGAATAAATTTTATCGCGTATTCTTATAAATAATTATCAACAATTATGTAATTTACGACGTAGTGATCGGGAGTAGTTAAGCCCTATAAGTTTACTGTTGCATCGAGAAAATCTACCATGTTGTAAAATTGATATAAGTACAAATACACATTGACAAAATGTAAGGGAAGAAAATATTTATAAAATTATTGACGAAAAGATTCTCAACGTTATAACGACGAAAATTATATTTATCTATGATTATACAGAAAAGGTTCTCGAGCGAACATAAAATTACATGGCAAATGTAGAAGAAAAAAAAAATGATACAAGAAATGATAAAATTAAAATGTACATTATAGTTAAATTCTGAAGTTTAGCTGAAACAAAAGACATTCCTTTGCTTACTTAAAATCGTAAGTGATGTACGGAATCTTTATAAGCACAAGGAACGTATCATATAACAAACATGCAATTTAAAAACATTAATACCTTTAATAGCGTTACACTTTCTTCACCCTCTCATTATATTAACAAGTCAGTAACAAATTAATATATATAAATAGCGTTTTTAACGTTAAAGCTATTTTCTAGAACATGCATAATGCTGATTTCATAGCACTTGAAATATCAATATCAAGCAGTCGACATTTGGAGGATTAAAGATAAAAAATAACGAATAGAATATATTTTTTCATTAAGTTTTCGTTAATCATCGTTAATAAACGTACCAATCTTCGACAAGGTATTCACAAAGCAGAAGACCAGTTCAGCATCCGCGTACGTTTAAATTTAAAAATAGTAAACGCCATCTACTATAGACCGACACATGTATATAACGATAGTAAATTAAATTATTCATGTTCGATATGACCAAATACTTCTTACTTTCGCAAAACTTGTTTTTTTTATCGCTGACTAAAAAAATGCTTAACGTTTTTTTGTTATCGATTTGAATTTCACTGAACTTCAGTCATCGACAACTACTGGAGATAATCCGCCGGAAGTCGCCATCGTCAACTACTGGATTACGAAGCGAGGAAGGTTCTTTCACTTCCTTGGAACATCTTTTCGTTGTTGTATCGAAGCCACGTGATACCATCATGGATAAACCAGTTGTTTTGGCTCGTGTTATAAAGGTTTTAGGCCGAACTGGCTCGCAAGGACAATGTACGCAAGTTAAGGTCGAGTTCCTCGGTGAACAAAATCGACAAATTATCCGGAATGTAAAAGGACCGGTACGAGAAGGTGATCTCCTAACCTTACTGGAATCGGAACGTGAGGCAAGAAGACTTCGGTAAAAGGATTGATTTCCGATAGATTAAAAACTGTCAGCGGCAACTGAACTCTGACAACACAATCCATTCCATCGATTAAAATGGGGATCACGCAACTGTTCCAATAATACAAGTACATTCGAACCAAAACATTTTATGTCAATGAAGATGTTTGCGACTTCTGTAATAAACACTGGCTAATATTTTACAAATTAATCGTTTTTTATTCTACCTTATATTTTACAATTCGATGTTGTGCTTCTGTTAATTAGAGAATTTAAGTTTCGATTTTATTGTATGGTACAATGTACTGTTATCGACCATCGTGTACTCGTGCTTTATATATATATCATAACATATGTTCATTTCATATATTTAATGCCTCTTTAAAAATTTCATTACAAAGTCTATCGTATTTAAAATAGATTAATGCAAAATTTATTATAAAATTGGATTTATATAGATACATAGTCTTTCGTACAAGTCTGTGCGGTTCACATATATGAATGTACACGAGTTATATTTTATTTATAATTTAAAATGCAAACAAAATTTGCACGCGATATGAGGTACAAATAACAACTGAAGTTCAAATGAAATTGTTATATCCTCCTTCGTTTTGGCGGAGGTGTATCGCGCGGACTAGACGATGCTTTAGAGGAGCTATCCATACTCTGCCTGGTCGGTCGTTTTGGACCCCTTTTTAAACTTTCACGCCCAGAGTCTGAATCCTTACGTTCTTTTTTCCCATTCGATGCTTAAAAAAAGAATCAGTAAATTTTACAAACAGTTAATAATTATATCGGAGACAAATATATATATATATATATGTATATATATACACCTATTTCTTCAAGATCATCTTTTCCCTTTGATCTTCCTTTCGAAGATTTGTGATCTTTCTTAACGTCCTTAATGTCTCTAAGTTTATCTTTCTTCACTTCCATATCTTTAATGTATTTTTTAAATTCTTCTTTTTTTTTATCTACATCTTTACTTCCTTTGATATCGCGAAGAATGATATCTTTTTTCATAGGATCTTTAATATCTTTGTCCTTTTTCATTTCTTTATATTTATCTCTTTGTTCTTTTAATTTCATTTCCGGCTCTTCCCTCTTCTTAGACTTAAGCGACCCTAGAAATTCTTGTTCCGGTAAAGAAAAGTCTATCTCTTGACTAGGAAACGGTAAATCTTCCATGTCATCCTAGAATAATTCGAATGCCTTTCACGTTCACTTTAAACGATCATACATAATATTTTAATACAACGATAACTACCAATGCCATGAGGTCGTACATTGATTCCAAATGATCCCAAATCATTTTTAGCGATACATCCTTATGAATAGCGGCGCGAAATTTTTCCCATATACAGACCATGTGAAAGTATTTATTGACACCTTTAAAAAATAAATTTTGCATAAAATCCGACTAAACATTGGTATAGGATTTTATACAACATTACTGTTGATCATAATTATTGTTTTTGTGTCAGATCAATGTAAACATAACCTACAGGAACTTCATTATTTCATTTTATATCTTACCAACAGGTTTATGTCCATTCATGGCAAAGAACAATTGAATTTCATTTTCGACGTTCCATTCTATTTCATCTGTAGAACCTTCCGTTTGTTTCTCTTTAACTGCCATTATTACAATTCACAAAACCGTATCACGTAATGTGTCAATCCAGTCGCGCTCCCATTTTTCGAACAGTTAATAGCACTGCCGAGCAGTATTGCCAAATGTTATAATGTTCCCAGTTATAATTTATAAGGTGTATTCGTGTGTATACGTGGGATTATTTCTCTAACAGAAGTTCATTCAAGATGAAGCGTGATTATTATTGTTTCACATAGAAGTTCTATGATAGAACATGTAAAAATGACAATTTATAGAGGTGGCCGAACTATTAACACAAAAGACTATTTTTACATTTGGCGTGTATATGAGAACGTATAAACTGACAGATAACAGTCGAATTCGGTACTGTAATTAAACGTATGGAGTAACAAAAATGTGTGTATAACATTTTACATTTTTTAAATACACGAATTATTTCAGATAACATTCAAAAATATTACATATTACAATAAACCTCTGTAATATCGATAATATATAAAATGCATGAAAGTATAGATGATATATGCAAAGCAATCGATGAAAATTTATTACATAATTTAGAGCTAATGGAAGAGAAAATTAGTGTCAATGTACAACTGGAAAACGTATTGCGTAAGGGTCATATCGAATTAGCTAAAGCCAAGTATATACGTGGCAAAGAAAGTATAAGCATATTACAGGTTCCTGATAACGATGAAAAGGTGGCCACATTGTTCGAGTTGGAAACAAAAATAACAGAAGAAACGGGCAAAATAATTCCAAATTTTGACATAAGCTTAAAAAAGTTAGATAAAGAAGACGAGATTCAAGATCCTATAAAATGGTTCGGCGTACTAGTACCGCAAAGTTTACGAATTGCTCAGAAACGTTTCCAAGAATCTCTTTATTTTGCCATAAGAGCAGCGAATATACAAGCTGAAATCACTTCCATATCCGACAAATTACAATCTTTATACTTCTTGAAAAATGATTCTTGTGTAACGAACAATGTCAAAGAATAAAACTGTTTGTATAGTATACTCAAGTTTGTTTTTCAATTTTTCTCAATTTACAAATACATTATAAAAATACTTTTGTTTTTTTAGTGATTAGTTTTACTCAATATTAGAAGATATACACCGTCTCTCGTAAGGAAAAAACCAGGAAGTCTTGTTTTCCCCTTCATAATGAACTTTGAAAGCCAACATATACTACTTTCTCAATATTTTGTTCATTATAGTACTTTCTTCTATGTACATGCCTATATGTCGAAATTGTATGCTATTGACGCGAGGGCGGACTTGAACTGTTCAAGATCAAGAAGGAAACCACGAAACATGGCTCGTGCAGTAGTATATCGGCTTTCCCCATCCCTCCGTTAGATGTTAAGTAAGTTCGTCGTTACTATTGTCGCCATCGATGCACTCAATTACGCCAAATCTGGCCACACTGTCTGGGAACATAACGAGAACAAGACTAGAAAAGGGAAGAAAATATTTCGTTTTAAATCCGCTAGAGGACTCGTTTGTAGGTCGTTGTGTGATTTAATGATAACAATAATAGTATTACTAACAAATAAACAAACATATAACAATTAAAAAATGTTATTAACATATTTCTTATCGAAGTAAGTATTAATTCATACGATAACCATAATATATTAAAACGTTAACTCTTGGTGAATATCGCTTTTAATTACAACTAATATTACTGACTTTTAGGAACATTAGTACTGAAGTTAGGTTATCGTATCAACGGTTAAGTATTACGTTTAATACAGTTAGATTAAGTTCCAGTTCATCATCATCAGATTCGTCTGATTCTGATTCTGATTCTGATTCGGATTCTCGTAATAATGGCAAACAACAAATCAAGAAATCAACTAACAGAAAAAGTAATATAGGCGATGATAATGATGTTAAGTTCGAGAATTTGATAAATAATACATTAAAGGTAAATATTTTATGGTTTTCAATTTAAAAAAACACATTTAAAGGATATACATTGATTCTGTTGTATATGTTATCTTTAAAGAACAAACCTTCAAAGAATATAGATATCAAGATAAATGTGGCAAATAGGGATATAAATTTAGGTAATGAATAAATTTAATTTCTTTAAGAATTCTATTTATCCGTTTCGATGAAATAAATTTACATTTGAGAAATATATATATTACGACCATACATTTTTTTCACGCAGAGAAAAAAATATTCAGAGCAGCTAATAAAGTAACTACAACACATACAGCAAATAGAGGAGGAATTCTTTCGTCGTTATTGGAAAGTATTTCTGATACTAAAAAACGTTTTCCTGTTGGAAAAAGAAATCAGCCGCAATTTGTTGAAAAAAAGTTTGTACATAATCTATAGAAAATTATATAGCATTTATTTTACATAATTAAATTACATTGATAATAAACCACTAACGATATATGTTTTATATTAGCAAACATCAAACTAAAACGTCTAAATATACTTCTAATTTTGGTAATGTATCAAATGTCCCACGATCCGGTATACTGCATGAATTGAAACAAGGGAGAGATACAGTAGCCAACAAATCAAAATCAATAAGTAAGATGCTTCTGGATAATAGTAAAAACATAGCAAAAAAGGGGGAGGAAAAAGAAATGTTTCGTACTAGAGATGGGACAAATGAAATGAAAGTATTTATTTTGAAAACATTAACTATACAGTTCTCGCTATTTACATAGTTGGATATAAGCCTTGTCTTTATCTAAAGAGTATTTTAACGTTTTGCAAGCACTAAAGTTGGTATCATCAGAGAGTCGAGCGACACATTGATACCGGTGTATGTTATTGCAAGATTTACTATTACAATTACGTTTGCTCATGTTCCAGATCACTATTTCCCACTATAATAATGAATCTCTAGATGATGCACATCAGTATCAATGTATCATTTAACTACCTGATAAAGCTAACTGTAATGCTCGTGATTGGGATAATTTTTTCCATAAGGACATGCCTTGCACCAAAAAGTTTCGATAGTAAGAACTGTATGATGCTCAGCTATGAAAACATAAAATCTTTGATCAAATATAAAAATTCTAGAGTTGACAAAAATTACCCAGAAATTTTTACGATAACCGATGCACCATCCTCAAGTATTCTTGAACTTAAAACATGGGAAATGTGTGAAGCAAATGAAATAAAATTGTCGGAAATTTCGTTTCCTGAAAATGGATTTCAAGAAATGGCGCGATGGACGGAAGAAGGGAAATTATGGAAATTTCCGATTGACAATGAACAAGGTAATGACACCAGCTGATCCTGATTTTTAGTCAAGAAGCGTGGACCTTTGTGTGTGACAAAAATTGTGTGTGTTTGTACAACACAGGAATGGAAGAAGAACATAACGTGCATTTTTCAAAACATGTGTTTCTGGAACATCATTTGACAGGATGGTGTCCTACCAAAGGCCCAATACGACATTTTATGGAATTAGTTTGCATTGGGCTTTCAAAAAATCCATATATAACAGTCGAAGAAAAATATGAGCATATAATGTGGTACAAAGAATACTTCCAAGGTAAAAGTGATTTGTTGCAGAAATTAGGGATCGGGGAGATTACTCCGCAAAATACAGAAAAACAAAATAAAATAGAGTAATGATGTTAACTTGTTTTGTATATAATCATTTTTAAATTACAAAAATGCAATAAAATATTAAGGAAATATATATATACCTGTGAGTCATTTTAATTGATAATTAACATTATATTTCGAGGGACTATGTTCGAAATTGCCTGATTACGTTTTGATTATTAAAAAAAGTGCCTCGTACAACTACGTTTCATTTTATGAAGACAAAGATTATAAAGATTAAGTGATTTTCTTTGTCTTTCTTCATCTTCATTCGATCTTGATTGAATGCAAATTCAATGAAATTCTTCGCCTCGTTTCTTCGTCCGTCTTGCTTGGTGGTTGGTGGATGACTACCGCGAGCGCGCTAGCCGCTAGGGGGCGCCTACAGTGTGGCCAGATCTGGCATAATCGGGTGCATCGACGTCGACATTAGTAACGACGAGTGTGAGCCTTTTGTACTTGCTCTTGTAACAGTCAAAATACGACCTCGCGATAATCGGCATACGATTCCACCTCTCGACTGCCCCAGCATTTTTACTTATGTAAGGTATAAAGAAAGTACCTCCACAGACGAGGTGTACGAGTAGACCTTTCACCTTGTGGACTTTCGCGGCCGAATCTGACTGTCATACCGACCTGAAAATTCGTAGCTGATTTTGGCGGTCAGTCGAGGAACTATTCATCGAAATAGTATTGATGGGCTGAGAGCTGTAGTGTGTCCGTAAATACATGCGAGTCGACTATGCAGGGATTGAAATTCATTTCTAAATCCGTTGGTAATGTTGCAAATGACACGAAAATGGTAATAGGGGTTTCGAGACCCCATAAAAATGGATCGAAAAAATACATTGGGTGAAAGGTCTACTCGTAGTACCTCGTCTGTGGTTAACGGTATCGTTACAAGGTAACTCACGTTCGCGAGAATTTCCTTGAATACGTTCGAGGGAGTATGTAATTCGGTGGGAGGCAAAAGCTAAGTCGATCGATGAGCAGAACGCCGAAGGGCTGATGTGTCGGTTGATCTATTTGCGAACAACGGTACCGCGGGGCCAACTTGCCTCCGCGTCTCTTTGATGTGTCAAGAGCAGACTTTTCCAAGTTGTGTTTACGTTGGATCGGTCGGAATGCAAACGAAGAGGGTGGTCTTTCGTCGCTTGCAACTGCCGGTAAATACGAGCGTCGAGTGCAATAACGGACCAACCACGAGTCGATCGGAACTAACCGAACGGCGTCGATGCAGACCAACCAGTCGGCCGAATGTTTCTTCTACCCCGATTCTTTCGATCGAGGATTCTTTACGAACAGTGCATAGGACGAAAGGGAAACGTTTCGTTCCATTACAGAGAAATCGATGAGTGAACGAGATCTACCACACATGCACGACTCTTCTCGTAAACATAAACGCGGAAGGAAATAAAGGTTAGGGAACTGCACGCCATAATAACGTCCGTAATCGATACAAGTATCGACCCCTAGCGTGCGATATTGCTTTGCGATATAATTGCGGCTGGTAGCATTGGTATATTTTCAAGTTGGAAACTATATTAATTTATTTATGCATTTAAATCGTGGTAATTAAAATCGATGACTGGTAAACGATGTTAAATAATCGAAAATGTACGTAGATCCACGTTGAGCGTTGTAATTGACCGATGTGATTGCAATCACAGTTTGAAACTGTAGTTGCGATCGTAATTGTGAGCGACAAGGAGAGGTCGCGCCTTTCATTTTCTGGCGATTCGTTGTTGCCAATCGAGGTCCAAACTCTGGATACAACAGATTCTAGTAAAGAGGACCCTATTTTTGATCAGAGTGGTTACAACGATCAGCGTACGACAGATTCGTCGGTGGTACGTTCTCGAGCAGTTCAAGTAGATCTCGAATTCAACGTGACTGCGCTATTCGACTCGATCTTGAAGATTATTAGCACGTTATCAATCGTATCTCTTTTTTCTTTTTTCTTTTTTCCAGAGAAAATTCCTCGAAACGTACGCGTCTTGGAGAACGATCGACATTCATCTTGCACGAGTGCACGGATATGCGATAAATCAGATCCTGTTTCCTTGGTAGGGGCAAAATGTGTAAAATGTATTTACATATTTACATATTATTATTAGGGGACGTTCGCGAACTACGTCACCCTAAATTCGCCTGACTTTTACACCCTGATTCTACACCTCTCTTCTTCCTCTGAATATTTACAATTTTCTCGAGGGTGCGTTCAGCCGTGGCTCACGTATAAATACATAACATTTCGGCATTATCCGTTAGAGAGCTTATGGAAAATGATCAAACTACAGGTGGTTCTAAGGAGATTTAATCGCTTGAATTTCAATTTTAGAAGCTTGGAGCGATCTCTTCGTTCGTCGACAAATGTTCAACAATTATGAAAACTTGTATACAGAGTGTTGTATCACAAATTTATTTATTCATTTATTTTATTTATTTCTTTATTTGGACAGCTACTTTATTAGCTGTTTATATTCTTGCAGCAGCCTGTGCAGTGACACGAATGGATCGTAGAACAGGGCAAGGTTTAGGAAGTTGGAGGACACGATGACCAAGATAACGCCGGGGTTCGTAGATCACGGATCACATAATGTTTACAGGCATTGGTGATGCAGTGTTCGATAAGACACGTATAGCTCAAGCTGCTGACAATAGGATATAAACTAATTTCAATATCGAGGACTAATTTAACGTGAAAATTCTCCCAACTTTATCCGAACATCGGCAACTTCTGCACGAACGAATAGAGAATCAAAATGGCGGCGCGGTCGAACTCTAAACTGTCGCGTCACGTAAAATCTTCGATTCAAGACGATCCTGTTCACGAGTGCTGTAAAAATGTATTTCGTTCGCGTGTAAATTCGAATCGCGATGGAGGAAGTCGCGACGACGAATGGCGGCTCCGCGTCGTACCGGAAACGATTAAGCCCGCGCGGGAGGTTTAACGTCGTTCGAGGGCAATTCGACCGTGAAATTCGACGGGTGTCGCGCGCGACAATTTCGACTGTCTGGCTGAATGTTCGGGACGTCGCGACGCCCGTGAACACCGGGGCGAGCAAGGCTGAGCGCGGAAATTAATTTCCGCGGTTGGAAAATTGCCACGGTAGGCCGACCGGAGCATCGGGAGGGGGAAATCGTCTCCGACTCGAGACAACCAATTTCAAACGATAATCGTTCCCTCTCGATTGTAAAGAGCAGAAAACTCACAGCCTCGCTCTAACCCTGAAACGACAGTTTGAAATATCCTCCTTGGTAGCTAGCTCGCTCTTTGCCAACCTAACTAGTTATCTCACTCCTTGCTAAATAGCTTGATAGCTAGCTAGCTTGCTCACTCGTTCCTAGCTAGCTAGTTAGCTTGTTCACTCGTTGCAAGCTCACTCCTTGCTAGCTAGCTAGCTTTGTCACTCCTTGCCTAGCTAGCTAACTAGCTCACACCTTGCTAGCTGGTTAGCTAGCTCTTTCCTTGCTAACTAGAGAGCTAGCTCACTCCTTGGTAGCCAGATAGCTAGCTAGCTAGCTCACTCCTCGCTAGAAAGTACGCTAGCTCACTCTTTGCCAGCTAGCTAGTTATCTCACTCCTTGCTAAATAGCTTGCTCATTCGTTCCTAGCTAGCTGGTTAGCTTGTTCACTCGTTGCAAGCTCACTCCTTGCTAGCTAGCTAGCTTTGTCACTCCTTGCCTAGCTAGCTAGCTAGCTCACACCTTGCTAGCTGGTTAGCTAGCTCATTCCTTGCTAACTAGAGAGCTAGCTCACTCCTTGGTAGCCAGATAGCTAGCTAGCTAGCTCACTCCTCGCTAGAAAGTACGCTAGCTCACTCTTTGCCAGCTAGCTGGTTATCTCACTACTTGCCAGCTAGTAAGCTCGCTCACCCCTTGTTAGCAGGCTAGCTCGCTCACTCCTTGCTAAATAGCTTGCTAGCTAGCTAGCTTGCTCATTCGTTCCTAGCTAGCTGGTTAGCTCGCTCACTCGTTGCAAGCTCACTCCTTGCTAGCTAGCTAGCTTTGTCACTCCTTGCCTAGCCTAGCTAGATAGCTCATTCCTTGCTAACTAAAGAGCTAGCTCACTCCTTGGTAGCCAGATAGCTAGTTCACTCCTTGCTAGGTAGCTGGCTAGCTCACTCCTTGCTAGCTATCTATCTGGCTCTCTATCTAGCTCACTCCATGCTAGCCAGCTCGGTAGCTCACTACTTGCCAGCTATCTATCTACCTCACTCCTTGTTAGCTATTTATCTAGCTCACTCCTTGCTAGCTATCTATCTAGCTCACTCCTTGTTAGCTATCTATCTAGCTCACTCCTTGCTAGCTATCTGTCTAGCTCACTCCTTGCTAGCTAGCTGGCTAGCTCACTCCTTGCCAGATAGATAGCTAGCTCTCACCTTGCCAGCTAGCTAGGTAGCTAGATTCTGACCGCGAAGCCTAAAAACCGCCAACTTTTTCGTCGCCGCGAGAAAAAGAGCGGAGACGCGCCGCGCCCAAGCCCTTCTCCAACGAATTACTTCCGCGTTACGCAGCTCGTAAGAACGAACGGACCCGCGGAATTTTAACGAGTTTCGTGCAACTCGATATAACAGCGCCGCAGGGGTTGGAGGGCGTCGCGGCGCCGAGGTCTACGCCTCCGGCGTCCTCCCTGTCGGCTCGAATCTTTACTTCCGCCCTGGGAAACGGGGGCTTCCCCCTTCGTATCCACAGTTTTTTCGGGCATCCCGTCGACCGAGGTGCTCCGAGGATTAAAATTGCGGTCACTGTAGAAACATTCTTGGGATTCCCTTAGATCCGACAGGTGTCGTGATCGAGACTCGAGTAGTTTGCTCGTGAACGAATGCTTCAGCTACTCGGAGGAGAAAGAGAAAAAGGTATTGGATGTGCATAGTCCGTCGCGAGGGACGCCATAAAATCGGAAGCTCCTCGATAGACGATGGGGGAGTACTCGAGTCCTGATCCGGCCGACAAGAGATGCCGCTTTTTTATTTCCCTCCGAAGAATATTGACGTTATATTAAATCTCACCAAGTCGAGAAAGTGATTTATCGCTAGTCAGAGTGGTAGACAAAGAGGAGAGAGGAGAGAAC